GTCTTTAGAATTTAGGGTTAGAGGGCGAATGCTACTAAATATATCGTTATACTACGGCCGAGATCGATACGTCGCCGAAAGGTACCCGGAATAAAAACCGTAGTTTCTTTCGTAGTTAGGAAATTCTATAGGACCGATTAACTTGCGAAAAACTTTCGGGTTAATAACTATAATATAAGAAGAATAGATTTTTATTACTAGGCGTAAGCGCCGCGCACGAGAAGCGCACCTAATTTATATAAAACTCTAAGCCTGGCCTAACTCGTAAAGAACCCTAAAACCTCGCTAAATATTAAAACTAAATTTTGCCTACTCTCTACCCCTTACTTTACTAAGGGCCCGTACTAGTATCACCGTATACTCTTCTAGCTATTACTCTCGTTAAGGAACTTATCGCGGTTCGGGTCGAGGCTATTCTTCTTAAAGAGGTTGTCCTAGCTACGTAGAAGGCGGTTCTCGGTAGCTACGTCGATACGTTGGTTCGTAGGGAGTATTAGACCGACACCGCCTATACTAAGCTATACTAAGGGTTAGTAAAAGTAAAAGCGGACGGTTAAGAAAGCTCTTACCTACTTACGTTAGAGGTTATAGTCGCGAGAGATCTATCGAGCGTATAGATACTTCTTAAGACCGCTAGCGTTCTTAACGCGAGCCTTCTTAAGCCGGCGGAAGTTCTTAACGCAGTTAAGATATTTAGAGACGTAGCTACGGACTAGATTCTACTTCTTAGAAGTATTATAACGAATGGCCTACTAGCGTATAAACGATAATACGTTTATAGCGCGGTAAAACTCGGAAGACGGCTAGATAGGCGAAAAGAGTTAGCTAAAGATACGACGCGTATGCGAATTATAGGGTAAAACTTATCTAAGTATAATCGTGCCGCGCTCTAGTATACCTCTAGTACTTCGAGAGCGGTGTCTTACGCATATAGCCCTACTTAATAATATCCTTTACGTTATTATCGATCTAAGAAGCGGAAGCCTAGTATAAAAGGTAACGTTTATAAAAGGCCTTATAATAAGGCGGAATCGACTCCTAATAAGGAGTTAGGCCGCGGATACTAACGAGACGACGTCGAGAGACGTTCCGTATACTAAACGGCTTATAGCGAGCCCGAGCCTTACCTTTATCTTTATCTTAAGCTAATTTAAGACCGAGCTAGCTTATACGAGGTAGCTTCTTCTCTTTCTTACTTATACTACCTGCAGGACCAGCTTCTAGAGTAATAGAAGACGTCGAAGGACGAGCGGTAGAGCCGCGGAAGGGAGTTAAAGGTAAAGCTATATTAGAAAATAGATATAGCGTAGAGTCGGAAAATAATCGCGTAAGAGAACCTTAATATACGAAGGCTTCTTACTAGCTCCTTCTACGGCACGCGTACGTAAAACGTATAGACCCGGACTCTATAGAAACGTGTCTATCTAATAGGAGAAACTATATCTACCTAACGCCTAAGCACTGCTCGTAAAGGGGTAAGAACCTATTATTTAGCTAATAGATATAGATATAACGATACTAGCTACTAAACCTAGCCGTAGACTAAGAATTACGAGTAGTAGTAGTAAACTCTATAAAGGTAGATGCGCCTAATATAATTACTACGAAGGGATATCGGGGGGAAGTACGCGCCGCGTATACTATACGCACCCGGAACGTGTAAATAATAGTTCTAAAACGCTTAAGCCACACACGAGACTCGCGATTATAAACCTAAAAAGATAAAAGACGGAATAACCGCTATTACGTAGAAAGTAATTACTACTTCCCCTACGTAGAAATAAACCCCTAATAGAGTCCTACTTTTAGATACTCTAAGCCGCGCAACGGCCTAGAGTAGCTAAACTTTTCTATTATTCTAGCGTATAGCGCTATACACCCGACCCGCGTATAATAGTCGTACGCGTTAAGTATGCTCCGCGCACCTACTTATAATATAGATAAAAGCGGATATTTTAAGGGATATAGGCTACGGCTTCCGCGCCTAGGGATTTTCTTAACGACCCTAGCTGCGAGCTTTTTTCTTTCTAATAAGAAAGATTTTCCTCGTAGAAGGTATATAAGGTCCTCGAGTTTTTTTATTCTTTACGGGGTCGTAGTCGACCCCTATAGTAGGGGGGGTAGTATAAGAATCTATAGCCGCGTCTCGTATACGCTTCGTATGCGAGACCTATAGAAGTTACGTACTAGTTACGTAACTCTCGCTTAGCTATATATAAAAGCCCTTCGGTCTACGGGCGAAGGCCGAATCCCTTAAGAATTCGTCTATTAATTATAAGCCCTCTTCTTATATCTATCTTAAGCTCTCTATTCGTATCTTATATCTTATACTCGTAGCCTTCTCGCGCGCGAGGGTCTAGCGTTACTTACGCGCTATAATAAGTTCGCCTTAGCGGCGAAGAATAGGCTTATTTATAAAGATATATATAAGCGAATCTAGAGTCTATAACCTTATCCTAGTACGGTTATTAGTTATAATAAGATTTATCGCCGAGAATAAGCGCTTAAAGGGTACTAAATTAGCTATCGTTACGCGAAGACAATTCGCTAGTCTTTATAAATTCGGTAAGTAAGTCGCGTAGTTCTAAAACGCTATTAGATTAGACTACGCGAATATCTAGCTCTCTAGATAGTCGAAGAGTCCTTTACGATACTTAAAGTCGCTAAACTACTAGTAAAACGAGTCTAAGCGGGAGGGGTAGACGTAGCTAGCGAAGAAGGTATTTATAGCCGCTACCGCTATTAGGGGGTAGCTAAGCGACGCTTTCTCGTTTATATAGTCTAATACCTTCGCCGCCTAGTAAATAGGTATAATTTAGACGTTAAAGCGGCTTTACTAGAGGCGTAGAAGAGCCTCTAGCTTAAGGAGGTTACCCTAGTATTAGTAACGTTATAGATAATCGCGGATACGATACTAACGATCGATAATCTAGTATTAAGTATACCCGTTAGCGCTAAGCCTAATCTAAATAGACTCTAGCTATCTAGCTAATAGAATCGCCGCTAGATAAGAGGAATCTAACCCGATAAGATATCTATAATATTATCTTACCTTACTAAGCGTCGCCGAATTAGACTCTAATATTACCTACTACTTATACGTAATACTAAGTAGTTTATCTACCTAATAAATCTTCGCCTAGAACGACGTATCTAGTAAGATCTTTCTTACGCGCTTCGAGCTAAGTACTTTCTAGCCCTATTTACCGTTATCTAGCGCTTATTTATCTACCGCTAACTACCGTAGCGGCCTTATAAGCCTTATTAAGCTCTACGTTAAGCCCTTAAACGACCCCTAACGTATAAGAATACTAAGAACGAGTAAGTAAGGCTTCTACCCGGTTAGCTAATATAGCTTCTTTAATCGCTAACGGCTCCTAGACGCCTTATATAGATACTCTACGAGGTAGTTAGTCTCGTTAAAGACGTTTCTATATACGTTAATTCTAGTAAGCTAGTTCCTTATAAGTAGCTAGAGTCCGTAGAAGTCGTATAATATAGAAAATATATATTTAAGCTCGTCGTCCTTCGCTATTATCTTAAGTATTATTCTCGTAGTATTATAGGTATCTACCGCGAGGCTATTTACCCGCTTAGACCTACCGCTAGCCGTAGCGAGTATTATCTCTCGCTATAACCGCTATAAATTCGCTACTATCGCGGATAACGACTCTAGATTAAGCGATCGTATATAAAACGAGCTTCCGTTAGATAAAGCGATTAAAGAGTTTACTATATAAGCCCCGCTACGAGCGTTACTCTCGTCGGTTATAAAGTTAAGATACTTCTACTACTTAATCGCGTTCTTAATACTACTACTAACTTATATCTTTATAGGCTTAAGTAAGCTCTCGATCTTTTAATAATTCGGTGGTATATAATTAGGGTTTAACGCCTAAAGATACGCTCTTATTACCGGGTATTTAAAGAGATTAAACGATTGGCTAGTCTCGAAGATAGCTATCGCGGTAAGCTAGTAGAGACGCTTCTTACTACTACGAATAAGCCGCGATACTACTATATAAGTCTACTAAGAACTCTCTACCGCGATAGAATTTTACGTAGAGCGAGACTCGCCTAGCGCTTAGTCCTCGCGCGGTAGTAGGCCCTCCGCGGCCTTTATACGATATACCTAGTAGTTATTAAGTAGATAAGTCTTAAGCTCGTCTATCTTTATTAACGACCTCGTATAGGTACGGTAATATAAATAACGAGCCGTCGAATACTTACGCCTTATCTCTTAGTCTAGTAGAAGCTTATATTAGCGTAGAATCCACGCGTTTTAAGGCTAGGGGTTAGATATATTATAAAAGAATAGGGTAAATAACGTATAATAGTAGATAAGAGGACTTAATACTATAATATTCGTAGACGAATGGCACCGAATTTCACGATATCCGCGGGTAGCGGTACTAGCATACGATATTCTATGCGGGGGGCTACGCCTAGCTTAGGGGGCGCTTGGCCTACCGTGGCGATTACAAATCCGCTGCCAATTGCCGGCAGAACCGGCAAAAACAGGGGTAGCGGCAGTGCCGGCAGCGATACCCCCTCTGCCGGCAATCTTAACACCCCTAGCTGCGACAGAGACCCTCTCCGCGGCCTTGCAGATTTCCCACGGCGCCCAATTTTGAGCGCATCTCAGTCCACGCCGACGAGCGCATTCGAGTGCCAAAGCTTCCCCGCAACGCCCGAGTCTTCAACAGCGTCCGCACCTCCAGTCTGCCCTCGCGCGCACCCTTCTCGCTCGCTGCCCGCCCATTGACCTCGAACCTCTGCTCCCAAGGAACTGACGGCACACTGCACCCTCCCAGCTCGGGCCAGGTACACCGCCTCGACTTGAAACAGCCAGCTCCCCACTCAACCTACAAAACCGCAGCTCTGCGCATGCCAGTGCGGGTCTGCTTATTTCGAGCTTCTCCCAACACAACGTAACCCTCTACCGCCCCCCCGCCCTCCTCGAGACCGCTCCCTGCGGTCGTGACATAGCTTCGCCCGTCATGGAGCACGCCGCTGCCGACCCTGCAACCGAGACCCGTGTCCTGCTGGACAAGAACTCGAACGGCGTGCCGACTCTGGTGCCGAAGCCGCAATTGTTCTCGGGCGGCGCCGCTGACGGCAGCACCCATCTGGTCAAGGTGCGCCGGAAGAAGGCCCGCGATGATAGCTTAGTTGGCGCCTTCTGTGGCTGGCTCGAGGCGCATCAGATTGGTACGGCCCCAACCTCTTGATTCCTGGGGTAGGCATTTCAACTGACGGCATCCCCCTACAGGCCTCTCAGTCAATCTGCTGATCCTGCTCGCGCTCACTCACGCCTGCTTCCCTCGGGCCCGTCCTACCACGCGCAAGTTCTTCGAGCTGTCCTACTACGATGCCGCCACCGGCAAGTACACGCACGGCTGGGATGACTTCCCTTTCGTCTTTTTCGGCATCGTCGTCTTCACGGCGCTCCGAGCTGCCACGATGGACTACGTGCTGAAGCCCTTGGCACGTCTGGGCGGCATCCAGAAGAAGAAGGCGACGGTTCGCTTTGCTGAGCAGGGCTGGCTGCTGGTCTATTGCTCCATCTTCTGGACGCTGGGCATGGTGAGACATTTTTCCTTCGTTGCAGCGCAATGGCCGTGCGCTCGCTGTCTCGCGGCGGCGGCGGCGGCGGCTGCCACGCTCTCTGCTGGACCCGGGCTAACCATGTCGTGCAACCGCAGTACATCAACTACAACTCGTCGTACTGGCTCAACCTCTACGAAATGTGGAGCAACTGGCCCATCCGCCAGATCAGCGGCCTGATGAAGGGCTACTACCTCCTGCAGTTCGCCTTCTGGCTGCAGCAGATCCTCGTGATAAACATGGAGGAGAGGCGCAAGGACCACTGGCAGATGTTCACCCACCACATCATCACGAGCGTGCTCGTGTCCATGAGCTACAGCTACTATCACACCAGGGTCGGCAACGTCATCTTGTGTCTCATGGATGTGGTCGACATTTTCCTCGCGGTAAGTGGAAGCTCCGGTTGTGGTCGACTCGTGATGGCGGTAGCCAGGGCAGTCGGCGTCCCAAATGACAAGGTTACACAATGGTTGATTTTTTCTTCTTCTTTGCGCGTTACAGAGTGCCAAGCTCCTCAAGTATCTCGGATACCAAACCGCCTGCGACATCGGCTTTGGCATCTTCATCGCCAGCTGGGTGATCGCACGACACGTCCTGTACATTGCGGTCTGCTGGTCGATCCACGTGTCGCTCCCGATCGCGGCGCCTTACGGATGCTACAATTCGGTCTCGGGCAACCGTCTTCCCGATTCTCCGACGACGCCGGCCGACGGCGGTGATGAGCTCATGTACGAGATCTGGCAGCCTTTCCGGGATCCCGAGGGGCCCGTCTGCTTCAACGCACGCATCCGCAGGGCTTTCCTCGGGCTGCTCGGCGGGCTCCAGGTCATCACGCTCGTGTGGTTCTGGATGATAATCAAGGTCGCGTACAGGGTCGTGACCGGCCAGGGTGCCGACGACACGCGCAGCGACGACGAGGGTGACGAAGACGAGACCGTCGGCGATGACGAGAATGCCGATCGTGGCAAGCACGGGAAGCCCGCGAACGGCACGGCGGCCCTTTCGATTGACCGGAAGCCGCTTGAGGAAGAGGTTGGCGTCGAGGGCTTGCACTTCGGCACTCCCACGAGGAGAAGGAGCGAGAGGCTGTACAAGCGCAGCAGCAGCCGCGCCAGCGGCATCAGCATCTCCGGCACCAGCGACCGGAAGGAGCTGCTTGGAAGAATCGGTTGCGAGAAGCCGGTGAAGGATTAAAACGTTCGCGAAAAGGTGACGGGATGAATGAAGGTCCAACCGCCGGAACCGGATTTCGGCTCAAGGCTGAGGAAGGAAATGGGTTGATCCTGTCCCTCGTCTGGTATGCCTTGCGCACTCGCTCGTTTTTGGGCCCTCGGAGATTATGAAACCGGTATGACTGCAAAGAGTACCCATTGCTACCCGCTGCGAGGAAGGAAGACATGATGGCGTACATAGGTTATGTGTTTTTTTTTGGTGCTGTCTTTATCATTGATTCTTTCATCGTCTTTCATCGTCATTGTCGTCCTGAGATCAACGCAGCCTTGAAGAGGCGAAAACGTAGGCTCGGAAAGGGGAGCATAGGTCGCAGGAGCGAGCACTCGAAGCATTTACTAGAAGAACATACCCACCCCCAACGCCAGAAACCCCTCGTCATCTTGCATTTTCTAGTTAGTGGATAGACCGATTTTGGGATGTATCGGCGGGTTCGAGACAAGGAAAAAAAAAGCGGGAACTGGAATTGCAAAAGAAGGCATTGATTTTTGTTTGTTTCTTTTCCTCTTGAGAGACGGCCGGTCAGGGAGACAGACAGGGCATTGGTTTTCGGGATAGGGCAAATGCCGGCACAGGAATCGAATGGATGTACATTGTGCTATTTCCTTTCGGTTGTGTATCGTTTCCAAGGTCTTGAGGAAGGGAGGCGACGGAGTGAAGATGACGACATGAGCGAGTAAGCACTGCAGCGAGAAGATTCTTGGCGGGGAGATGGCTATTAAGAGATGGAGGTTCCATCGGCTGCGGGATCGCTAGAGGATCCGGACATCCGGGCAGCTGCTAGTCTCGGCGATGATAGTGGCAGATGGTTGGATTTGCCGATGAGCAAGCAACGGCTCGCTGCTGTTTTCGCTAGACTGCGGGGAGGGACACCAGTGCTACAGTGCGGTACGCGCGGGAGAGGCTCCGGCCGCGCTGAGTCAGCACGTTCTATCTGGCGGAGCCAGTGACGCATGCGGCTCCCACGCCGGCCGGGGCCTGCAGGGGCAGAAAAAGAAAACAAGAATGGAAGTCTCGCTTACGCTTTGCACAGGCAACCGACAGCACACCGACCCGCACGCTTCTGGCTTCTTAGCCGCCGCGGGCTTCACTGCGTCACCGGTCTGTCTCAGGCGCTGGCCAGAAGGATTCGTCCAGAGCAAGGCGGGCAAAAGCTATGCCTCCCCAGGCCAACTCGCCAGATGCAGATCGTCCGGCCGCCCTAGCCTCTCTCTCCGTCTCACACGACGATCCTTCGAGTCACGGATGGGGGCCGAGAAAATGGGGCCAATCAAAGGCTCGCATGCCAGCTAAGCCCCCGGTTATTTTCGTCTCTCTGCGATGCAGTTCAGGCCCTGGGCGAATCATGATCGAAGCCATCGTGTCCTGGCTGTTGGGCAGTCGAGATTCGCGCCGGACTACTTCCCTGGACGAAGCTCCTCCGCGTCCTTGGGAATAATCCGACTGCGCGGGTTGCCTTTCCACAGTCTTACATCTCTGTCGTCCCTCTCTGTCTCTGGTCGCGTACTACGTAGTCGTGGTGGACCCGCCTAGTTACCCACTCACTCTCCGTCTGAATCCCCCTTCTCCCTTCTGTTTTCCGCGTGTGGTTGCAATGCGCGGTTCGTGGAGGACACCGCTCTGGCTGTCGCTGGTCGCGCGCCATGCATGCGCATTTCCGGTCGAGGACGGCAGCAAACTGCTGCGCCGTGGTGACGGGGATCTCTGCTACCTGAATAACCAGAAGAGTGAGCGCGCCCTGCTGTGGTGAGAGGGAGACAGCCCGTGCTAACCAGCCCTCTCGCAGTTGCCAAGGTCGATGACCGGTTGTACTTCATGGGCGGCGATTATCACTTCGACGGCGATGCCGATGGCGAGACCTTCTCGAGTATGTGGATCAAGTCGCATCCGCGTTCAAGTCACTGACCCTCACAGGCGACAGTCTTTACTACTTCGACCTCAGCGGAAACACAGACATCCAGGCGGATACCATAATATCGTCAAGTTCTCTCAACAAGATATCCGTGCCCTTCGACACCACCCCGACTCTCGAGAACCAGACCCACGCCCAGGGTGGTGCTCTCTTCTCCACACTTGACTCCTTCTACGTCTTCGCCGGCCTGGGCGAGGGCTCCACCACCGAGAACAACGTCCTCGCCGCGTACAACCGGACGAGCAGCCAGTGGTCGAGCCACACCGTGTCCGGCGGCAACTACAACAAGCTCAACCGCCTCTTCCCGGGTACCGCCAGCATCCCCAGCACCGGCCTGTCGTTCTTCAGCGGCGGCGGCTCCTCCGGGACCAACAAGCCCGGCCAGCCCACCGGCATGCTGCGCTTCGACGCCTCGAACCCGAACGCGCTGACCTGGCGCAACGAGACGGCCGAAAGCAGCTCGGGCGTCTCCGTGCCCGCGCGCGTCGGCGGAAACATGGTGTACGTGCCCATGGGCGAGCAGGGCGTGATCCTGCTCTGGGGAGGGTACAATGGTACCGAGGTTAATAATCAGACTGGGCTTCCAGCCTTCTCGTACCAGCTCATCGACAACCGGAGGATATATGTGTACGACATCGCCAGTGCGAGCTGGAACATTGTTTACGCACAGGGCGATGACATCCCCGGAAGAAGATCGGAGACGTGCGCCGTCGTCTCTGCGGCGCCGGATTACTCCTCGTTCAACATTGCCATGTACGGTGGCTGGAACCTTTACGACGGTGAGCTTTCTTCCTGGGATATACCGAACAGACACGACCGGAAAGAAACGCACGCTAACGAATGATATGCTTGCAGGCGAGGCGTACTCGGAAACATGGGTGCTCAGCGTCCCGAGCTTCAGGTGGATCAAGATGGAGAGCGCCAATTACACGGGCTCCAACACAGAGGCGCTGCAGGGCAACAAGCAGGGCCGCCACCAGCACCACTGCGCGGTGCACAACGACGCGCAGATGATCGTGCTGGGCGGGCTCATCAACAAGAACGGCACCGACCAGGCCCACGTATGCGACTCGCAGCTGCCGCCGCTGCGCATCTTGAATCTGGCCACGATGACTTGGCAGAAGAGCTTCGATGCTAGTGCAGAGTATAGCGTGCCCGAGGACGTGTACGCCGTTATTGGTGGCGAGTACGTTGAATCCCCCCCCTCTTTCCCTCGTACAGTGTATATAGAGACTGACCAACCACCCCCACAGCGGCTCCGGCAACGCCAAACTCACCCAACCCGACGGCGGCTTCAACGACACCTCCGTCGCCCGCATCTTCGCCACCACCGTGGCCCGCGCCTCCGACTCAACCGCTTCCGCCACCTCGACGGCCACCGGTTCCTCATCCTCATCCTCATCCGACGATTCCGCCAAACACACCGCCATCGTCGGCGGCATTGTAGGCGGCGTCGTCGGCGGCGTCGCGGGCCTCGCTGCCATCGTGACCATCGCCTGGCTTGTGCTCAGGCATAAGAGGAAGAACAGGGAAGGCGCGATGATGGCTGTGCCGCAGCATGACGGCACGACCCCGCTCGCTGGTTCGCCTGGGCAGCATCAGGGCGGGAGCGGGGAGTATGCGATGGGAGCGTATGGCGGTGGTGCGGAACACTACGGGGGGCAGACGGACGCGGAGAAGAGGCCGGCGGAGTTGGATCCGGGGACGGGGTTGATGGAGGCGGATGGGGCGCATGAGAGGCCGGTGGTGAGGGAGGTGGAGGGGAGAATGGTGGCGGAAATGGAGGGAGATGGGCCGAAGGATGTGTATAGGCGGTCGTGAGGGAGTGAATGGGAGATCATGGTGAAGATGCGGACGGAGGTAGAGGCGGTTGTCAAGATACCCCTGCGAGCGGTTGTCGTGGTTATTCGTATGGTAATGTATATATGTGTACGTATGACTGTAAAGGCTGAAAGCTCTGGACTAGGGACGTACGTTTGCGCGTGTTGTTCTCCCATATGCACCCACACCCCCTTTAACGCCCGTTTTATCACATTTGTCAACGACCTACGCTGTACAGACCATATCAATGGCCTCACGCCGTGTAGTTTTTACACTTCAATTCAGGACCAGTCTAGACGCTCTGCCCGCACGGACCACTGCGGGAGACTTCAGCTACCCCTTACGGCAACAAACGTCGAAAAAGCTTGTCTTTCCCGTCGATTGGCGAGTCCTTAGGCAACACTGGCACGAAATAGGAGCATTGTAAACGCCACATAACCAAAGTATTCGCACTGCAATCAATGGCTCCAGGCAACAACCCAGTTATAGATTAGCGCACCCTGAGCCGCGTGACGGCGGATCCTTCCGGGGTTTGCATTTAATATGCCGACATCCCAGTGTCTTCCAGCGCTCAGGAGGCCAATACCCAGGACGGCAACGCATACATAACCGTTCGTCATGTGGATGTTGACCAGATTCCGGTCTCAACGGCCAGACATACCGACATGCGACTCACCGCGCGACACTCTCCCACTTCCCGCGGAGATGACGCGGCGGATTCTGTTCTTTGTATCGGAACCGACCATCACCTACGATGGCCGTAAACGGACATACAAGTACGGGCACCCGCGCAACCTCCACCACCCACCCGACGACATTCAGAACGCCCGGCTCGTGTGCAAGGCATTCGCCGACCTGGGCGCCGAGTTCCTCCTCCGAAATCTGGTAGTGTCGGCAGACCTCAAGCAGCTCGCACACGTCAAGGAGATAGCAGAGCACAAGCGTCTCTGCAAGGCGGTGCGCTCCCTGTACTACGACTGCAGAACCTTCCCCGATACCTGGCCGGAAGAGCCCGGCAGCGACGCGGATGACGACCTCGAAGACGTCGAGGAGCACCCGCCTCCGGAGCCCCGGCCCCTCTACCACGAGCAAGAAGACATCTTCAAGCACTCACTCGACACCGAGTGCCTCCGCGCCGCCCTCGGCACCCTCACCGCCGTGACCCGGGTCCGGTGCAAGCCGCGCGAGCGCTTCCCCCACCACCCGCTCGAGCGCTCCCGCCACGACCCGGGCGACGTCTCCTCGGCGGGCCGGCGCAACAACAACGACGACGACGACAACGGCGACCGGCCCAGCAACGACCGCGACGCCCGGCCGCTCTACCACCTCGCCGCCGCCATGACGAGCGCGCCCGCCCACAACATCCGCACCCTCAGCCTCTCCTTCCACCTCACCCTCCTCGCCGACGCCCGCCTCGCCCCGCAGCGCTTCGCCTCGCTCCTCGCCGCCCTCGCGCCCGTCACCGACCTCACCCTCGCCGTGCGCACCGACGACGCCGGCCTCGGCACGCCGCAAGACCTGGCAAAGTACGCCGCCGCGTACGGGCCCCACCCCACCGCCATCTCCCTCTTCAAAGCCATCCTGTTCGACCCCTCAGCATCCACCACCACCACCGCCTCGTCCGCCCCCCTCGCCGCCCTCTTCGACGCCACCTCCCGCACCCTCCACCGCCTCAAACTAACCCTCAGCCCCATTGGTCGGCGTCGCCGCGACGATAACTCCTCAACGAGCTGGCGCTACGCCCTCCCTCTCTCCGCCTTCCTCGGGAGCGCCGCCGCCACAACCACCACATCCCCACCCCCCATCGATCCCCCCCACCCCATCCGCTGGCCAACCCTCCACTACCTCTCCCTCGGCTGCGTCGACGCCACCGCCGCCGACCTCACCGGCTTCCTCCTCCCCCGCCGCCACGCGCTCGCCTACACCGAGTTCGACCGCGTGTGGCTCCGCCGCGGGCAGTGGTGCGTCGTCGGCGCGGTGGCGCTGCGGGCGGCCGGGCGCGCGTGGCGGTGGAGCAAGATGAATCGGTTGGGGCAGGTGGAGGCGGTGGAGGCGGTGGTGGTGTTGCCGGGGGAGGTGGCGGGGGCGGTGAGGGAGGCGGAAGAGGGGGAGGAGGGGGAAGAGGGGGAGGGGCAAAGGGGGAAGGGGAAGGGTGGGGAGGTGAGGGTCGCGTGGGATGAGTGTTATTTTGCGGCGGGGGAGGACTGTTCGACGTTGAGCGCGGGGGAGGGGCCGGATGAGGCGCGGGGGCCGGGGTATGGGTGGCCGGTTTGAAGGGGGGAGGGGGGAGGGAGAGGAGAAAGGGGGGAATGGAAACAGTTCGTGGACTCGGTGGTTGTCGCGTCGATGTCCATCCGACGTGCTGCAGCCAGTAGAGCTTTATTGCATGCTAGTGGCACACCAGTGACTGGCGAGTTGAAAGTGGATTCAACGTTGAATATCAAACTGCCTGTTTAGGCAAAACCCCCTCCTCCTCCTTGGGCTCGCACAGACGAAGATGATAAACTACACAAGAAAAGAATAATACGTGTTAAGCCACAATAAATGTTTTGACAAACCATGTGTCTATACAAGACCTTCAACTAAATACTTACACACACACTCATTCACACTCACATTCCCTCATTCTCCCTCCCTCTTCTATCCCAACAGCCCCATCTACCGTCCCCAAAACCGAACAACCCACCACTCTACTTCGACGACGAAGAAGTCACAAAGCTCTTCAGATAGTCAAAGACGCCCGACGCACGCGACTGGGGCTGGGGCTGGGGCTGGGGCTGGGCCTCCTGCCTCGCATGGTTCCCAATCGCGCCCATGGCGTCCGCCTCGGCGACGGTCGGCAGCTTGCGCACCGCCGCAAAGCGATCCTCGGTGATGAGGTAGGCCCGAGGCAGGCCGACGTCGTCGACGACCTTCTGCTGCGCCTCGGAAGCGGGCACGCCGGCGGCGTCCGCCAGCGCGAGCTCCACGACGGCTTTGCCGCAGAGCGTGCCGTTCGGCATGCCGTGGCCTGTTCACGCACACACATGCGGGATTAGTATAAAGAACAAAATACGAAGGGATGAGATAATCCCAAAAAAAAAACACAAAGCACAAGAAAAGTAGAAAAATAAAAAAGAAAGAGTAACGACTCACCCGTATACCCGCCCGCCAACCACACCCCCTCCCCAGGCACCTTGCCCACCCACGGCACATTATCCCTCGAATACCCCATGATGCCCGTCCACTGATGCGTCGCCTCCAACTCCCGCAACCCCCCGGTCTCGCCCCCCAACTCCATATACTCCAGCAACCTGCCCCTCAACCACGCCGCCATCCCCTCATCCACGACGCCGTCGTCCCACACGCCCACGCGCTCGTGCCGCGCCGCCCCGTCGCCGCCGCCGTACATGTAGTGCCCGGCCGGGTTGGGCACCCCCCCGTACGGCCGCTGGTTGAGGTAGTCGTCGCCGTGCGCGGGCTGGCCCCGCTGCCCGCACAGGCCGTACGAGTCGGCCAGGCGCGGCGCCCCCGGCGGCGGCAGCAGCGACGACATTTCGCCGCGGACGGGCACGATGAGGTCCGCGAAGGACGGGAGCAGGTGCGACGTGTAGCCGTTGGTGGCGAGGATGACGTGGCGCGCCCGGATGGGGCCGCGAGGGGTGTGGAGAGTGTGGGAGTGGTGGGGGGAGGAGGAGGTGCTGCTGTCGGCTGATGAGGAGGAGGAGGAGATGGATTCTACGGGGGTGTTGGTCTGCAGGTTGAGGCGCCCGCTCTTGACGAGCTTTTCGAGGATGAAGGTGACGAGCTTGTAGGGCCAGAGGGAGGCGGCGGCGCTGGTCAGGGTGCAGCCGACGGCTTTGCTGATGCGGTGGGCGGCGAGCTCGTCGGGGGATGTCACGACGCGCACGAGTTTGCCGAGTTCGGGGTCTTTGGCTTGGAGGGCGGCTACTTCGGCTTGGGCGACGGCGAACATGGAGGAGGAGTAGTAGCTGCGGCAGCCGTCGAGGGAGCGCCACTCGCAGGGTACATTGTGCTCTTCGATGTAGGCTTTGACGGCGTTGTAGTTGAGGACTTCGAATTGGGTCACGTCGAGGGCGCGGGCGACGGGGAGGACCTGGCAGTGGCCTGGTGCGCGGTAGTCAGCAGCTGATGCAGAGTTGTTGGATCCAGGTGGTGGATGGTTACCTCCGTTGCGGCCGGTAGCTCCCCAGCAGGCCTCGCGGGCCTCGAGGAGCACGATGCTCTTGCCCTTGGCGCGCTCATCTTCGGCCAGAAAGCGGGCTGCCGATGTACCGGTGATGCCGCTGCCGACAATGACAAAGTCGGCTTCGGAAGGGAGCTCGGAGGTGGTGCGATGGCCGAGAAGGAACTCGTTGGGTTCGCTGTGCCAGAAGGACGAGGTGGAGTTGGGAACGGGCAGCCCCGCGGGCTTGTGCTCGGATGATGTCATGGCGGCTGCGGTGGTCGTTCGCGCTGTCTGTCTCACGTCCCACACGCTTCACGGCAGCTCTTATGTACGATTGAGCTCTGAGAGATGCGGAATTGGCTGCGGAGTAGTCTTGGGTGAGAGCATTGAAGGATGTACTCCGTAAGAGTGGGCGGGATTGCATGATTCGCAGTACTCCGCTGCGGGGCTCAGGGTCCATCGCTTTCGTGCGCGCCTAGCCATTTTCCGATAAGGATTGCGCTCCGCCTCGCGCGGTGTTCGGTGTTGCAGGGGGCGGACCGGCCCTCTAGGCTGGCGTTGCCGAACTCTCCAGGCCTCTGTTCGTCGCTCAAACATCAAACATTATGAGTGTAGCCCTCCCTGACTAGCCGTCCTGCTGGCGCAGAGATTCGCATTCCTTTGCCTTCACTTCCGAACGACTTTTCAGAGCCGATCAAACGAACGGGGCGACTACATAAGTTTCCCTGGCAACAATTAAATACAAACACGCTGCCGAAATTAAGACTGCGTGAAAAATGCAATGGCGAGCTACTGTAAGCTTCACTGCCCGCAGCCTGACGATAGTACCGCGTACCAGAATCCCGGTTTTGTTGGCATTTATCATCCAGCTCCCGAGCGTCTGGCCCTTTTGGGATCTCAACGGCGGATTGGAAAGGAACGATCATTAACTCTTTCCCCGTTCATTGTCGTACGTCATTCACCCGTAGGTATGTAGTCTACAAGACCGGAGACCGGAAGTAAGCAGGCCGCGCGGAGGATAACTGCGCACGAATATGGGTTCCTCTTTATAGATTCGTCTGTCTTTTTTGTATGAGAATTTCTTTTTTTTTTGGCCATTCGGTACCCCGTCTACTGACGTTTCTCGCGTCATTCTTCTTTCGGTCTAACCGTGTTTTATCTACCATGTTCCAATTCCTTCTTGGAATATCATCATTTTCATCCGAGGTCATCCTGTTACACGAGGTGCAACGGTGTCGAAAGGCCCATGGTTCTCAGGCCGTTATGCCCCTCGCGTCATACTAGCTCTCCACGTTGAGTGTTGACGAAAACGGAAAATAGGTGGATATTCTTAGTTCACCCCAGTTCGTTTCCAAAAATAGCTCGACGGTGGTTATTCGTTTGGTATGACGTGGTAGTACTAAAATTCTTAGCTCCCGCATGTCGACGCGGCGTAGGTATGTCGAGTCTCGCGTGCTATTTTCGAACCACGCTTCATACCGCTCGCCTCTGTCCCACGAAGCCGAGTCTTTTAACCTGGTGTTGGTATTTGACATCTGATCTACTTTACCCAACCGCTCTTCCATCAAGCCAACGCCTAGGCCTGAGACTGACAACGGTTGCGCCACCAAGACGCCAAGCAAATCCCCAGGCCTGGGCAATGGTCAAACCATGCAGTAGTGTCTCGCGGGGATCCATATGCGCAACAAAGCAGATCGGCAGAGGCGGATCTGCATACCCAGACGGAAAGAGCCGCCCTGGCTGACACCGACCGAATCCCCGAGGTGCCGCGTCCTTGGAACCTGCAACTGATGCTGCATGCTTTCAGCTGAATTATTACGTAGGACGGATCGACAACAGCCCGCCGTCTCCACTGATATGAGATCTTCAGGGAGCAAAGAGCACATGCTGGAATCGGACAGTCACGAGTGAACAATCCAAAGTGATTTTCGCCCTTGGCTCGGGAAACCAAGCTTTGCGGTCAGTCGGAGCCTTGGTGGGGGAGTAATGTCTCGGCCGCACCGGTTGATCCGACGACATGCAAACAAACGGTTTTTGTCGGAGCAGCCAGGCGACGCGTGCTGCGAGGACATGAGGGTTCGGGAGAGCCGTGGAACCGGGTTGACGTGGCCGCGTTTTGTGTCATCGCACATTGCCTGAACTTGGAAAATGGCTGTCAGCCCTGCAACGGTTATGCAAGGCGCACCGAATGCAGATACTCCTTGATGACAGGGGCAGCGCTGCTAGCGGCGGCCCAGCGGAACACAGGAGCCGCGAGCGGTGGCAGCGGCGTGGGCGGAAAGACGACATCATCAGGAGTTGGGATGCGCGGCGGGTGGAGCGGTGGAGCCAGCAGCAGCGGCCGGAGAGTGGCATGGGCGGCCATGTTCAGCCCTACGGCGAAGTTATTCAGGGAGAAGGGGCTGCCAAGCGCGCTAAACCTTGTTGCTGCCGAGTCGCTGCCCACTGCGCTGCCCTGTTATCTGCCGGCAAAGTGGACGGGGCATCGTAATGCGCGTGGCAAATGAAGCGAGAGAGACACATCCGAGCTTTATCGAAAGTCATCAAAGGTCACGGTTCTAGCCTCACGCAGTCGCGGTCGCGGTGGGGTGCAATCAAATGAAGTGGTGTGAAAGCGTTCAAGATTCGGAAGATGAAGAACTATTGGTACAAGAATCTCTCCAAGGGGTATAAGAGTGTCTAATCAAACTGTACAAATCCAGAAACAGCTTCTCCGCATTAAGAATCCATACAATCCGTGCGCATCCCCTGCACCTCGAAGTAATTCCCCTCTTGCGTCCCGTTCGCGGTGGTATCGTTGATCATGGGTCGTCGATCTCGTTCCCAGAGCCAAGCTGGTTGATGTTTTCCAATGAACGAGGCAGAGAGTCAATCTCTGAAAGACGCAGCATGCCGGCGCCGCAGTTTTGTTTGAAGAAGAGTTGAAGGTCCAGCCAGCCATTGCCCCGCCATCTAGTGGGATTCGCCGCGCATGTGGTTATACGCGTCCTTGACCGTCTCGCGCACGCTGAAGCCGCCAAACAGCCATTGGTTGGTGTGGCGGCCATAGTAGTACGAGTAGCTGCTGTCGGTGCTCTGGCGCTTGGAGGGCGCGGGCGACCAGGTGGAGCTGGTGGTTGACGACGAGTCGACACGGCGCACCGCGTGGCTCCTCACCGGCGAGGCCGAGGGCGAGCCGGAAGAGGGGAGGCGGGTGGGAGGCATGGGCGAGCGTTCGCGCGAGCGGGGGGTGCGCGAGCGGCTTCTGGAACGCTCCCTGATCTTCTCCTTGATGGCGCCGAAGAAGTTCTGCTCGGCCAATGGCACAGAGCGGGGAATGGGCTTGGTGTTGTTGAAGCAGAAGGTCTGCGAGTTTGCGCTGGGCGAGACGGGCTCGACCGAGGCTCTTGTCGAGGCCGAGGACTGGGTGAATGTGCGGTGGGCCATGGCGGACTGAGGGTTGGTGGTGGTGGTGGTGCTGTCCATTGAGTGTTTTTTGGGTGCTGTGTGGTGTGTTTTCGGCTGGCTTCTCAGGTGGTAGTAGTGGTGTCTGAGAGATGTCGATAGGAAACGGCAAGAGGGCAGGCGGGCAGGTGTGTTTATATAAGTCGAGCTGCGTAGCCGGACGAGGGCGGAATGCTTGGCCGCGCAGGGCAGCCGGGCGACGGCACCGAGGGGACGGTGTCTGGGGTTGAGATTGCAAGGATAAGGGTGGGAGTGGCATCGGCGCTGGCCGTGCGCGCAGCGGGTGGCCGATGGGCAGCCAATGGGCAGGACTTGGCCTTGCTGCCTTCTGTTAGATTAGGGCTGACTCTGAACAGGGCCCGCCCGCCTTCACCGACGCCCCTGCGGTGACTCGCCCACCACTCGCCCTCCAGCACCACTCGGCCCGCCCACTGTCTGCTTCGGGCCCCGCCAGCGCACCTCAGCGCACCTGAGCAAAAGAAGCGCGACGCGCATGCGACACGGACCGCCAATCGACGGCTGCCTGGCGACCTCCAGCCCTGCGCGCTACCGACAGCCTGCAGCGCCGCCGGTCAGCTTCTGTCGGACTCGCCGCGGCACACAGGTACGTCAACTCGCGAGGGCATGGCTGCGGTCGGGCCACCTGCGGGCTCTTCAGACGCGTCGCCGGCATTGCGAGCGTCCTGTGATTCCGCCGCAGCGCTCGGAATAGCAGCTGAGGCGCGCCCGTGCCCCGCCGCCTCAGGACGCCCGCCGCCATCGACCGCTCATCAACCCCAAACCGCCAGCCATCTCGGCTCGCGCGGCCCGTGCGGCATGGGCGCGCGTCGGAATCCAAGTGCGAGCAGCGGACGGTGACATCAAAACGTCAGCTGCATCCCTCCCGCACCTGCTCCCGCGGCCCATGTCACTGTTGTGCGCTTTGTCCCACGGCTCACCGGCGGCCTGCATGGCGGCCAGGCCTTGGCGACAGGCTCATGTTCCAGACCTGCTCCACCACGCACATGCTCATGCTCCCGCTTAAGCTCCAGCGTCCTGCGTCCTGCTCCTGCGACAGCGCACCACCACCGCCTTGTCGCGACACAACCCACAGCTCCCCGCCGCACTGTCTCCACGCCGTGTTTCTGGGCACTTTGCAACGGCCACTTGGCGTTTGAAACCTTCGCTTTCCTCTCCCTGTTGCGGCCTCGCTCTCAAACAAGCGAACCATCGAGCTCTGTCGCTCTTTCTGTGAAACATCTTCCACCGTGTGGCGTCGTTGTCTGGGCTGCGTGCCTGTTTGATCTCTTGACCCATGTGTCAGCCTTGAGGGAGGGGATCCCATCCGCGCCTTGGCCTTGCGCCCTCTCCCAGAGCTGCGGGATATGAATAGCCCTCCACCCCTCCTCACCCGGCAAGTGCACAGCATGTCGCTCCCGCATAGGATGACTTTTCCCGCATGATGCTTCAGCGGTAGCCAACACGATCCGGAGAGACAGAAGCAGGCTTCCGAGCGGCGGATTCGGATTCCCTACTCCTCTGTTCCATCAGAGAAAAAAAGCCTCTGGTCTACCGACGGCCACAGTATCCTTGGAGTCTGGAATCCAACAATACCAAGGCTCTCCTGATCAAAGGGATCAAGGTGGTGCGTGGTTTTTGAGGGCTGGAGGTCACGCGAGGCCACCCCAAGTTCACCGGAGAATCGACGGCCACTAATTTCCTCTCCCCGACATGACATCGTACAGACGGCGCCGGGCGGGAACCACGAGGCTGCTGGAGGCCCAGCGCTCCGCTCCGCCCTTCTCCCAGGGCTGAGCGGCGGGCGGGGCATCTTTTGACTTCTCCGCCTTCATTTGCCAAAGGAACGGCCTAAGGCTCGCCTCCGGCCGATCAAACATCACTCTGGCCGTTTCGCTTCGTAAAACCGCTCGCTTGGCGGCAGTTCGCCCCTACTTGCCGTGCGTTTTACTCTTTTGTCCAGTTAACGCCGTTTCAATATACACAGCGCCAGACCTCATTGGCTGTTTTGTTGCTGTTTCTCCGCCACCGCCGCAGTCCCGGCCGGCCTCGCTTGCCTGTTGGCGCCATCGCGCTCTTGACACGGAACTGCGGCGCGTCGCGCCCTCTCCCTACTGCCGTCAGGAGTATATATGGACTCCTGTGTTTCCGCTTGTTTCAAACACTGCTCTTCTCTCTGTCAAGACTTGACGTCTGTTTTTCAAAATGTCGTTCGTTGCTACCGCCTTCACTTCTCTGCTTGCCGTCCAGGCCGCTCAGGCCATTCCTTTCTCGTGAGCTCCTCAATCTATCTCAGCCTTGCCTGACTCTGACTAAATTTGCCCAGGCGCCGTGCTGCAGCTGGTCTGAACACGGCTGCGCAGGCCGCCGGTCTCGAGTACTTTGGCTCCGCTACCGACAACCCGGAACTTACCGACACCGACTATGTCGCTGGCTTGAACAACACTGCAGACTTCGGCCAGATCACTCCTGGTAACTCCATGAAGTGGGATACCATTGAGCCCTCCCGCGACAGCTTTTCCTACACCAAGGGAGACGTCATCGCCGATCTCGCCGAGGCCAATGGCCAGAAGCTGCGCTGCCACACCCTCGTTTGGTACAACCAGCTGCCCAACTGGGTCAAGACTGGTGGCTTCGACAACGCTACCCTTGTCGAGATTCTGAAGAACCACGTCACCAACGAGGTCACTCACTACAAGGGTCGCTGCGACCACTGGGACGTTGTGAACGAGGCTCTTGACGACGATGGAAACCACCGTGATTTCGTCTTCTACAACACCATTGGCGAAGCTTACATTCCCATCGCCTTCGCCGCCGCCGCCGCCGCCGATCCCGATGCCAAGCTGTTCTACAACGACTACAGCATCGAGTGGTCCGGCAACAAGCAGAAGGCTGCCAAGAAGATTGTTGAACTGGTCCAGTCCTACGGTGTCAAGATCGACGGTGTTGGCCTCCAGGCCCACTTCACTGTTGGCAACACTGTTGGCCAGGACGCCTTGGAAACCACCATCCAGGACTTCGCGTCGCTTGGCGTCGAGGTCGCCATCACTGAGCTTGACATTCGCATGGAGACCCCGGCTACCGATGCCAACCTCGAGCAACAGGCTACCGACTACGCCTCTATTGTCAACGGTTGCTTGAACCAGAAGGATGCTTGCAGGGGCATCACCATCTGGGACTACACTGACAAGTACTCATGGGTGTAAGTATTTGACAAACTCACAAGAACGTTCTGAGCTTACCGGTCTTGACAGCCCTTCGACCTTCTCCGGCTACGGTGCTGCCCTTCCGTGGGATGAGAACTTGGAGAAGAAGCCCGCCTACGATTCTATCCTGTCCGCTCTCCAGGCGGCAGCCGGCACCAACGGCACCAGTACGTCCACTCCTGCAGTCGAGACCACTCCGGCTGCCGCCACCCCCACCCCTACTGCCACTAAGGCTTCGAGCAGCGCAGTAGTCGCCCCGTCGGCGACTTCGGTCGAGGTTGCGGAGACTACTGCTGCGGGGACCCCTGTCGAGACTCCCGCTCAGACTCCCATCGGGACTGCCGCCGAGACCCCTAGCTCTACTCCCGCCGCCTCCACCGGCAGCTCCGGCAGCGCTGTCTCCAAGTACGGCCAGTGCGGCGGTACGAGCTACTCCGGCGCCACCACCTGCGAGAGTGGCTCGACCTGCAAGGAGTGGAATCAGTATTATTCTCAATGCATCTAAGCGCACAACGACGTCGTCTACGCGCTTCGAGGACGGGATGAGCGGATAGTTGCCTTTGCCCTTCTCTGTGGATACTTTTTGTACAAAATGAAGAATTCTTTGCTCGCACCACCTGCCTCGATCTACTCGATCTTCGAGATCCGCCCATCGCTTGCTGGTAGCACAGTGGCAACCGATCGCAGGAGCTCGAGGCTAAATTAGCGGACAACAGTCATTCCTGCGGCACATCTTGCGCCAGCCTTTCAGCTGGACATGGGAAGCCGATGTGGTGTCACGTTGTTTATCAGCCTTCCCCATCCGTGCATCTAGCCGTGAGTGACCACCGGCCCGCGCTGCGCCTATCGCATTCCTCTGTGCATGAGACCCTTCTCTCCCATGCTGACTTGATCAACCCAGCGAGATGTCGATGGTACGCGATATGCCAGGTAGACCCTTGATACCATGAAGAAGACAGAAGTCGGTCCACTCCAAACATCATCCCTGTACAGTGACTCCTCTCACTGTTAGCGTCAATCTGGCTGGCTGGCTGGCTGGCAACATCTTCCCACAGCTGTTTGCAAGTCATCCTCCCCAATCTTGGAGAGAGCCCTCTGCAGACGCAGCGCAGAGCAGTCGAGTCCGCTCTAGACCGCCTCGCCCCCCCTCCGTCACTCTCACATTTCTACCTTGATTCAGGCCACGTCGGAGATATCTCCCTTCCCCCCGGCAGCAAGCATGCAACTTAGCCGGGCACAAGAGCTGCTGTGTCGATAACCGCAGCAGCATCTTCCCTTGCCCAGGCCAGGCCAGTCCAGGACAGGCCCGGCCATCTTTTCAGTAAAGCTCGCTCTTTGTAAGTGTGGCGCGCGCAGTCGCAGTCCATGACGGGTGGCTGGCTCGCTGGCTCGATCCAAGGTTTTTACACGCCTGATCTTTCACCCTTGCTGAATGATGGGTTTCCCCCACCCCTGACATGGTACGATGCGATCGTTCCAACGGCCGTTGCGCAACGGGCTATTGGCCGGTTTCCCGCATGCACTCCCCCCACGTGGCCGTTGCAACCTGCTGACTGATCTGCGAACTGAGACAAGTGTTGCGCAAGAATTTATTTCCTTTCCCTCTTTCTTTCTCGTAATACTCTCTGCTGCGTTGATGCAATCGTGCGGAGGGAGGGGACGCGTCATAGTCGAAAGTAAAAAAAAAAGATGAAAAAAAAAGGAAGATGGTTGGGGAAGAGGTTGTCGCTCGAGCAACCGGGCTTGAGACGTAGGAACGATGAAGCATTTTCATGTAAGCTATATTCCTAGCCCACGTCACTGGAGGAAATACTGAACGAGAGAGGGTCTGGTCTGCGAGGCGTACATAGAAAGAAAAAAAAGAGATGGAAGGCAAAATGATTGGCATGTGTGGTAGTATTGGATGCCGTCATCTGTATCCCGTTCCCCCTCGTCCCAGGATCCACACCACCTGCCAACCGAATGCTTATCTTGCTTTCTAGACAGACCCAGTTCTTCTCACTCGTCCAGCCGCATGGCGGGTGGCTGGAGCAACCAGAGCGGAATGCCAGAGGGCATGGGGAGGCTGGCGTCTACTAGATCACATCATCCGCGCCATGGGGTGGCTGTCACTGCCTCCCCTTTCTCCTTCGTTGACGCATGCCACACCAGGGACCCGGGTCCATGCAGATGACACTTTGGCCTGCCAGTCCTCTCTCGCGGTATTCTTCGCCGTTCCGAAACACAAGAACGCGGCCCTCGGTCCGCCGCACCGCTACAGTCTCGCTTCAATCTCTTTGCTTGATCAGGAAGTAAGGGGTAGGCGTCCAATCGTCACACCCAGGCATATATCTTTCAGAAAAAAAAAAAAAGAGACGTCAAGCTGCACGAGCTAGACCGGCCTTACAGTCTGAGCCGGCGAGAGCGGAACACATATCCGACGCATTGCCCAGGAGCCGGGCTGCCAACCGTGGTTGATCTTTGTGTGTCGTCCTTTGGGCTTGAGGGGGTGAGCAGGGATGCAGTGTCGATCAAGGAAAAAAAAAGAGAGAGCAGCAGCCTCTCAACACCTGGACCGCATGTTGTGTAAAACGGCCTACGACCGCGATACAACCATTAGAAGCTACCATAGACGTACCCTCTCCCCATTCCCGGAGAATTAACTCCACTTTTTTCTCTGCTCCTCCTCCCCCTTCCCCCTTCCCCAAGCAACCCAAACTCTAGGCCCTCGCCTCTGGGACCACCTCTCCCTACGCACGACGACTGTCGATCTGATACCCGATAGCTTGCGCGTAGCCCGGACGTCTTTCGTTATCGCTCTAAAAATTTCCCCATGTTGCGTGCCCTCACAAAAATGGAAAGGGCACCAATAGCCACAGGGCATCTCCGTCCACAAGGACCCCCCTGCGCTCTCTCTCGCGCTTCTTTTCTCGCTACCCTCTCGATCTTTCCCGCTTGCTCGCTCCCCGCTCTTTCGGCCGTCCAATACACGGCATACGCTGTCCAGCTGAGAGCGGAAGAGGCGAATGGAGGCAGCTAGCCCGACCAAGGCCGCGCAACGCGCGCAGAGGCCGGGTGGAGTAAGGTGCCATCGCACCACCCCCATATGCCTCATCCTGCGTAGGGGGGAGGGGGGTTAGAGAGGAGGGATGGGGAAAGAAGAACAGAAGGAACACTAAGCAGGGGAAAAAAGTGCACACGACTGCGGTGGAAACGAGAAAATGCGCGGCCACGGGGGGGCGGAGAGTGGCATCGTGGACATTGGCCGAGAGTGACATCGTTAGCGCCGCACTTTGGTATGATGTCGCCCCTCCTCGGTTCAATCTCCCAAATCTTCAAACACGCCTAAGCCAGTAGGCCTTTCTTCTTCTTTGCTGCTCTCCTTCTCCCCCGAGTACTTAAGAGGATCCTCGTCTTGCTCCCCAGCGTGTTTACCACTTCGCTGCCTCAACCCTGCCTGCAGTATCCTGTCTCAACAAACATCCACTGGTGCTCCTTGGGAAGCAGTTGATGGAACAAGAGAGTACCTACTCATACCTCCCTTTGAAACCACTCTTCCATCATGCAGTCGATACGTCAGTACCGTGAGATAGGACGCTATGTCGAGCACACCCACCATGAGGAGGAGAACCGGTCCAAGGAAGCGCCTGATGTCGCCGTCATAAAGCATCACACGCCAACCCTGCCCCTGCCCTGCCTCGGTCCGAACATCAAACAGCAGTGGCACTCCGACGTCGAGCAGCAGCTGCAGAGCTACTCATCCTCGCAGGTTTGGAAGTCCAATCCGGGCAGCTGTGCCGAGTCGATCCGATCCGACAAGAGCAGCTACTACTCTGTCAGCAGCGAGAAGTCCGAGAAGTCGACCGGACAAGATACAGACAGCATCCACTCATCCTCCGCCTCGTCCCAGTCCGTCAAGCCGCAGCAGGACAGCGGGTACGCCTCGACCAACGAGAAGACGTCGCTGCCGACCAGCCAATCGACGAGCTCCATGAGCTCCGCCTCCACCACCTCCTCCTCCTCCGACAACGCCTTCGCGCCCGCCGTCATCCGCCTCTCCGCGATCCCCGCCCGGCGAAAGTCGACCGAGTCCATCATCAGCCACTTCTCCCGGCACTCGGGCGAGGTCATGGACCCGTCGCACTTCTTCGAGGAGCCGCGGGCGGCGCCCGTGCCGCCCGAGGAGCCCGAACGCATCATCCCCGTCCACAGCACGGGCGCCAACGACCCCACCAACCCGCGCAACTGGCCGCTCAAGAGCCGCATGGCCGCCTTCTGGATCGTCACCTGGCTCTCCTTCACCCAGACCTGGGCCGGCAGCGCCGACTCGTCCTACGCCGCGGCCGCGGCCGAGGCGCTGGGCGTCAGCCGCGTTGCCGCCTCGCTCAACACGGCCGCCTTCTCCATCGGTATCGCCGTCGGCTCGCTGTTCGTGGGGCCCCTGTCCGAGACGTTCGGCAGGGGCTGGTGCTTCTTCATTGCCGGCTTTGTGTATCTCCTCGCCGTCATGGGGACCGCCGTCTCTCGGGATCTGGCCGGGCAAGTGATTTCGAGGTTGGTTGTCGGGCTGTTCTCGAGCGTGACGGGTGCGGTGAGTGGGAGCGTCATGCACGATGTGTTCGACGCGAAGGAGAGAAGTATCATGTATCCTATCCTGGCGCTCATGAATACGCTTCGTAAGTGTCGAGCCTTTTTAAGCTGGTTAAGACTGAGTAGAATATCTTTGCTGACATTCTCCATAGCCACCGCGCTTGCACCCATCCCGGGAGGCTGGATCGTCGAGTACGGAAGAGTGACCTTTTATTGGGCCGACTGGATTACCTTGATCATCAGTTTTCCGGTGTGGGTTGCTGCTCTGATCTGGTTGCCGGAGACATACTCTCCGCTTCTCCAAACCTGGAAAGCCCAGCACCTGCGGCGCGTAACTGGGGACCAGAGGTACAGAAGCGGACTGGAGACTGGAGGCGGTCTTTGGTCTCGTCTCAGAGAGACCCTACCGCGGCCTATCATCTTTTGGTGTCGTGAGCCCGTCATCATCATCCTGGGGATCTATACCGTTGTGTTGAACGTCCTGCTATTTGTCTTCCTGTCGGCTTTTGAGTTCATATTTGCCGATACCTACGGCTTCTCCAGCGGAGAGACCACCCTGGTCTTCCTCTCCATCGGCGCCGGCACCATCTTCAGCACGTGCCTGACACCCATCTGGTACAAGCTCGACATGCGCGCTCTAGCCAAGCGCCAAGTCATCGATGGACCCGAAGCCACGTTCCCACCCGAGTCGCGGCTCTGGCCCTGCATGGTAGCATCGCCCTTCTTCGCGATATGCATATTTTGGCTGGCCTGGACAAACTACCCGTCCATCTCTCCATGGTCGGGCATCGGTGCGTGTTTTGTGTTTGGGTACGCCCTCATTTCGATCCAGATCTCGAGCTTCCAGTATATCATCGACAGCTACGGCCCGTACGCCGCGAGCGCGCTGGGAGGCATCACCGTGGCCAGATACGGATTCGCTGCAGGGTTGAACGTAGCTTCGAGGCCGATGTTCGAGACTCTGGGGGTGCAGTACACACTGACGATGATCGGCAGCATCGCGGCGATCCTGGTCCCGGCTCCCTGGATCTTTTACAAGTATGGCGCAAAGGTGCGGGCGCGCAGCAGGTACGCGAACTACGCTTGAACCAGGAAGCGGTCCTGCCAGCAGTCAGTCGTCTGCAAGCTACTTGGGCAGATGGTCGCCGTCTGGCGCGTTGCGAGGCGTTGCGAGGCGTCGCCTGCCATTGGATCAGTGGAGGTACGGTGCTCGGTGCTTTCAGCCTTTCTCGCTATGTCAGTTCTTCCGCAATCATTTTTGGCCAACCTTTCAAGCGCAGCGAGGGCGTAAACGACATGTACCAGCTTCGAGTAATGGAAATACGGCGAGCGTCAGGGAGCACATGGGCTGGACGAGGAGCGTCCGTAAAGACACGAGAAAATATGATAATATCAGAGAGGAGGAAGGACGATACCCCCGGGAGAATTGCTGTTCGAGAGTGTTGCTTGATGTTGCGACGTGGTCGGGAGGGTTGAACCCTTGCCCAGCCACGCCTGTTGGCAGTTTAGTCGTTCAATTTGATTCATTCCAGTGCCTTGACCGGGCCTCTGCTGCGAGATGGCGCGTGATCTGATGGTGAAGGGGGATCACATCAAAGGCAGGGGACGGACGCTAGACACGGAAGATGCCAGTGCTGATGGAGGCTGGTAGTTCATTCTCAAGTGCAAGCCGTGCAAGTTGTGCGGGATGGCCGGGGGTCCCCGGCGGGTCGCGATGCCGGAAATGTGAATCATGCGCATGCCAAGACGAGGTGGAGTTGTGCAGTTCGGCGGGATGAAGCGAGCTGAAGATCGTGCTGTGGGAGAGCGCGAGCAGCTGGATGCAAGGCGGGCCGAGTGGACGGCGCGTGTAAGTCATCGCCCACGTGCACGCCCCTGCGCGATGCCGTCACAAGAGGGGCGTTGGGGAAACAGCTCCATCTCATCAGAGTTGCTGCCTCGCAGCAGGCCGCAAGGCCGCCCCGGCAATGGCCAAGACTCTCGCTTAGCAGTCTGCTTCCTGCTGCCGTCCAGCGCGTCCGCGCTCGCCCTGCTCAGCCGACCGAGAGCCCCCAAACACGTCCTCGCCCTCGCCCCTCGTCCGCTCCGTCCTGCAAGACGCGCCGAAACTCACAGCAATCTCTCCGCAGCCCTCTCGCCGCAGTGCCCGACCCTGCCGCGCTCTGCCGTCATGTTTTCACGTTCAGGAAGTCGTTTCCTCGCAGCTCTCAGCAGCCCGGCGCCTGACCCGCACAGCCGACGGTCCTGACGTGCGCTGGGGCCTATGCCGAGCGCTAAGCCGAACCCGACGCTAGCGCCGTCATTCGGCCTGGAATGCGTTTCTCGCGCGGTGCTCTGAAGTTGCCCGCACTGGAGACTCGACCCGTCTATCTCGCCCTCTACGCCTCGCACAACCCACCAGACGCTCGCCGTCGTTGTCTCTGCTGAGAGAATGCCCACTCCCGCTCTCCAGCTTCTCTCTGCCCCCGCAATCGTCACCCAGCTTTGAAGCTCCGCCCTTCCCACGCCGACAGCTTCCACTCGACTCCGCACACCGGCTGCCGCTCATTTCGGCGCCCCTACGCGTGCACCCGCCTCGTCACGTCTCTCTATACCTCAGGCAGTGCCAAGAGCCTCCGATCTCACTCTTTCCGCCCTTCTCCCCCAGCATTGCACCATGACGCTACGCCGCTCGTCGCGCGCTCCACCGCCAGCGCACAGCAACTCCTCCTCCTCCCTCTCCTCCCGCGACCGCACAACCAGATCCAACAACAAAGCCTCCTCGCCGCGCAAGTCCGACTCGCCTGGCTCGCTCTCGTCCGATGACGGCGACGACACCGGTCGCACCCGTCACAGCGAGGAGCTTCAGACTCGCCGCCGCACACGCGCCCAGGACATCGAGGAGGAGGAGGCTGCCAAAATGGACGAGGAGCTCGACGAAGAGGTCGGCGACGACGAGGAGGAGACAACACGCTGTATTTGCGGCTACCAGGAGTACCCGGGCCCGCCGTCAGACGATGAGGATCTGGCGGTCGGCTCCGACCTCCAGGCCGAGGACGTGGGCGGCCTCTTCATCCAGTGTGATAAATGCAAAGTATGGCAACACGGCGGCTGCGTCGGCATCATGGAGGAGAAGGCGGTGCCAGAAAACTACTTCTGCGAGGATTGCCGCAAGGATTTGCACAACCTCTTGTCCAGTCCCAAAGGGTGAGTAGGGCGCCAGCTTCTAGCACCGCATTAGTCCCCCTCTTTGGAAGTCGTTCGGTCGATCAGTGGTTTCTGCCTCCAGGGAAGTGTCGCGACACTGCCTCCTGTCGGCCTTCAGCTGACGCCACCGGCGCCAATTCCAACTCTCAACACCACCAATCGCTGTATGTATGTGTCTACATCTGCTAACGAGGGTGATGCTCAGACAAAAGTACTCCCACTACATTCCCGTCGTTGGCAACAAGGTGCTGTCGAAACACACCGCAAGAAAGTCCTCCGTTTCCAAAGAGGCCGAGTCGAGGAATTCGAGAGAAAAAGACAAGGCGTCACGGTCGAGCGTTGAAGCGTTTACGAAGCGTCGTTCTACAATGAACAGTCGGGCGGCGTACGATGATGACGAGGTTCTTCGCCAGGTTCTGGAGGACAGTAAGGGCGAAGGCGGAGCAACCGCGTCGGAAAATGGTACCAGAAAAGGCAAAAGAGGCCGCGACGAAAGCGAAGAGTGAGTGGAGTCAATTGCTGCTGGATGCGCCGGTCGGCCGTGGCATGCAGCGTCGAAAGAGCAGTGACTGTACTGACGGATCCTACGTGTAGAGTCAAGCAAGGCATCAAGCGGCAGCGAACTGGATCAGGGTCTTCTAGCTCTCCTGCTCCATCAGAGGGCCTTGACTCGGATGAGGATGGCCGTTCGAAGAGCAACTCGGCAAGCCAGAAACAGAAGCCACGTGGTGCCGCGGCAAGGAGTCAGCAGGAGAGAATTGCGAGAGAACAAAAGGAAAAGGAGCGGGAACGAGCAGAAGCTGCCGGTAAGCGGAAAGGACGCGCTGACAGAAGACGTGGTGAAGGTACGAGACCGGTTGGAGTATTCAATACCAGTACAGTTGCTGACGAACTCGACCCAGACATGGAGACAGAACATCCTACACGCGAGACGCCAAACGAATCCGAACAGCCAGAGACCGAGACGCCTGCGAACCAGACCCGCGACACCCCTACCGCGCCAGCAACGAATCCCAAAAGAACCGGCAAGTCCGGTGGTCAGAAGCGCGGCGGCAATCGCGTAGGGCGCAACCAGTATACTCGCGATCGCGATGTCAATTCAGTCGACAAGGCGCCGGGATCGCCAGGTCGGAATGGAGTGCGCAATCACAAAGACAAAGATGAAGAAGGATCGCCAGTGAACGGGACAGATACGGCAGCAAATGGCAGCGGCAGCGATGTCCCTGTGGTGGGAAGGAACACCAAGAGCGGCAAGAAGATGGGTGTGTCCAAGCTCGATAAGATAAGCTGGAAAGATATGAACGGAACGGCTTCACACATGCTGGAATACATCTCGCGTGTTCAGGTCGAGATGGCCAGCGAGAAGACGTCCACGACCACCTCGGCCATGGCTGTCGTGAAGACGCTCCAGGTGGTCAATGGCGACACTCCGGACAAGATGGCTCACGCTGACGGCAACAACTCCATTGCCAAGACAGCAGACGGAAAGGAAGAGAATTACGGCACGCTGAACAGCCTTGAGATGATGGACGTGCTGACACGAAACCTGGTGTTGTGGCAGCAACAGTTTGGCGAACACCGGGACAAATGACATTTGGGCTAATATGGAGGATGAATTGGGCGTTCTGGAATATTCGAGCGATAGTATATGGGCCTGTGTTTGCGCACAGGGTTGGGAATTGATGCCACGGCGTCGATGCTGCTTCATCCGATTTCCACCATGGTTGCAACCTGCTCTATAAACTTTGGACATTTCTTTTGTATAGTACTTATTAGCCGGCGTTTGCGAAAGGTTGGTGGAGCCCGGAATTTGGTGGGATTGTCAGCATTGGCGTTCGGGAGCGAGACGACACCCCTCGTGGAGGCCATGGCTTTGAAGCTTCGTTTACAACTTGACGCGAAGAGGTGTATATCGGCTCAAAAGCAATGGAATTTGACTCATGGCTAAGAAGTTGGCGCCTCGGCCGCCTCTGGACCCTGGCGCGGGATCGGTCCCGCCTTTTGACTGTGCTGTCTTCTGTGATCGCATGTAGGGGTCGCGTCAGAGCCTCGGCCAACACAACGGGTTCGGGAGCACGGTGAGGGGCATTATTCAACAGGACCGGTCAGGGAAGCGCGGCATGACGCACTGTCGGGACTTGTGAGATTGACATCCGGCCAATTTATAAGACCGTTCCCCGATGGGGGTTAGCGTAAGTGGCATGGGATCTCCAACGACTTGACCTCTTCCCCATGTCCGCGACGTACCCGCAAGTCAGAACAGTCCGTTGTACAGTCGCCCACATTCATCGAAGCCGTTGAGTTGTAAGTCAGCCCATGCTTCCCCATGCCCTCCGCACCTTCCCTGCCGCCGCAGCAACCCAGGCCCGCGCAAAGGTAGCTAGGGCCAGCGCATCATTGCCAGCTTGCCGAGAGATTTCGAGATAGACCGCACACCACGGCGCCCGCGCCCACACGTCGGCCCGCTCCCCATCGGTGCCCGCCTGCGCTGCCCGCGTGCATCTCAGCGCGCCCGCGCGCCTGCTCCCCGGCGCGGGCCCACCGGGTACTCGCGTGCGGCGGCCCAAGGGGCGGGTGCAAAGCGAGAATCTTTCAGCTAACCGTGTGAGTCGTCGCCAGAGGAAGAAGCTTGCATCTTGCGCGCGCACCGCTTGACTGCAATTTTCCCCCACGCGGAAGGAGACAGCCTCCGTCATGGCAGCCGCCACCGATGCATATCGAGGATCCGGTTCGTTTGCACCCAGCTACTTCCTCGTGCCCAACCCTCTGCGCCCCACTGCCACCGCCCACAAACTCCACGCTCGGTTGCCAGCGAACCACCAGCCATGCCTCGTCCGGTCCTCCCAGATGTCGCCGTGATCTGCGGCCTCGTACGCCTTGCGACTTATTCGCTAATGTGTATACTCTCATGGGCAGGCTACGACTGGCGATCCACCTCCATCCGCCACTCCTCCCCAGACACCGTTTCTCCGCTCTACCCCGACCGTCCTATCAGGCGTATGACGCTTCTCGCACCGCCTAGTTTGTCCTGCAGACGCTGACATTGAGTCCACAGCGCTCCCCAAGCGCCGCCTGCGCGCCCGCCTGTCGCCCGAGCAGGCCGATTCCATCACGTACCCGTCGCCGCCCGTGAGCTCGTCGCCGGTCTTTGATTTCCCCTACACACATCCGGACAAGGTGCAGAGCATTTCGACACGCCAGCAGCGCGGGGAGAAGGAGCACAAGTGCTGCTGCGGCGCAGACCACTCGGAGCCCGAGAGCGAGGAGGACGACGACGAGCGGCTTGGTTGGTTTCAGCCTCGGCGAAAAATCTCTAGCCAGGGCCTTCTGACACTTGAAGCAGCGACGGGCGGCTTGGGCAGCGGCGTGTCGAACCCCCTCCCACCTGGATCCGCGTCATCGGCCGACGGCTACGATTCTTTCGAGAACTCCAACAACAACAAGAAGCGAAAGATACCGGTGTCGGGCAGCGCGGGACACCACGGCAACCTGACGGCCGAGATGGCGAGCATGGGCATCTCGACGCAAGGCGGCGACGCTGCGCACGACGGAGAGAACAACGTGGGGCAATATTACGGAAGCGGCTCGTCGGCCATGCCCGCGCCGGGCTCGGGCACGGGCATCTCGGGAGCTGGCAGAGGACGGTATGGCAGATCAGCAGCGAGGTCCTCGAACGAACGACGGCCGTTGGGAGCTTCAACATCTAGTCTCAACGCTTACGCTAACGGCGGCGCTGGCAGAGCAAGAACGAACGGTGCGCTGGCAAACGGAAAGGGTATGCACTCACCCGCGTTTGCGTCCAAGCGCGCATGAGATAGGTCGGCTAACGGCGAAGCAGCGGCTAATTACGACCACGGCATCATCTCTACTGCCATTGCAAACGCAAACGCCGCCGGCCACTCGTCGCAGCAGCAGAGCAAGGGCAAGGAAAACGTCAGCCTGCTGCAGCAGGAAGCAGCCAAGACCACGCCGCAGAAGACGCAGTTCACCTTCACCTGCGGCTCGCTCAACCAGCCTGCTTGGCCCAGCGCAAACGGCACCTACCCTGCTGCTGACCCGCGCGCACCTCCACCTGCGCCATCGTCTGCAGGTCCGCCTTCCGCATCACGCATACCTCTACCGACACAGGCCGCCAGGTCTACCCACGGCACACAAACAAGTCCGCAGATGAACGGCACGCAGCACCCGTCGGTGCCCGGCCAGCAGGCGCCGCCACCGGCTCCCAATGCCCAGCAAGGCACCCCACAACAGCAACCGAAGAAGCCGCGACGCAAACCCGAGAAGATCTACGCGATGGCTGCTCGTCGCCGTCGCCTCCAGCAGGAGTATACAAACTACCATCACCCGCCGGCGCGCGATGACATCTGGATCTGCGAGTTTTGTGAATACGAGGACATCTTCGGTGAGCCTCCGCGAGCTTTGATTCGCCAGTACGAGATCAAGGACCGCAAGGAGCAGAAGCGTATGGCGGAGAAGCGGCGTCTGTTGGAGAAGGCGAAAATGAAAGGCCGCAAGGGAAAGAAGGCAGCCAAGGGCAGCGGCGCTCGGCAGGCCCAGCAGGCCCAACATTCGCAGCAGCAGGCGCCGCAGCACGAGTACGATCAGCAAGTCAACCCCGACGGAACCATCGATGGACAAGACGAGTACTTTGAGGACGATTATGACGATAGCGTGGCTCCGCCCGACGTTGATGCCGATGTCGATGCTGGGTATGTACCTCCACCAGCGCTTTCTGAACCTCCGGATAATTCCGTGATCTCCCAGGATCATGGCAATGAGGCCACAACCGACGAACTCAGCGACGGAGGAGGTACCCGAGGAGATGCCCGAGGAGATACCGATCCCGTGGCGTTGGGCAAGAGCGTTTGACATCCGGGGTTCCCGTTTCGTTGCCTCTTCCTGTCGCTGTTTTTCTGCTTGCTGTTGAAAGCGTTTCCTGCGTTGAGAAACTGGTGAGCGTGGCCCTGGTTGGTGAGAGCTGGGTCTCCTACGCCTCCAAGTTTGTTGTTCATTTGCATTTTCAGGCGTTTCTGGTTGAGTTTTTTCTTTCTTTCTTGACAACAATTCTTGCTCGGCGACGGCGAGACTGAGGCTCAGGCAATTAATTGCTCTGGGCTGAATTTTGCTTTTGGGTGAGCAAGGGCTCTTGGGCAAGTTCGCCCACAGAGCCCTCGGTCTCTCATGGCTTTCAAACAGTTGGCATGGCATAGCATTCTTGGCTACGACGGTTACGTTACGGACCCATACGACGGAAAAAAGATAAGTGCATAGCTGGTACTTCAAGGCGATGGAGGACTGGTGAAGGGAGGAGATCGGGAGAGACACTGGACGGACCGGAGGGAGAGGAAGTGGAGAGAAATGAAACCCCACTCTTGGTAATGTGGCTTTAGGCACGATTGTTCGTGGTCTATCGGTTGGCGGAGGAGGATTCAGGTGTGGATATCCTTCGCTTCAGGTCATCCCCCAATTTCGGTGCGGCATCGTGGACTGCGTTTGACCACCCTCTATGTTACTCAATAACTTCCACACTCACACATTGAAAAGAACGACACAAAACCCACTACAGACATTACTTAGCAAACATCAACCCATCGCGGGCTCTCTCGGCCCTACTATCAGCCCTTTTCGCCTGATGATTGCGGAGGTGATTGCTTGTCTTGGTCGAGACGGACCCCGGCATGTCGTTGATTGTCCAATGTCCAGTTTGTAGTTCTTCCGTTTCGCTCTTGCATTCTCTTTGACATTTCACCGTCCAATGCAGGCCACCGACCTCATCTGCATGATGTTGTTGTTGTTCGTTTGGAAAGGTGTAAGTTGGGTCGGAGCATCGCTCGACCTGTCGGGCAGCTGGAGTGATATAAAGCAGTGCACGGCCTATTGACTACTTAATATCAGACCTTGTTTTCTATTCTGCACAGTTCCTACATAACCCGCCTCGCCTTACGCTTCGTGGGTGTTTTTTTCTTTTCCGTTCTCACTCAACACCACTTGATTCTCTCTCTTTTTCTCCAATCTCTTTCCTTCTTTTCGCGGCGTCCTTCCCCCTGTGCATCACCAACGTTGGGTGCTCCTCTGTATGGGAAATGTCCCCTCCTGCCACGATCCATTACCCAATCGAATTGTTCCAGTGCGGCCACAGCGTCGCCATCGCGCCTTCTCCTCATCATCATCATCGTCATTCTCCTCCTCCTCCTCCTCCCCATCCTCCCCGCACCGGCCGCAGACCACCGAGCAGCGCGGGCTATGGTGCCATAGTTGGCCGCGGAGAGATGGTGTCAAAGCAGGAAGAAGAAGAAGAAGAAGCGTTTGAGCTCGCGTTGTCGGACCCGCTGGGTGCTATGAGGACCGCGGGTGGTGGTGGTGTCGGGGTGGAGGAAAGAGCTGGCCGGTCGAGAGGGTTGAAGGGCATGAGCGACAGCAGTGGCAGCAGCAGCAGCAGAACACGCAAGAAGAGCACTGCGACGGCATCGGCTGCGGAAACGACGGTGGGAACGGCGGAGCGCAAAAGCCGGCGGCGCGGGGTGGTGCTGGAGGACCTGGTGTGGCCGTTTGTGGCGGTCGCCGAGGGCCTCGCGGAGGTGCGGTGGGATGTCGAGGTCGAGGCCGCGGGGGAGGCTGGGTGGTCGCCGTTTTTTGTGTTTGTGATGGGGGCATGTCCTCGCGAGGGGTGTCGGGGTGGTGGTGGTGAGGGTGGGTGGGAAGGAGCTGGTGTGTATGATGAGGACGATGTGAGGGATCTCGCTGACTTGTGGGAGAGCGTGCGGGCGATGGAGCAGGAGGCTGTGGTTGCGGCTTGGGGTTTGGGAGGGGATGTGATGAGGACGCCGTTGGAGAAGAGGGCTCAGACTGCTGGCTCGGGGGGAGATGAGCGCTGTTGGATGGGCAAGGCGAGCACGTCTCTTCGCTCTCATCTGATCGAGATCATTCCAGTCCATCGCGAGGAGCCACGTCGCCTCCACGGTGGTGTTGGTGAAAGCAAGCGCAGCAACAGGGCTTATCGTGGTAGGGGAGTATTCTTGAACCTGCACCGGCATCCTCGAGTCACCGGGAAGACGGAGAGGCAGGAGCCTCTTGAAGTGGTGGCTCAAAAGCAGCTGCCACAATCTCTACTGCAACCGCGAGTGCATACAATCTGTAGCGCAAGCCGCGTTGCAAGCCGCCCCGTGTTGCTGCAGCTGTTGATGATGCGCATGTGCCTCGAGCAGGCCGAGATGTTGGCTGCCATGCAGGCTCCCAAGGGCTGGTTTGAAGCATGTCTACGGCATGTGCTTGAGGGATGGAATGACTTAGAAGGCACCGTTCTAGCCCATTAGCCACTTCAATCGCTGTAGATACTGGTAGTTTAGCCAAATGCGACTGGAAAAAGGGCTGTCCTTCTCAATTGCTTTGAGGGGCGTCGTTCTTTCTAATTTGATCCGGTGAACCGTTAGCGAGTATGAGCCGCCATTTACAAAGGCTTCCTCCTTCTTAGACCTTCCTCTTCGACTCAATCTTGACTCTTTTTTCTCAAGTGTCAGGGAAGCACCACCACCAGAAGTAGAAGCAATAAGCTCTTCTGCCCCCAACACCCATCTCCGTAGCAGCAGCAGTAACACCACTACCATCACCAAACGGCGCCACTTGCTAACACCCCGCCTTCGAGCACACTCCGCCGAGTTGACCACAGAAGCATCGCTGAAACCGTCATTATGAGAAGCATAATGGAGAGCACTGGGATGAGATCGATGGCATAGAGCCCACATTTTCCCGCTGAGCGCAAGGCCAGGCCATTCTCAGGGCCTCCTCGCAATTGTTGCCCTCACCAGAGCGCGTCTCGCGCGACTGGTGTTGTTTCTCGCGGCGCTGTTAGCGGCATTGAATTGCCTTTCTCGGCAAGCGTTTTCGCTAAATCCTTGCCTGTTTGTGCAGGGATTGCTACTCCACCATCGGCGTGTCGGTGGTTTGCTACACTCCGTTTTGCTGCCGCTTTCAGAGAAACAGTATGAGAGGTAGCGTGGTGCCGAGTCTTCGCTGGCGGAGTATCGCAAGTACTGTGAAGTGTTCGTCCATCCGCGGTATGCTGGACCGAACTACTCACCTTGACCTTGAGAGTCTTACCGAGCTCACTCAATACTCTGCGAGAAAAATGCCATTAGCAACTTGTTAACCGTGAAAGCACAGGGGTAGAAAGCTGTTGTTGCGTTCGAATCTTCGGGAGGAGGTGGGGTTGTGAGTCGTGTTTGAAATACACGCGCGCGGGGTAAGGCACTGGACTAGGAGTGCTCGATAAGGCTAAATCAACGGAGAAGTAAGACATTTCAACATAAACGGCTAGGGACAATGGTTAGCCTGAGTTAATGCTCACCCGAGGAGCTTATTGCGAGTGGTAAAAAGCGGAAGGGGCCGGCCAGTGTCTGTTACAACCGCTCGTAATAATTCAATGCAAGCTGTTTGTATCTTGCATGGGACTGTGGAAGACACATTCGGAGGAAGAGGGCCTTGCGGGAAGAAGTTGAAGGACTTGGTAAGAACACACTGATCCTTGACTTCGGCTGGACTTTGCAGTTGAAGGAAGAAGGTCTGGCACAGTCACACAGGCCTCGGCGCAGGTCCGGACGGGCAGAGACGGTGACTTGAAGCAGGCACACGTGTGACGAGGCTTGCAACGTCAGCCTTGCATGATTTGTATCACAGACAGATCCTAGCGAAAAGGGCGGCTGGGTGATTGGGCATGTGCTGCGCCAAAAGGGGCCGGTGGAATGCAGAGGGGGGGGAGCATGCAGCACAGCAAAGCGCTCATTGGAGACGCCGTCTGGCGGTCCGGCACCCTTTCGGACGAAGGCATGGGTTGCTGAGGGATGAGCATTGGCTCCCAGCTCCCTTGAGCCGTGCAGGCGCCGCGCCAAGGGGTGTGGGTGGCCGCAACAGTACCGCCGGAGCCGCGAGCGGTTGGCGGCTGGAAGCAAGACAGAGAGGTGCAAGAGGCGGGCGCTGATGAGCGGTAGATCGCTGCTAGGGCCCGGCCGGCCGACCCCGCGCTTGCTGGGTTCCGCGGGTTGAGGAGCGTTGAGCGTTGCAGCTGCCGTAGCGCGGAGCCAAACTCTCTCTCGCGCGGAGCCCCTCGCCGCCCCCTGACCGCCGCCCGCTGCTTCCTGCTTCCTGCTTCCTGCTTCCTGCTTGCTCGCACCTCACCTGCTCCGTTCTTTCCTCGCGTTTCCAAGCTCCTTCCGTGCCCCACGCTCGGCGAATCTGCGGCCTCAGCTCAGGCCACCTTGTCTTCCCCGCTTGCGTCACTGCCTCAGCCCATTCAAATTGTTTACCTTGCTGCCACTGCCCCGCTCCACCGCTCCCTCCACCTTCCACTGCCCCGAGCCTTTCTTCTCTTCTGCAACCTGCACCCCTCCAACATCCTCCACCATTCCTCTCCGCGCTAGAATAAACGACTCCGCCAACATGCCCAAGGTAGCCCTCCCTCACCCTGACTCGTCGCCGTCGGTGACACGATGCTCACGCGTTGCAGATCAAGGAGATTCTGTTCGACTGCGACAACACGCTCGTCCTGTCCGAGGAGCTGGCCTTCGAGGCCTGCGCCGAGCTGGCCAACGAGATCCTCGAGAAGAAGGGAATTTCCGATCGCTACACCGGTCCTTCCCTCTTGAAGGACTTCGTCGGCCAGAACTTCCGCGGCATGATGGTCTCCCTCACCAAGAAATACAACTTTGAGCTCGCTCCCGAGGAGTTCGATGCCTACGTCGAGCGTGAGCTAGGCAAGGTCATCGAGAAGCTTGAGGCCAAGGCCCAGCCCTGCCCCGGCGTTCCCGAGGTCCTGGAGAAGCTCGCTGCCGAGAAGAAGTATGGCCTGGCTGTCGTCTCGTCATCCGCCCTGTCCCGCGTCGAGGCTTCGCTCCGCAAGGTCAAGATCGACCACTACTTCCCCGACGGCCACGTCTTCAGCGCCGCGTCTTCTCTTCCAAAGCCCACGTCGAAGCCTGACCCCGCCATCTACTTCCACGCCTGCAAGACCATCGGCGTCGACCCCAAGGAGTGTGTTGCCATCGAGGACAGCAGGAGCGGTGCCACTGCCGCCAAGAACGCCGGTATCCCACTCATCGGATATGTCGGCCCCTACGAGAAGGGCGAGGAGCAGGAGAGGATTGCCAAGATGCTCAAGGACGAGTGTGGTGCTATCTACATCATGTACGACTGGAACGAGTTCGCCGAGGCCATGAAGAAGGTCGAGTCTTCGTAGAGACGAACGAGACTGGGCGTTAGATTAGAGATGCAAGCTACATGATAGACTTTGGCATCTTTCAAGGACGCGAAGAGTGGAAGAAAACATTCAATGATATCATGGGTAGACGACATAAATGCAGACCCGAATTCCATTCTTTCGGGATTTTCACTCCAATGACTAGCATCAGAGCTGCGAGCTCACTGGTGAAGTTTGGCTGAGTATGTGCTTGCAATGGATATGGCGCTATGAAAGCTTGTGCTTGGCTTAGCAATCAAGACGGCCCTTTCGGGGGTTGCCCAAGGTTACACACAGGACGCGGAAGTGGGATTCAATGGAGAATCACTTCCCGATCCAACGCCATCCACGTCTGAGACCTTTCGGCATCATCCGAGGAAAATTCGCTCATGCTGATCATGCGGGTCGATTGCAAGTGTGTGCGGCAATGTACCGGCTGCTTCCGATGTGCGAGATTTCGGCTCTTCCCTCTCGGGTATCTTTCATCCCCACAATCTCGCATGCGAAAACCGTTGATCGCAATATCATATCATGGTGAGACGTACACGTATACATTTATCTTTGTTGGAAAAAAAAAGCAATATGAAAAGCGGTCTGGCCCCCCCACATTTTTTAGGGGGCAACACCTCGCAGCCGACACTGCCCTCGAGCGAAGACGTTGAAGACGGTGACATTCCCGATACGAGTCCATATTGTGCCCTCTCCTCAAAGGATCATCAAGCTCAGTTTTTCTTTAACAGGCACTAATTTCCATTGAGAGAAAGGCTGCAGGAACGGGAGACGTGGGCAAGAGTTGAGCTGTAGAGCAATACGGAGAGAGGCGATCGATTGCCTCACATGTAAGCATGAGTTCGCTCCCCCCCTGCTTACAGTTTGAGGACCCACCGTACACGTTCGCGCTCATAACGCAATCGCAGTTCATTGCAAAAAGCATCGCAGACACCGTAGACGTTCACGATCACCGTGATCAAAGGAGTTTCGGAGCGTGACTACTGAAGGAAATAGACAATCCATACATTATATATTCAGAATAGAGATCATGCAAACATACTGGCCTCACGCTAAGCATCAACCGCTCGATCACTTTGTCCGTCTTTCTTAACAGCCCAACATGTGTTTTGAACGGAAATCAGAGCCTCCTTCATCGGCAAACGCCTTACGACAGCCAGAGCTCGACAGCGAAAACACTCAAGGAACGGATGAGTTCCCTAAAATCTGGAAAAGAGCCGTGGAAGCCTTTCATGACGCAACGGGCCTGAATCTTGAGGAACACGTTTCGTCCCCCGCAACAAACGAAACCATCAAAGCTCGAGTCGACGCCACAAACGAACAAGACAAGCAAAACCTCAAGGATGCGGTTGGCAAAAACATCGTCAATGCTTTCTCCCAGGTTTCCGAGATTGCCGCTGACGTGGCAAGCAATGTGAGACTCCCTTTTTGCGTAGCTGTTTCATGGGGCTTATCGTCCAAAGGTCTACCCTCCGGCCAAGGTGTGCTTCAACGCTGCCAAGCTTCTGTATGAGTTTGTTCAGAACTACAGCAGTTCTCTCGACATCTGGCCACTTCGTAAACTGCTGGATGACATCGGCAACGACATCTTGATTCTGTTCCAAGAGATTTCACAGAAGCGCCGTGAAAGAGGTGAAGGACCGTCATCCATGGTAAGGATCTTCGGTTCCATGGAAGACAAATTGAAGACGTTGATGGCCTACTTCATTGAGATCTGTGCTGAATGCGCGAAGCTGGCCAAAAAGCCGAAAGGCCTGAGGGCGAAGTGCAAGAGATTTCTGAAAGGTGCAATGAACGCCATTGCGCAGGACGAAGCAGTTCAGGGGAAGAAAAAAGACATCAAACAGCTGCGGGAGCAAATCAGAGGCCTGATAGCAAACGGAGAGCTTTTCATGCAGATGGATACGAACGAAAAGGTCCGCGAGTTGACTGAAGACAATGCCAAAAAGCAGAAAAAGGAGTTACGAGACTCGAGCATTAACAGAATAAGGACCAAGCTACCTTACGAAGGACCAGACGTTGGGTACTGGAGACAAGTGCAGATCAATCTTGAACAGAGCGTTGGAGATTCGACTTTCGGAACCTGGATCCAAAAGAATCAGTCATTCTCCCGATGGGCAAGTGCCAGCCAAGACGGAAGCCAGGCTACGTTTGCTCTGAAGTCACGCAATCGCACCGGGGCGAGCTATCTGTCACGGCGGGCTATTGAGGAATTGGTTCGCCTTAAAAAAAAGGTAGCTTGGGTCTACTGCGAGAGTCCCGAGGGCGTCCCGCATGTTCCCGGTATGAAAAAGGGCTCGATTTCCATCCACGACGCTCTGACGGCTCTTGTGTGGCAACTCGTTCAAGAGGATACCGCATATCGGGAGTTTGTTTCACAGAATTGTGAACAAGTTGCAGGGGTCTTCGACACCAGACAGCTCTGGAACAGGTTGTTCATGGGATATCTCCGGTCCAAGGACCAGAGCAAAACGGACGGTGTCACCAAGAGCGGTAAGCCCACAAAGCAGCGCAGGAAAACCTTCTTCCTCGTGATCGATGGGCTTGATCTGGCGGACGGTAACGCTGGCAACCAAGGGTGCAAGAGCATGCTCAACTTGATGATCCGAGACATCTCAAAGCTTCGCGGAGCCGAGAACCACATCCGGTTGCTCATCACCGGATCACCGAGCTTCTTCGAAGAGCTGGGGATGAAGGATCACCTCTTCATGCTCGATCTCTGCAACGACGGAGACAAAAGCATTCGGGAATCATTGGCTGAAGATCACGCCACGTTCATTCGTTTCAAATTGGATAAAGTGTTCAGCAAGAAGCCCCCAAACACCGAGCTGCTGAAGCAGAAGTTCGAAAACAAACTGGTCCAAGAAAATTCCTACAGCTACTCGGACTTGCAGCTCATCTTTGACAACATCTCGAAGTATCCGAATGAGGAGCTCAAGACCCTTCTCAACCCCGGCCAGTTGCTACCGCCACGGCTATCCATAGGAGAGCAGTTGAGAGATCAGAAACTTTCCGAAGAAGATACGAAGAACTTCAACGAGATGCTGCCATGGCTGGTCTTGAGGAGGGATGATGCATGGCCCACACTGGAAGAGCTTGAGGTTGTCTTATGGCTCAAACATGGCCATGTTCCCAAGCAGCTTGCCAAGCGCATAGAGACGACCTATCCCGAGTTCCTGAGCATCGAAGGCAACCGTGTCGAAGCCCCATCCGTCAAGGAGTACTACTCAGCTCACACGCAGGAGTCGCCTGGGTCCTGGAGCGATGGGGATGAGACGCCTGACCCGAAAGAAATCGAAGTGATGCAGAACTTCCTAAAGTCATTCTCGGGCGGACAGATGTACGAAAGGTTTGGGTTTGAGAAGCTGTTCAAGGATCACTACACCAAACGCGCGGTCGGCATCCATTACACGCATGTGGACGGCCACATGCGTATCATTCTTTCTTTGCTCAGATCGTTCTGCCCTGAGAACAGAGAACACGCGGCAATACTGCATGATTATGCGGTTGAGAACTTGGCGTGGCATCTCGGCCAGGTCAAAGACGCGCACCTTTCTCGTGCACCGCGATCGATGAAACTGGCCATCGGCCGATGGCTTCACGCGTTTTTCCTGCACGAAGGATTCGTTCGCGTCTGGCTGACGCCGCATAGGCTGGCAACTGTGCTCAGCAAGCAATGGTGGAAAGCGCTCGACGAGGTGCTCCGATGGTTTCAGGACCCAACTGTGGGAGAGGGAGCTCGAGCACTCTTGGGGCAGTTCGAAGGAATGATCGTGCTGGAGAGGAAAGATCTGTTACTGCAGGCGTCCAAGGTTTTGGCGTCGGAATGGCTGGAGAAGACCGAGTGGGACGCGTTGCAAGCGCTTGGATGGATCCTCCAACTGCCGAAAGAGGTAAGCCACATGATGGCAATTCGAGGGCTCGTTACTGACTGGAGATGAAGCTCTCGGGCGGATTCTTTTTGGGATCGGCAGAGGAAGCTTCGCAGCCGAGCCACGGCAGTGAAAATCGCTTGCCACTCGACACCATCATCGAAGCGGAGAAGTGGGCGATGGCGCAAATTGGGAGACCGAACCTCGAGCTATCATCGATTCGGGTTGTTGAGACCATGGCTGCTCTGAATTACTGGGAAGTGGTCAGGGACAGATGTGAAAAAACTTTTGGAGAAAATGAGAGAAACTGGAAGGCGTTGTGGTACCTGGCACGGGCACAGGCGAACATACAACCCCAAGATGACGACCATGCTTGTCCACGGCCAGGAGCGCTTGAAAATTTCGAAAGGCTTATCAGAAGGTTCCTTGACAGCCCGGACCTCCGGAGGACGGAAGCGGCAGCTTGGAAGAAAATGTGGAACAGCTACCGGGGTTTATCAGAGGACTTGGGAGAAGTTGAAAAGGCGATGGAGTTTTGGCGGGAAATATTCTTGGACCAGTATCTGGACGACTATCAGCTCATCTCGGACATTTTCGACCGAATGTGCAGCAGGGGGCGTTGGCCGGACGTGGAAGACTTTCTGTGCAAGTTGGCACACGTCTCGGACTCCAACAACGGTACTCTCTTGGCGGGGCTTTTGCGAGCCCGTGGCGATTCCAACTCGGAAGAGTTCCACCAGAACGTGTGGCTGTCGTTGCGCAAGCACTCCCGCGACGTTCTGTACGGAGGGTACCGCGACGCAAGAGCAGCAGCAAAGTCTGAACCGGCCAGGCTTGCACATCTCAGATACTACCACGCTCTTGCGCTCTTCTACGATGATGCACCAGAGGGTTCAGCTCCAAAGGACCGAGATGGAGACTTGCACAGGATCGAGAGAGCAATCCGTATCTGGCGGAAAAACTTTGACGAACGGAACGAGATTGACAAAAGCCTTCAAATCGATGTGGTCACGTTGATCTGGGGCAAAACGATGGGACGGGTTGGACTGGCATACGTGGAGCTTCTCAAACGCAAGCCGGCAGATGCTGACCGACACTTGAAGGACATGAAGCAGCTCATGGAACGGTCCGACGAGATGCTCAGGCCGGAAGACGCTGGTTTCGCCGTCCTCTTTGCGCGGGCATACCGCGTTGCAGGCAAGCATGGCGAGGCAAAAGCTTCGGTCAAGAGGCAGTTCGAGAGGGCTTTCCAACTCCTGGAGGACGAAACGCCATACAACGACTGCAGAGGGTACGCAATACTGGCGCAGACAATGGCACCGCTGACGAAAGACGACAAAGACGTCTTGATTGCATGGCACCTTGCAATGAAATCGTCTTCTGCCAACAGCGGCCCGAGGCTTGAACAGAACGAAAGACGGGTGGAAGCAAACGACGATGACACAGACACCGAGGCCGAAGACGCGGATGCGGCTGACACGGAAAGAGAAGACAAAGCTGCACAAGACGCGAGCTTGCAGGCTGTCGGAATCTGTAGAGAGTGTGATGGCCGGTGTGGAAAGACTTGGACCGGCCGGTTCGACGGTGACATGTGGGTATGCAGGGAATGTGCAGACAGGTGTTTTGACCAGGGCTGCATGGAAAAGCTCAGGGATGGCCAGCTCGTGCGGCGCGTGTGCGACCCCGGCCATGTCAAAGGGTTTGTCCATGTGAAGAAGTGGAGCGACCAGGTCGAGGCAGACGAGGCGAAGGTGGATGATGTGGGAGGTTGGTTGGAAGAGGTCAAAGCCAAGTATGTACACACATGAGGTGATGACGTAGACAATCGTCGGGTATGTTAGGTACTCGGCACCTAGCATGACTAGCAATACACGCGGGTATGCAGCCACATGACTCGAACGTGACCGTCTGTGCCGCTGTGCCGCTGTGCCGCTGTGCCGCTGTGCCGCGACGAAGCCCACAGCCCGAGCCCAGCGCCGTTATGGCAATCATCCCCGCGCCGATTGGAATAGGGCGGTACATAATGGTCGCCGCCGCCGCCGCCGCCTCTCGCAGTGGCCCTGCAACGCCGCAGCAGCCGAGGAGACCATGGCCGAGCTGCTCCAGAGCCTGGCCGCCCACCCCTACGCGGCCTGTGCCGCGGCTGCCCTGCTGTACTGCCTGTGTGTCGCCGTCTACCGCCTGTACCTGTCGCCGCTGGCCAGCTTCCCCGGTCCCACCCTGGCCGCGCTGACCCTGTGGTACGAGTACTACTACGACGGCATCAAGGGCGGCCAGTACACCTTTAAGCTGAAGGAGCTGCACCGCCAATATGGTACCCACCCCGACCTCCATCCATCCCACCCACCCACCACTGACCACCCCAAAGGCCCCATCATCCGCATCTCCCCCCACGAGCTGCACGTCTCCGACCCCGCCTTCATCGACACCCTCTACGCCTCGGGCCCCAAGGCCAAGCGCGACAAGCACGCCTTCTACACCCGCCAGTTCGGCCTCGCCCAAGCCGGCTTCGGCTCCGTCGCCCACGACCTGCACCGCCTGCGCCGCGCCCCCTTCAACCGCTTCTTCTCGCGCCAGTCGGTCCACCGCCTCGAGCCGCAGATCCGCGCCGTCGTCGACAAGCTGTGCGCCCAGCTCGAGCGCAACTTCGCCCAGACCGCCTGCCCCGTGAACCTGCCCGACGCCTTTGGCTGCATGGCCACCGACGTCGTCTCGCGCTACGCCTTCGGCTACAGCTACGACTTCCTCGCCAGCGACGACTTCCTGCCCAACCTCACCAAGGGCATCGACGCCGGCATGGCCCTCGGCGCCACCGTCAAGCAGTGGCCCTGGCTGCTGGCCTTCCTGCACGCCCTGCCCGAGCACTGGACCCGGAAGCTGATGCCCGACATGGCCCCCTATCTGGACTTCCAGCGCAGCATGATGAAGGCCATCGACCAGGTGCACAGGGAGGAAGACGCAAAGACGAAGACGAACCCAAACCCAGCAGAGCAAGGCACCACCATCTTCCACGAGATCCTCCGCGGCGACCTGCCCGCCGCCGAGAAGCAAACCTCGCGCCTCTGGCAAGAAGGCCAAGCCGTCATCGGCGCCGGCACCGAAACCGTCAGCTGGGCCCTCTGCGTCACCGTCTTCCACCTCCTCAACCAGCCCACCACCGCCTCCTTGCGCCCGCTGCTCGCCGAGCTCGCCCGCGCCATGCCCGACCCGGCCGCGCCCGCGCCCGCCTGGCACGTCCTCGAGCAGCTGCCGTACCTCTCCGCCTGCATCGCAGAGGGGCTGCGCTTGTCGTACGGGTTGGCGACGCGGCTGGCGCGCGTGTCGCCCGATGAGCCGATGCGGTTCGTTGCGAGTGGTGCTGCTGGTGGTGGGAAGGAGGTTTTGATTCCGGCGGGTGTGCCGGTCGGCATGTCGGCGGTGTTGGTGCATCACGATGAGAGCGTTTTTCCGGAGAGTGAGGAGTTTAGGCCGGAGAGGTGGCTGGATGAGGGGGGGACGAGGAGGAGGAGGGACCTGGATGGGTATTTGTTGAGCTTTTCGAAGGGGAGCAGGCAGTGTTTGGGGATGAAGTGAGTTTTTTCTTTTCTTCGCTCTGTCTTGACGTCGGCTTGTTTCTTGCTGAGCTAACCGTGTGGTCAGTCTTGCGTATGCTGAGATGCATATTGCCCTCGCAACGGTGCTTCGGCGCTTTGGTGATCGGATGGAATTGTTTGACACCACCATCGATGACGTCCGGGTGCAGCGCGATTTGTTTATTCCCAAGCCGAGGGTGGGTTCTAAGGGTGTTCGCGTCCTCATTAGGAGCAAGGCATAGCGTGTGGGATGCTCTTGTCGACACGACGAAGTACAAAGATACCTAATCGAATTATTGTAATGTGTAGTATACCACACTGAAGACCTCCACGAGTTGGCGAGTTGTTGTCGGGTGGCTTGCTGATAGACCCATGCTCTTTCTTAGCAACTCTCTCGCGCTAATGGGGTTATAGGGGCTACTAAACTAGAATGCTCGGGAGTTAGGACAGGAGCGGGGGCCATCCTGGATGGGATCGCAATCCTCGTCGTTGCTCCATTTCCTTAAAGAGTAATCACCGAGGTAGTTTTAGAGACCAAGGAAGGGGGAACATTCCCAATGATTATACAATTCCTAACTCTACTCCAAGCGGTACCGGTCGAGGCGATGACATGTAGTGAGTCCCAAGACTACCGATGGACCCTGTGACCGTTGAGAAGTTCGGGCTAGGTTCTGCCGGACTGGGATTCCCTTTCCTCATAAAGTTAGGCAGCTCGCTGCTGGAACTAGTAGGGCAAACCACTCTGATTACACGACAAGCCATCAAGGAGACCGCGTCGGCAACGACCCCTGACGCCATCGGCATCCAAGAGATATGGGGTGCTCCGGTGCAGTTCCAGGATTTTTTTTTTCTCTCAATATTCGAAATGACACGGTTGGCAAAGTCGGGCATTTGGCTTGTGGTAATCCCCATGCCTGTCTCTCTGATTGCATGCTGAAAAGGTGGTTTTAGCTATGGAGCGCCGCCCCAGCCCATCGGAAGCGTCGACGACGAACGATCGTCACTTGCAGAATTGAAGTGAGAAGATACTTTGCTCATCGTCCGTGCTTGTCTCAGATCAACTTGCCGTATCTGATCGAAAAGCAAGCAGCATGCACGGGGATTCCTGGCCGGTAGCCCCAAGTGATCATAGCGATGTACCAGGGTAAACCATGCGGAGCTGGCTTCGTTGTGGGTCCTTTTCGGGTATCCGGCTGTCTTTTCCTAGTTTCACGACGCAAACGCTTTATAAAAGTGACAATATCCACGAAGATCATAGATAACGTTCAGCGTGGGCCATGCATGTAGTTGCTCAGGGGCATGCTTGGCGACGTGATCCGGTCGCTCTGGCCGAGGTTAGTACCAAGAAAAGCAACTTATATTTCCGTCTTCCCCAACAGTTGATGTCTCTCCTAGCATGAACCAAGACGCCTCTCATTTGGCACACATGGCAGCCGGTCCGCTTTTAGGCCTCCGTGTTTCCCAGAACGGACGTCCGATACCGCAAACGGGTCCACTTCACAGTGCAAGCTCGGGCCGGCGGACCGTCCCGACGTGTCTTGTGTTTCACAACGCGTCGAGATTATTGAAGATGGAACGGATCGTATTTACAAAGATAAGCTGATATGCCCAAGCTGCCATCCGTCTCGATTTCTTCCTCGCTTCCAACCCAACCCCCTTCTTAGCAACCCAGCCCATGCTCCAGAGCGGCGCATGATTCCTACTCGCCGGAAGGTCCGGCAAGGCTCGTTCCCAAGGCAGCGGCGGTGCCGAAGTTGGGCGTGCCATCCGAGTTCCAGTTGACCTTCTGCGCCGCCGTGTATCTGTTGCCGTCGCAGGCGCCCGCACTGTTGGCAGTGGCGTGGTATACGTTCCAGATCTCCGTACCATCCGGGCTCTGAAAGAACCTGTTTTCCATTCAATCAAGGTCAGCACGGTGCGATTCATCATTCATCCTGGAGGATCCACCCATCCAACGTACCCGTTATGACCGGTCCCATAGTTGCCGTTCGCCGAGCTGAAGACAGGGCCGCTCTTGACCCAGCTGCTCGACGAGGCGGGGTCGCCGCCGTTCCAGGTCAGCAGGCCGAGCTGGTAGCTCGAGGTCCAGCAGTAGCTGGCCGAGTAGGTGATGTACGTCTTGCCGCCGTGGTACATGGCGGCGGCGCCCTCCTGCACGGGCGCGCCGACCGTCTCCCACGACTCGGTCGGCTGCGACAGCACCTTGCTGGCGCCGAGGCTGCCGGGCGAGTTGAGCGGCGCGATGCACAGCGACTGCAGGCTGTTGCTCATGCACGAGTAGACGAAGTAGTTGCCCGTCGTGAAGCGCACCACCGTGCCGTCGATGCCCCACGTCGTCGTGAGCTGCGCGAGGTACGACCACGAGTCCCATGGCGTGGCGCCGCCTGGTTGCGTTTCGTTTCGTCTTAGCCGAGTCTCGAGAGAGTGTTGACTGGATCCGGACTGGGATGTTGACTTACCCTTGAGCACGTGGGGACGCTGGCCGTCGAGGTTGGCGCTGGTTCCTGCGGTGTAGTAGATGTACCATCTGCCGTCCACGTCAGTGCCTGTTACTGCAATAGGGGTGAATTCCTGGCACTGACACGCCGTCAAAGTAGTGGAGCTCGGGCGCCCAAACGTTGCAGCAGCGCGCCGAGTTGGTGTCGGTCCAGACGGTCTTCGTCTCGCCGGTCTTCAGACCGTTCAGCGTTGTGGCCCTCGTGATCTGGAGGTTGGTCCAGGTGGTCGTCATCAGGTAGTAGTAACCGCCTGACCACACAATGTGAGGATCCGAGCCATTGGGGTCCTTGAGCGGGTTGGTGAACGTTGCGGCGCCGACAAGGGTTGCTTGAGCCCAGAGGAGCCAGCAAATCAGCGAAGCAAGCGGCTTCATGGTGTCGGATGCGGCAGGAAGAGTTGCGTGCGGATCTGCTCAACACGGAGACGATTTGCATCTGCTCTTATATATTGAGCCATGGGTAAAGTGGATATACCGGTCAAAGAGCATCCACCGTCTGATGGCCAGCATTTCCGCGAATGAAACGTCGTGAAACACCAGTCTAAGGGCTGCTATAGGCTGCTAAGCGTGGGCTGTGGGGTTCCGCGAACCGGCTATCCGTAGGCTCGACGAAGCGCGGTGCCGGAGTGGTATATTTCTCCGGGCTCAGTAAGCATGCGGTGCCCTCGTGACTTGTATTGCGGCGCCTACTTAAAGCACGGCGCCTATTCGTTCTTGTATATTGCGGTGGGCACTGCGCCAGTCATGCGTCTCACTAACCACATTTGCGCAGGGTTATCCACCGGGACTTTGGGGTAACGCGGGGGCCGATGAATGTCGGAGGCTGGACTGGGCTGAACACGAGAATACGATGCATGCATTAGGAAGGTCACTCCGGGTTCCGGTGGAGTCCCTGTCAATCCCCAGATATTGTTCTGTTAGCGAGAGTCGATAAACTTTATTCAAACAGACACTGACCGTCAAGCCACTCGAACAGATCGGGGAACCTTGTTGCCAAGCCGGATTGCGGATGTTTCTACTAGGTGATATGAGTTTACTCGCACCTACGTGCAGACGTCTACTCATGATGCTTCTAGCAACCGTATAAATATTGAAAAGCGCGTCTCTCTGGAAATGCCTAGGTAGTCAGGTTGGAGCCACGCATCGTACAACTTTGCAGTGGCATTGCTACAGCGATTCCATTTAAGGCAATGCTGGATCCGGAAAAGCTTTGACCATTGGCGTCATGAACAGAAGCCGAAACCCCTCCAATATTGGTGTCCCAACGCCTACGCTGATGCTGTTGGTGATGTCGAGGAAAAATAAAACAAAAAGCCGGAAGAAGAAGACCCAGAAAAAGCGTTCATCCAGAAAGTGGTTGCTCTGACTTCCGCGATATCGGTAAGTTGATATTCAAAGGGTGTATGCCTGGAAGACTCACCGTAAACAGAGCTCGATGCCCCACCGGCGCCCACGCTAACAAATCGACTCGTGGTGTCTGGATGCTTGTCGTTGTACTCTGCCACGAGCTCTTTTGCGCCCTGCAGCGCCTCTTCCGAAAGCCAAGAGTTGTGAGCGGGCCCCCCTCTCCACTGGACTGCGCAACGTAGCGAAGCCGCAGTCCAACTACTTGCCATGCGCACTAACAAACTGTCGTAGAGTATCGGTGTTGACTAAGGTGCTTGCCGTGGGTGCTTGCCGTGCTTGTTGCGAGTGCTTACCGTAGCGTAGATATATAACCGCTCGCTCCGCGAAGAAGAGGTAAGGCAAGAGAGAGAATAGAGCTAGCCCGCTGCCTTTGTCGCTGCTGGCTGCTTCTACTTCGATACGGATGCCGCCAGGTAGCCGAGAGATCAACGTCTTACTCCGGATCGGGATCCCTCGGTGCTGGTTCGAGATGCGCGATCGAAACCACTGGATGGATCTTCCAGTTCGGTGGCAGCTCGAGCTCATAGGCGAGACTGCCGACCTTTGCTTTGATCGGGAAAGGCCCAATCCTCTGAAACGAACACTTCCGGTTTGCGTGTCCGAGGGGTTTTGTATCCATGATGGAGCTTTACGAAGACCTTGTCGCCGATTCTAAGGCGGAGGGGCTTGTGTTTACCGTCATAGCGGGCCTTCCAGCTGATGCTTGCGAATGCAACAGCCTCTTGGGTCTCCTGCCTTGCGGCATCCCGGATAGCCTGTCTGTCATCGGGGACTTCCGCGAGCATCGAGAGCGGATCCGTTCTGGCGTTAAACCCCATCAGGAGTTGATTCGGCGAGAAGCCGGTGGTCGCATTGACCGCGTTGTTAAGATTCGCCTGGAGCAGAGGCAGCAATTGCGTCCATTCGGTATCGGGATTGGTTGTGGCATGATATCGCATAGCGATTTCCACAGTCTGGTGGAGGCACACAAAGACTCTGTCGCCTGGGCGTAAACGAAGGGGCTTGTGTCTGGAGCCGAAGTGGTCCTTCCAACCAGCCGCCGCAAAGACAACAGCCTCTTGGGCCTCGCGTCTTGCCAGGTCCCGCCTCTGTTGGCGATCTTCGGGAATCTCAGCAAAAGCGGTTAATGGATCCGTCCTGGCATTGAACCCCAAAAGCAACCGATTGGGGGAGAAGCCGGTGGTGGCGTTGACGGCGTTAGTCAAGGCAGCCCATGTAGACGACGATGGTGTGAACGCGGTTGCGCAGCGAGGATCAAAACAACAGGGAAGGAGTCATTATTTCTAGTGCGTCACCCGGATCGCAGCTTCTACGACGGCTGCTTGCTTTTTCCGAATCCCAGCCCCTTCCGTTCCTGGTAGCCCTCCCTGAAACAGAGACCCGGATGGAACGCGTTCAAGCTCAGCACGGCGGCGCCCACCACCGCACCCTCCAGCCCGATGAAATACTTCTGCGTCTTGATCAGGTGACCGTCCCAACCCTCGCTCAGCTCCGCCACACGGTACACGCTTCTCGTGAAGATGCAGAGCGTTGCGAATGCCAGCGCCACCAGGAATCCCTTGAACGCCCAGCTGTTCCGCAGCTGCTCATGCCTTTGATCCAGCGCCTCCTTGCCCAGCCTGCGCACGCGTGTGAACGTCCGGAAGCTGAAATCCGTCGCGAGAATGATGAAGACGAAGAGCGTGGCCACCTGGAAGGCCAGCCCGGCGATCATGATGTTGTTACCGGTGCTGGGGTCCTTGTTGGCGTGCGACTGCGCCGACGCCAGTCCTCCGCCGGCGGCTTGCAGCAGCAGGGAGATGACGTCGCACGGGATGAAGATGCGTGGGTACGAGAGCGGCTTGATGCGCGAGTTCTCCGCGCCGAAGGTCATGACGATGCGCGACAGGCAGAAGTAGATGCCCGCAGCCATGAAGGCGGGCGCGATGGTGAGGCATACGATTTGCATCAGGAAACCGTCCTGCGGGCGACCGGTCAGCATTTGTCCGTACAACGCATGTTTCTAGGGTTGGATCCAAGTACCTCTTTGAATGGGTTGTAGTAACTCATCACCCTTCCAGCATAGCCCAAGACTTCCAGAATGTTGCCTGACACCATGGCAATCGTGAAACCCAGGAAACGTTTGCTCAGAATACCTTGGCACAAGAACAGCACCAAGGAGAGAGAGAAGATGCCGAGGAAAATGCCGTTCGCAGCCAGGGACGGCCGATATGCCCAGTATGATAGGCTCAGTGGGCAAGTCTCGAGCGTGCAGCTGTTGCGGTAGTCCTCCCATTCTTGATAGGTGGAATTGCCGCGAGTAATGTTTGCATCGGCCCGGGAGACCAGCTGCGCTGAGAGACTGAAGCCTGCCGACATGGCGAGGCTAAGAGAAGTCTGTGGGAAACGCGGGGGAAGATATGTGGAGACCGGCTTCTACAACAAAGGCTTGAATGAAGAGGCGCGGTGGCGGAAAAACACGTCACCAGGGAGGCGAAATTCCCACTGGAGCGAGCAAGAAGGCGGAACAAAGAGGAAACGACAGACGACAGGGGAAGGCGTTGAAGATATCTGACGAGCGAGCAGTTGAGACACGCACAGCCACCGCTCCTTCAGCTCCCGGTGTCCGGGTCGAGTAAATAGGTAAGCAAGGCTCCTATCAGGGCCCTCGCTCTCGGGTTCGGGGCGCGGAAGGCAGCGTTGGTGGACGAGATACCGTTCGCTTCTGGCGAATCCGCGACCGTAGGATCCAGAAAAGTCGCAAAGCTTGCCCGAATAGGTTACGTGGACGACTTCGGTTAGAGCTTGGTGCAGTGCTTTGGTCTCTGCCAGCGGTTACTGGTTGCTTGTTTGTTCGGCATTACGACTGCCGGAGATAGTCGTTGCCACACGCCCGGCCTCCGGCGTTTTTCGCCCGCACGGCTTTGACGGGATCATGTCGAAGCCCGAAAACTCTGTCTACCCGGCCCGGACCTTGGACGAAGATCCCGCCGTTGATCTTCGACGGATTCTGTTCTCTGAGACGGCCAGTGGAGTAGCGCTTGCGGGAACCCAACCACGCGTAGACCACACCAACTGTGCCCCTAGAAGCGTCTGAGCTCTTACAGCATAGCTGTCACTCCGTACTGCTGGTCATGCTCAAGGAAGATGGACTTTCAGAATGTACCTTCAATGAATCGGCGATGACTCGTAGTGCAAGCATCGTATTTTGCTATACTGGCAACAAGGTCCTGATGATCGTAACGACCGGCTAGCCCCCCGTGAGCTCGCACCTGAAAAGGCTTTTCAGGGTGGCGTTCTAATTTGTTGCAGATGCAGCCGGATCAATGAGAATCGTTTTATTTGTGCAGCCTTCATGCGGGTCCAAGGGTCCTGTTTGCGTTGTTTGTCTCCTCTAGCACGGAAAGACATGCGATTGGTCCACTGACTACACCAGCTCTTGGCCCAGAATGTATGTACGTTTTCAGTCGTTGTTTAGCCGCATCGATTCCTACATCATTTTGATGGATCGTGATCATGACCACAACCACGGTTGGGGTAACCCTTGGTATAGAAGCGGCGGCGAAAATCTGCTTGTGGCAACTGCTGCATTTCCGCGAATAGGGGCGCATGCTTCTGCTGGGCCTATCGTCAGTTATTCTTCTCATGAACATTCTCCAAGACCAGGCTAGAGGAATCTCATTAGATCAGCTGGTAAGCTTGTGAAGTCATGATAACATCACGCTTTCCAAATGAACGCTCGCTTTCAATGTGTACCAATCGTTGTTCCCTTGGACAAAAGCAGCGGAATGCCCTAAAACAAAGCGCGTGGGGGATCGCAGCATGGAGGCACAATACCAATCTAGACTGCGGCGGAAACACCGGATCTCTCCAACCTTTGCAGCTATTTCTCCAAGACACCAATTTGCAACTCCGCGGCGTCCAAGTCACCAAGATTCGCCCATTCGAGGACGGCGACGCAGGTAGGTTGGCCGGCGAGGGACTGAGCACGCGATTGTCAGTTCCACCGGCCGCCCAAGACCGGCTTGTCGCAAATTTCCGGTTCTATGCTCAAGTAGCCGTCGATGCTGCCGCTGGAGTACCATGGAAAATTCTTCAGCAAGTAAGTGTATTCCGCCCACGACGTGTCACGATACCTTCAGGACGTACTCCGGTGGGCCGGCCAATGGGCGGTCTCCGCGACATGATTCAATACATGGACGAATCTCCGATCCGAGCAATCATGCACCAGAGATGCAGATGGAGTGGTAGTTCTGAACGAAACATTGCGTGCTGCCTATGCTGAGGCTGCGAGGGAACGGCCCAATCTTGGCGAGAGTAGCGGGGTGGGATGGCCATGCGACGACAGCATGGGCGGTTATGAAGAGCGGATGGACCGGGTTGATAATGGAGCAAGACGTCACAGGAAATTGAGCGATGACGGATGCGCTATGCTGTCGCAGCCTCTGCGGGCGGTGACCCATGCAGAAAGATCGGGCGGGCTAAGCGTCCAGGCCGTACCGAATGACCAATGACCGCGAAAGCGCCGGCAGATGATTCCCTTGTTGGCGCTCGCCCTCTTTATCCGCGCTGTCGCTTGGCGGGCGCGGCGGCGGCGGCTTGCTTCGTGCGGGCCACGGGCGGAAGCTGTCGCGAAAGGGTTTCCAGCCGGCCGCGGGGTTGCTTGCGAGGAAGGAACACCCGCAGCACAGCAGCTCGCTGCCAGCCGGAAACCGGAGCGGCGGGCGGAGAAGTGTCGGCGCAGGATGCATTGTTGAAGGGCCGTCTGCTGCCGCGAAGCCGCGACGGGCGGCGATTGACGTGCGTGCGGCCATCCACTTCCCTGCAACGGTGCGCCGTTCGCTCCTTGCGCCACCGGCCTGTGACATCGACAGCCGCTCACAAAACCCCACCAGCCCGCCCTATTAATCCTGCATCCCTCAACACTCCATCGTCATCTCTGCACCCCTCTTCTGATACCCTTTGCACCTGTACACCGCCCAACTCCACCATCATGCCTAGCTCTCTCGAACAATTGAAGGCCGCCGGCACCGTAAGTCACCCCGCCACCTGTTCTACGTACCCCGCGGCCGCCGGCTTGCCCGCCGCGCTGCCCGCCGCGCTGCCCGCAACCCAACATTTTCCAACGCAGACTTTGCACTGAGCTCGACTAACACATTGCAATCCCTACAGACCGTCGTCTGCGACTCTGGTGACTTCGCCACCATCTCCAAGTACACCCCTCAGGATGCCACCACCAACCCCTCCCTGATCCTCGCCGCTTCCAAGAAGCCCGAGTACGCCGCTCTGATCGACGCCGCCGTTGCCTACGGCAAGGGCAAGGCTGGCAGCATCGACGACCAGGTCGATGCTACTCTCGACAACCTCCTCGTCCAGTTCGGCAAGGAGATTCTCAAGCTCATCCCCGGCAAGGTCTCCACTGAGGTCGATGCCCGCTTCTCCTTCGACACCGAGGCCTCGGTCAACAAGGCGCTGCGCATCATCGATGTATGTGATCCCCTGGAAACTCGTGTGTTGCATGCAAGCTGACAATCTCCCAGCTGTACAAGGAGCAGGGCATCGGCAAGGAGCGCATCTTGATCAAGATCGCCTCTACCTGGGAGGGTATCAAGGCCGCCGAGATTCTGCAGAGCAAGTACGGCATCAACACCAACTTGACCCTCATGTTCTCGCTTGTCCAGGCCATCGCCGCCGCCGAGGCCGGTGCCTACCTCATCTCGCCCTTCGTTGGCCGCATCCTTGACTGGTACAAGGCCGCCACCAAGAAGGACTACTCTGCCACCGAGGACCCTGGTGTCAAGAGCGTCGAGCAGATCTTCAACTACTACAAGAAGTACGGCTACAACACCATTGTCATGGGCGCATCCTTCCGCAACATTGGCGAGATCACCGAGCTTGCTGGTTGCGACTACCTCACCATTTCCGTAAGTGCATCCCGAACTCAAGGCAGGAGAAGGCCGTGTGCTAACGAGTCGTAGCCCAACCTTCTTGAGGACCTCTTCAACTCGCAGGAGGCCGTCCCCAAGAAGCTCGATGCTTCGAACGCCAACAGCCTCGACATCGAGAAGAAGACGTACATCAAGGACGAGGCCACGTTCCGCTTCGACTTCAACGAGGAGCAGATGGCCGTGGAGAAGCTGCGCGAGGGTATCTCCAAGTTCGCGGCTGACGCCGTTACCCTGAAGGACATCCTCAAGGAGAAGCTCCAGAAGGCTTAAATTGGTCCGATATCGGGCGGTGGCACCAAAATGCAAATTACGATAATGGACGCTGGAATGGACGATCATTGCAAATGAGTTCTGGGCGTTTGATGATAAACCCTTAGCTAGCAGACGATTTGCGCTTGCAACAAAATAGATGACTTTTGACGCGATGACTGAGCAGCGCCGAAGCTTATGAGAGAGAGCGAGTCTGGCCAAGCAGCGCTCGGCGAAGCCCAAGGCGGGACTGTGGACCCCTGCGGGGACGGCCGCCTCTGATTGGCCGGAAGCCGTCGGAGTTAGTGATTTGTTGATGACGAAAGCGAAGTGGGAGGTCGAAGCCCCGCACATGAAGACTGTCGCAGCGGGTCGCTCACTTTCTCTCCTCTTCATCCATCAGCAGAAGCTCTAATTCTTCACATCAACCTCTAACACAAACATTAAAACCGCCAAAATGGTCAAGGCCGGTAAGTGCGGTAACTTTCCTTTGCTCAGCCGTACCATACGCCAGCTCTTGCCTAAAGTGGGGCAGCTACAGCGGCGCCGTGAGACGGTTTGAGCATGTTCTCTGACCGAAAGGTGCTTTCGTGGCCCATCAGGGAGTCCAATTGGCTGGTCGGGGTACTTCGAGCGACACCTTGATGGCCTCGAGGTCTGAACCGATGGATACCGTACGGCTAGGGCTCCCTGGGCCGGGATTCGCAGATTGACACCCATCGGCCGTGCCGTTCCGCCCATCAAGGTGTCCCGGGCTTCTGCAGCAGTGGCTAACCGTTCAAACAAACATAGTCGCTGTTATCCGTGGTGACTCCAACGTCAAGGGCACCGTCACCTTCGAGCAGGAGTCCGAGTCTGCCCCCACCACCATCTCGTGGAACATCAGCGGCCACGACGCCAACGCCGAGCGTGGCATGCACATCCACGCCTACGGTGACAACACCAACGGCTGCACCTCGGCCGGCCCTCACTGTAAGAAGCCGTGATGCAGCGTTGACGCGCAAGCGGGAAGATGCAGACACTGACGGGCGCGTGCAGTCAACCCCCACAGCAAGGGCCACGGTGCTCCCACCGACGAGGACCGCCACGTTGGTGACCTTGGCAACATCAAGACCGATGGCCAGGGCAACGCCGTTGGCTCCACCACCGACAAGCTCGTCAAGCTGATCGGTGCCGAGAGCATCGTCGGCCGCACCGTCGTCTGCCACGCCGGCACCGATGACCTCGGCAAGGGCGGCAACGAGGAGTCCAAGAAGACCGGCAACGCTGGCCCCCGCCCTGCCTGCGGTATGCTCCCATTGTTACCTGATTCGAGAAGTGCACGGCTAACTCTGGTGCCATAGGTGTCATTGGTATCTCTGCTTAAACGTTTGGAACCGCGTAATTCCACGAGACGCATGAAGCCGCCGCTGTTCGGACACCCCGAAAGTCGTGGCAGTATATAGGCAGTAAAAATTGAGATGACTCTAACTACCGTGCAAGAATGGTGACTTGACATTGATGCATTTTGCAGCCTCTGAAGCGACGTTCGCAAAAGTGACGTGAGAGGGATACTGCAGTCCGTGAATGAGCTGCAGTGTACATTTGCACAGCCGGTGTGCAGCGCGGGTAGCCTCGGAGGGAGTGACGTGCGGCGGAGATTCGCGTGCGGGCGCTGCGCTCGCGTGCGAGGGACCCTCGTTAGTGACGCCGAAAAGGCCAGATTCAACCCCACAGCTCCTCCGTTCGCCGCAACGACTCGCTCCGCAACATCACCCTACTCCCAGCAACTTTCCCTCCACTGCGCCTGAAAAAGTTGTACTTTCCAACCCACTCCTTTGGTACTCGACCGCGCCAATTGGCATCGCCGTCCCGACTTTCTTCCCGCCCCAAGGTTCCAGCTCGAGTGAGTGCCACACAACTTTGTTCCAGGAGCTATAGCTTGTGTGAAGTGGCAAAGCTGACACCAATTGCGCGCACAGCTGCATCGTCCCGTCCTTCATCATGGCTCTCTACCAGGCTATGGTCAAGTCTGTCCTCTCTGGTGATACCGTCATCCTGCACAACGTGAACAACCCGAAGCAGGAGCGCATCCTGAGTCTTGCTTTCGTCTCCGCTCCCAGGATAAGGAGGGAGGGCGATGAGGTTCGTAGCACCCTTTCTGAACCCACCTTGTGCCTCTGTACGGCAGGCTCAATTCGGGCTGCGCGTGCATCCCTTGCGCCAATCGTTTACGTCTCCACTCCCAAGGACCATGCTTACGCTTTTTTCCGCAACAGCCCTTCGCCTTTGAATCTCGCGAGTTCCTGCGCCGCATCCTGGTTGGCAAGGTCGTGCAATTCAAGGTTCTGTACACCATCCCGACCTCGAAGCGCGACTATGGCATCATCAGCCTACCTGGTGGCCTGATGCTCCCCGACGCCGCAATTGCCGAGGGCTGGGTCAAGCTCCGCGACGACGCCGACCGAAAGAACGACGCCGATTCCTCGCAAGCGATAGTACAAAAGCTTGAGGTCCTCGAAGCGCGCGCCAAGGCCGACTCGAAGGGAGTCTGGTCCGAGTCTCCGAGCCGTCTCGAGACTTCGTACGATTTGCCTGACGCCAAGGGTTTCGTCGAGCAGAACAAGGGCAAGGACATCGATTGTAAGGAATCTCAAACCCAGTGTCTCAGAATTGATTGGCTAACTTGGGAACAGCCATTGTGGAGAAGGTCCTCAGTGGTGACCGCCTCATTGCACGCCTACTTCTATCACCGACCAAGCACGTGCAGACCATGGCTCTCATCGCTGGTATCCGCGCACCATCAACGAAACGTGTAAACCCCTCCGACGGCAAGGAACAGCCCGCCGAACCTTTTGGCGACGAAGCGCAACAGTTCATCGAAAGCCGTCTCCTGCAGCGCACCATCAAGTTCACTCCTCTTGGTGTCAGCCCGCAAAACCAGATTGTCGGCTCCGTGAAGCACCCTCAGCGTGGAAACGTTGCGCCATTCTTGCTTGAGGCTGGTCTTGCACGGTGCATGGACCAACATACCACGCTCTTGGGTGCTGAGATGGGAAAGCTGAGGCAGGCCGAGAGAACCGCCAAAGAGAACAGGGCGGGTGTTTTCCAGGGCCACGTTGCCCCCAAGCAGAATACTGCGGGAGCGGTCGAGGTCGTAGTCAGCAGGGTCCAGAGTGCGGACACGCTCTTCCTGCGCAACAAGGCAGGTGCCGAGAAACGCGTCAACCTGAGCAGCGTCAGACAGCCCAAGCCTTCGGACCCCAAGCAGGCGCCCTGGCAAGCCGAGGCTAAGGAATTCCTTCGCAAGCGCCTCATCGGCAAGCACGTCAAGGTCAGGACCGATGGCAAGCGCCCTCCCTCGGACGGCTATGAAGAGCGTGAGATGGCTACCGTCACCTTCAACGACAAGAACATCGCCCTGTTGCTGGTCGAGAACGGTTACGCTTCTGTAATCAGGCATCGCGCAGACGACTCGGACCGCAGCCCCATCTACGATGATCTGCTCCTTGCTGAGCAGGATGCCCAGCAAGAGGGCCGTGGTATGTGGGCCGCGAAGCCCCCTGCTACCAAGGCCTATGTGGACTACTCGGAGAGCTTGGAGAAGGCGAAGAGGCAACTCACCCTGTTGTCTAGGCAGAGGAAGGTCCCTGCCATCGTGGACTTTGTCAAGTCCGGCTCGCGCTTCACTGTCCTCGTTCCGCGTGAGAACGCCAAACTCACTTTCGTCCTTTCGGGTATTCGTGCTCCCAGGTCTGCTAGGAACCCGAGCGAGAAGAGCGAGCCTTTTGGTCAGGAGGCTCACGACTTTGCGAACAAGCGTTGCCAGCAGCGCGATGTCGAAATCGATGTCGAGGACTGTGATAAGGTTGGCGGTTTCATTGGTACGCTCTACGTTAACCGTGAGAGCTTTGCCAAGGTCCTGGTCGAGGAGGGTCTTGCCTCGGTCCACGCTTACTCCGCTGAGAAGTCCGGCAATGCTACTGAGCTCTTCGCTGCTGAGAAGAAGGCCAAGGAGGCCCGTAAGGGCATGTGGCACAGCTGGGATCCGTCCCAGGATGAGGAAGATGAGGGAACTCCCTTCGAGGCGGTTTCTAACGGTGCTAACGGCAGTGGCGAGTCGGCGGAGCGCCGCAAGGACTTCCGCGACGTCATGGTCACTCACGTCGATGAGGATACCTGCCGTTTGAAGCTGCAGGAAGTCGGAGCCGGCACCACGGCTCTCACGGATCTCATGAATGCCTTCCGCAGCTTCCACCTCAACAAGTCCAATGACAGGCCGATCGAGCAGGTCAAGGCCGGTGACTTCGTGTCGGCGAAGTTTACTGAGGATGACGAGTGGTACCGCGCCAAGATCCGCCGCAATGACCGCGAGGCCAAGAAGGTTGAGGTCCTCTACATCGACTACGGCAACTCAGAAACCATTCCTTACAGCCGCCTTCGCCCTCTCGATGCCAAGTTCAGCACCCAGAGCCTCAAGGGCCAGGCAGTCGACGCCGTCCTTTCATTCACACAATTCCCCACCTCCGCCGACTACCTCCGCGACGCGGTCGACTTCATCGGTCGGGAGACCGCCGGACGCCAGATGGTCGCCAACGTCGACCACGTGCAGGACAACACGCTCTACGTCACTCTGTTCGACGTTGCGAGCAACAACTCGACTGAGACAGTGAACGCGGATATCATTGCCGGCGGCTACGCCATGGTCCCGAGGAAGCTCAAGGCTTGGGAGCGCTCGGCCTCCGACATCCTCAAGGCACTGAAGACGAAGGAAGATGAGGCCAAGGACGAGAGAAGGGGCATTTGGGAATACGGTGACCTTACTGAGGACTAAACAGTTCTCTCTTCTTCTCGTCGGCCGTGAAAAAGTGGAGGTAAAAACAACTTTTGTATTAATTTGTGCGTGAGGAAATGTGTAAGGTATGGGAAGTACGACATCTGAGTGGGAACAGGTGGTGCTTCTTTTTCTTCCTTTCTCTTCCTGTCTTGTAGGAATTCATGGGCCATTGACGGCTACTGTTTGCGTGCATAGCATATACCCTCATCTGAAAAGTTGTGGTGGTTGGTAGGAACACTAGGTGATTGGATGGGGGTCCGCTTCTTTTACATAGCTGCATGATAGGCTCAGGGGATGTGATCAAAGGGCAGGCGTGCGGTCTGCACCCGAGAGTAATGTGGAATTGAAAAGTTCATGTTTTTCCATCCGTCCTTGATTGTATGATCAACTGGGTCTGAAACGTGTTAGGAGAACCGCGGGAAATATAGCGGATGACAGATATCTTTACCGACTTAACAGTCTAGAAAAGCTCCAATTCATCTGATCATCCTGTTGGACTTTACCCACATGTAATCGATACCGTAGCCTGCAGGCATCATCACCGCCTTCCGCAAGGGGCTAGTGCGGGACACGGCCATGTATGACGCCGGCCCCATGAATTTTTTGAGAATCAACACCCGCATGTCGCGTTGCCGCACCTCGACAAATCTCTGCCGATCTGCCAGTCTCTCAACCGTCCAAGCGCAGAAGGTCTCACAATCAGCTGCCAAAGCATATTTTCTGCGTATCGAGCCAATTCCGCCACCATGGCGTCGCAGGACGTTTCCCCAGCCGCCGCACACGAGCCCACGCACGACTACGCCCCCCACCAGGGCTACGAGCCCGACACCGACGGCGGCGTGTCTCTTTCAACCGCACCCCAGCCGGTCCAGCCAACGGAGCAGCCCGCGGACGGCGACAATGACTTCTCGGACGGCGACGACTACGACGACATCTTCGAGGACGCCTCGGACGAGGAAGCGGACGACGAGTTCGCCGCCGACGCGCTCGGCACGGCGAACCCGAACGACTTCACGAAATCGTACAACCGGCAGCGCAAGATGAACGACGCAGCGATCCCGGCGGCGCACAAGCCCAAGACGAACCCGCAAGGCGGCGCGGCGCCCAAGCCGTCGGCCAACACGACGACGGCCATCGACGACCAGATCCGGTCGCTGTCGGTGCACGCGAGCAAGATCAAGCTGGACGACTCGCGCTTCGGCGGCGGCGGCGGCGGCGGCAACGGCAAGGGCAGCGGCCGCAACGACGACGGCGGCGGCAAGGACAGGGCCGACCGCGCGACGTCGGAGCAGGTGCTAGACCCGCGCACGCGCATGCTACTACTACAAATGATCAACCGCGGCATCGTCAGCGAGATCCACGGCTGCGTATCGACGGGCAAGGAGGCCAACGTGTACCACGCGCTCGCGCTGCCCGACGGCGACGACGGGCCGCCCGTCCACCGCGCCATCAAGGTCTACAAGACCAGCATCCTGGTCTTCAAGGACCGCGACAAGTACGTCACGGGCGAGTTCCGCTTCCGCGGCGGCTACAGCAAGAGCAACAACCGCGCCATGGTCAAGGTGTGGGCCGAGAAGGAGATGCGCAACCTGAAGCGCCTGCACGCGGCGGGCATCCCGTGCCCGCAGCCGCTGCACCTGCGCCTGCACGTCCTCGTCATGGGCTTCGTCGGCGACCGCAAGGGCTGGCCGGCGCCGCGCCTGCGCGACGTGCCCGCCGACCTGGGCCTCGGCGACGCCGACGAGATCGACCGCCGCTGGCGCGACCTCTACCTCGAGCTGCTGTCGTACATGCGCCTCATGTACCAGGCGTGCCGGCTCGTGCACGCCGACCTGAGCGAGTACAACCTGCTCTACCACGACGGCCGGCTCTGCGTCATCGACGTCTCCCAGTCCGTCGAGCACGACCACCCCCGCGCCCTCGAGTTCCTGCGCATGGACATCAAGAACGTCGCCGACTTCTTCCGCGGCGGCCAGCGCGCCGTCGACACCCTGCCCGACCGCGCCGTCTTCGCCTTCATCACCGACCCCGCCCTGAGCACGGAGATGGTCGGCATGCGCGACGCCCTCGAGGAGCTGTACCGCAAGAGGGCCGACGATGTCGCCGCCGCCGCCGACGACGACGACGCCGGCGCCATCCCCGACGACGAGGTCGACAACGAGGTCTTCCGCAAGCAGTACATCCCCCAGACCCTCGAGCAGGTCTACGACATCGAGCGCGACGCCGAGCTCGTCGGCGCCGGCAAGGCCGACTCGCTCGTCTACCAGAACCTGCTTGCCAGCACCAAGGCAAAGGACGGTGCCGGTGCCGGCGCCGCTGTCGTTGGCGGCGAGGAGGGCGAGGACGAGGATGGCGATGAGGACGAGGAAGGCGACGAGGACGAGGACGGCTCGGAAGATGGTGAGGGAGAGCACGGTGGGGACAGGGAGTGGCGCGACAAGGGCCCGCCGCGCGGCAAGCGCTTCGAGGACAAGGACGACAAGAAGGCGCACAAGCTGGCGGTCAAGGAGGAGAAGCGCGAGAAGCGGAAGACGAAGATGCCAAAGCACGTCAAGAAGAGCTTGGTCAAGAGCACCGGGAAGGGGCATAAGAAGTGAGTGGAAGATGATGTTGAGGATCTTCGTTCCTTGGCTTCGTTTTTTTTTTTTTTTTTTGCTTTCTTTCCTTTCCTCCCCCTTTTTCTGTTGGTTTCGTCTTTCCATGTGTGAAAGAACCTTATGACGTTTGGAAGGATGGGTTAGGTATGGAGGTGGGTATGTGGGAGAGGGAAACAAAAAAAAAAGAGGGCGGTTTGGCATTGCATCTACGAAGGCGTTAAACGTTGGTGGGAACCCATGCTACACCAGAATAGACATGGAATGGTCATTTTCGTTTTTTTTTTCTCAATTTCTCGTCTGTAGGACACCAGATAGATGGTTGTCCCAAGGAAGGGTATCTAGTGCGCATGTATACAGAAGAATGTGTGCTTGAAGTCATTCTCGGTCTATTTCAAGGATCCAAAGAGCGATCAATAGTTGTCCCTAAGCGCCGAAGTCGTATCCCATCTGCCTTTGCTGCGGGAAGTGAGTAAGTAGTGAGTCCATCCATCGCCTGTGCCTGTTGTCCAATCCCTTCCCTTGTTCTATCATCCGTGCGCCTTTATTTCGCCAAAAATCTCGAGGTCAGCCCGCTTGATTTGGAAACACAATTAGTGTACTATCGAAACCGCTATGCAGACATCGCTGTTAACGGTTTAGTCAAATAATCACGTCCGGATCCACTGTGTGGTGGTCATGGGCTGCAATCAAACTGTCGCTGTGCACGAAATTCAAACCAACGTACCGTCCCCTCGACGCCTCGAAAGACTTCGAGCTGCTCATCACATTCGTCGCTCTTCCATGCGGCGGATGGCTCCGTCGACCACATCGTCTGGAAGCGCAGGGATGCTGATGTCACGGATACGCTTTTCCATCTCTTCAATCGCGGCCTGTTGCCTGATCTGTTTCTCTCCAGCCATGGCTGCAGAGGGCGGCGTCTCGCGGTCGGCCGACACCACGAGCTCGTAGCGGGGAGGCGGATCTACGAGACCAGGCCAAATGTCTGAGGGTAGATGCTCGCCTTGCGTGATGTGAAAGGTATTGCGCGCGGCGAGGTCATCTTGAACATGAGTCAATATCCAAGTTGGACGGCCATGAGAGAAATGCTCAGGTTTCGACAAGTGTAGCCACTTACCTTCGTAGAGCCGCTCGATTTTCCTCAAAGCGTCCCGCGCATATTGCTCCATCTTGATTCTCACCGACCTCCTCCTATCCACCTCGACGAGTAACCCATCGTATGCATCCAAGAAACCATCATAAAATTCTCGAAGACCCTCAAGAGCCAACATACCCTCTTCAATCTTGGTTTTCTCTTCTCCCCAGCGGGCCTGGAAGGTGCGGCAACTGGCAAGGTGTTCAGGAACCTCTTTGCCAACATCGACCATGAGGCGAAAGGCCTGAAGATGTGCCGAGTATGAAGCCTGAAGAGCCTCGATGTGACCGGCCATCTCAGCCGCGAGGCCTTCCATGTCGGACACCCGATCTCGAATTTCTGCCACCACGTCGTCAACTTCTGCAGCATCATTCGCCAGCACGGCCAGCATATCCGCGCGTTCGGCCTCCGTCATCGGCGGCGGAGGTGGGGCATCTGGTCTCAGGCTCGCGACATCGATGTCCAGTTGGTCGAGGTTGACGTGCAGATTCGGGTCTAGGTCGTGGGGCAGATCGTTCGAGCTCGGCAGTGGGGACTCGTCAGACGCGGCTCGCGTCGCGGCCTCGTTGCCTCCTTCCGTGTGTTTGAGCGCAGTGACACAAAGGTCGTAGTGGCGGACCAGGGATTGGAGGAGCGATGCTGTCTCGGTGGCATGACCTTCGAGCTGGCGGAACGAGGGCGGCAGGGGCGAGGGCGAGGGATCTGGAGGCGGTGGACAGGTGTCGATGGCATCATCGAGGCGTGCCAGCGATGCCCCGAACGCGTCGATCGTCTCTGCCAGCACCGAGTCGGCCTCGTTGGTGCGGTCTATGCAGCCGCGTAGCGACGCTTCGAGATCGTCGACGCTGGACGAGTCGATGAAATCGAACAGATATTTCTGAGGCGTGCCCGGCGGCTGAAGGGTGGTGTGGATCGGTGTTTCCTTCAGCAAGCGGAGAGTGTTGTGCAGATGGTGCGATGATTCGTCGAGGTTGGTCAGCATTTCCTAGGGCCGTTAGCATCAGGCGGTCCGCAACCATCTAGCGTGGGGTTATGGGTACCTTGAACTCGTCGTGCCCCTCTACACCCACTATATCGACGCCGTAGCGCAGTGTTCTCAGTGTCTTGGTCTGCTCGTCGAGCCCGCGGCCGAGGAAGGCTATCTTGCTGGTAAGCACGGCGTCGACTTCCAGCAGCTGGCGCGCCTGGGTGACGACCTCGTTGGCGCGCCAGACATGGTGGATGGAGGCCAGAGAGCGCTTGGCGCTGACGAAGTGGGCAACGAGCTGTTCGAGCGAGGGCGGGCCGTTGTCGAAACTGCCAATGGAGGCAGCCGGGGAGTGCGGGGACGCCATCGAGGGAGCTATGATGTCATGCAGGGGAGACGAGAAGCCGGTGGTGTTGTTAGGACATGGATGCCAGACTCGCGTGCTGGCAGGCAGCACGGCGGTGTGCTTTAGCTGGAGAGCTGCTTGGTGTTAGGGACGGCGCGTGTGCATGGGCGTCGCGCTGCAGGACCCTGTCAGCCGCTTCCCACTTCCCCGGACTGGCGACTAGCCGGATCGGCGGCGGGCGGTCAACCGCTCATCAACCGCCCGACGGCTGCAAGCGCCGACGGAAGCCGCGATAGTACAAAAAAGCTGAGAGGCCGGAAACGACGAGCAGGGTTGCGCAGGGACGGCAGCGCTGCGAAACATGTCCGAAACCACTCGGGACCGCGCGCATCGCACGGCTCGTCACCTCATTAGCCACGCCGCTGGCGACAGACTGCCGCTGGCATGCTGGGGCTTGCACCGTGGTGGCCGAGACCGCGACGATGACTTGATTGCACGTGACTTGCACCATCGCCGCGACGATTGCGTGCTTCAACCGCCCGGGCCTTGCAACCTCCAAGCACGCCACCGATCCTCTATACTGCCTGTGCCAACCTGCGCCAATCCGCAATAAAGGCCGCGCCCGCCTGCAGCTGTCGTGCCCCGCCCCTGGAGAGCACACAATAATAGCCCGTGTTGGCCCCCAGGCGCAGGCCTCGCATCCGCATCGCCGCGCCTCCGTCCGCCCAACCTGCGCTCGCACGCCATCCAGCCGGCCAATCTCGACAGCGATCCCGCATGGCCTGAACACGTCTCAAACTCTAATACCTCCTTGCGCTGTCGCTCCCGATCAGTGCGCCCCTCGCAACCCCAACAATGGCGCAAAGCTCGCAACCGCCCCCGGCCTCGACGTCGCTCTTCCACGACCCGCACGCTCCACCTGCCAGGAGGCTGTCGCTGCGCCATCCACCACAAAAGGAGCTGGGAGACATGTCGCAGCCCCAGCCCCGCGAAGGACTGTCCCGGGAACACGACCTCCACGACCGCCCCCGCTCACGGCACCATCTTGGCAGCGAAGAAGCCGACAAGGAGGCCGAAGATAAGGACGACTCGATATCCATCTCCTCGACCAGCAAGCAGGCCGCGAAGACGGTGCAGCCGTTTCTGGCCCAGCACATCCCCAGCCAGTACAATCCCCTCGGCAACGCCTCTCAGCCCAGGGTCATGAGCAACAAATCAAACACAAAATACTGCTATCGCCACCGCCCCGATGTGAAGTGCAGGAGGCAGGTCAACGAGCCGTCCATGGAGCAGCTCCAGAAGGTGTGTTCTACCCATCGATACCAAGCCACGTCCCGCTGACAGTCCACCAGGAGCTTGCGATGCTGTCCCAGTCCGACCAGCAGGGCATTGCCCATGTCTGGTCGCTTTTCTCTGCCGCCCCCGCAAAACACCGTAACCTCATGCTCCAGGGTATCCTCGCCCAATGCTGCTTCCCTCAGCTCTCTTATGTCTCCGCGGCCGTTCGCGATCTGATCAAGATTGACTTTCTCGCCGCCCTCCCTCCGGAGCTTGGCTTCAAGATCCTCTGCTACCTTGATACCACTTCGCTATGCAAAGCCTCGCAAGTGAGCCGGCGATGGCGGCAGCTTGCCGACGACGACGTGGTGTGGCACAAGATGTGCGAGCAGCACATTGACCGGAAATGCACCAAATGTGGCTGGGGCTTACCGCTCCTTGAGGCCAAGAGGCTGCGGACCGAGAAGCGTCAGATGCAGCTCAGAGCGACAGGGAGAAGATTGAACGAGCTGGCAGAGCCGAGCGAGGTCAATGCTGGCGATGCCGCATCCCGGACTGCCAGCCCCAGCCCCAGCCCTGGACCCAGCAACCTGAAGCGACGCATCTCCGATGACGACTCGGGCGCCAGCACTCCCAAACGGACCTGCACGGCTGGACCCAGCTCCGGTTCGCAAGACGTTGCATTCCAGACTCGCACCAAGCGGCCATGGAAAGATGTCTACAAGGACCGTTTCAAGGTCGGCACCAACTGGAAGTATGGCCGGTGCAGTACGAAAATACTGCGTGGTCACACAAACGGCATCATGTGTTTGCAGTTCGATGACAACATCCTCGCGACGGGCTCCTACGACGCCACAATCAAGATCTGGGACATCAACACGGGCGAAGAAATCCGGACACTCACCGGCCACACGGCGGGGGTGCGGTGTCTGCAGTTTGAAGACAACCGCTTGTTCAGTGGTGGCCTCGATCGCACCATCCGCCTGTGGAACTGGAAGACCGGTGAACTGCTCCGAACTTTTCCCGGCCACACGGGGGGCATCGTTTCGCTCCACTTTGCCAATAACATTCTCGCGACTGGATCCATGGACCACACCATTCGGGTGTGGAACTTTCCCGACAAGTCCACTTTCAACCTCAAGGGCCACACGGACTGGGTCAATGCGGTTAAGATCGACGGCGCCTCACGTACCATTTTCTCGGCGTCTGATGACTGCACCGTCAGGCTGTGGGACCTCGATACCAAGCGCTGCCTGAAGATCTTCCACGGCCATGTTGGGCAGGTCCAGCAAGTGCTGCCAATGCCGCCCGAGTTCGAGCTGGACGACGAAGAAGTCGACCCTCACTCGGATCACGATCATGAGCCGGAGACCCCTGATGCTGATCCTCAAAACATGCTGCGCTACTTCAACGGTCCCATCACCCCTCCTTACGCGTCAGACGAGTCAAGGGCCTTCTACCCTGATCAGCCCCAGCGTCCACAGCCGCCGCGCTACATGATCACCGGCGCGCTCGACGGTACGATTCGCCTGTGGAGTGTGGCAACAGGCCGCTGTCTTCGCACCTTCTTCGGCCACGTCGAGGGCGTGTGGGCCATCGCGGCCGACACGCTGCGTCTCGTCTCTGGTGCCGAGGACCGCATGGTCAAGGTGTGGGATCCGCGTTCCGGCCGCCACGAGCGGACATTCACCGGACACGCCGGGCCCGTGACCTGCATCGGCCTGAGCGACTCCAAGCTCGTCTCTGCGGGCGAGGATTGCGAGGTCCGCATCATGAGCTTCGGCTGCGGCGGGGAACACGGCGTAACCACCATCGGTCCCGCTCGGGAACGCACGGAGGACGCTGTGGCGGGGGAAACTGATGGCAGCCAACCGCCGCCAGAAACCCCAGCTGGAGAGCCATCTTCCAGCACATGATGTGGCCCTGATTTGGCCGGATCTTTCTATATTCTTGTACAAACATGTTTTAACAGAGCGAACGAGTCTATGTTTTACTACTGCCACCTCCGATCGTCGTATCTTCAAGCGAGGCGCTCACTTCTTTTTTCGGGACATTTGGAAAAACGGGTATTAAGGAGTTTCTTCATTTGGAATAGCGGCGCGGGATTTGTCACTACTGCGCTTTTTGCTCGGCTTGCTCGCACTCGGAAAGAAGGAAGGAAGGAAGGAAGGGAAACGTTCGCAGCCAATGAGCATGAATTTATATCGGATACCCAAATGGTAGCGTTAAACGAACGAACGGATGGGTGGGATCAGGCTATCAGTATACCACTCGCGAATATCACGTCAAACGAACTGTTTTTTCATGTCTCGGAAGCTTACAAACTGTGTTTGTGATACGTCTTGTGCTTGGGATATCCCGAGCGGGGGGGACGGCTTGTTGGGCTTGGGATGGTTGCGGACGCGCGTAGGTATGCAACGAGATTCGAAAGATGACGCCAAACCACCCCGGAGATTTGCCTTCTTCTAGAATACGGCAGATGCAGGCTGTCGAGTAATGTAGTTGCTGCTGCAGCTCGTGTTCGTCGGTGATAAGAAGTCCACGCGGCAGCAGCTAGTTTCTCCTAGCCAAAAAGGAATAAAAGGGATTTGACCGGCCGTCTGAACCCCCGCAAGATGGCGATAAGGGTAGTGGAAGCTCTCCGCTCCGATTTGCGCCTCGGAGATGTGGCTGTGTGTTTTGCGTCTGGACGGATCTGGCTAGCTGCATGACGTTGTTACAATATTGCTGGACGAGACCAGGCATGTTCACTTGACGGGGGATCCACACGTCTTGACACTACCATGTTAACGTGCCCGCAGGCAGTGATTGAGATGTGTTTTTTACGTTGAGTTATAAATGATGATTGTGTCGAGTTTTCGACGAACGGCAGATTTACAGACTGGCTACACGTATTTTAAACTAGCTTCGAAGATAGTGGTCTGTTTACAAGACTAGTATACTTCCTTGGATGGCAACAGAGGCAAAGGGGCCAATCCCGGATCGCTATAAGCCGGAGGTGTCAGCTTCGGGCGACAGAAGTCCGGAGGTTCACGCTTGGGAAAATAGGCGACAGTTACTAGGGTGGGAACTCATAGTTGAGCCAAGATATCTCATTGGTCAGTCAGCCACTATTGTAAAGCTTGTCTGCCGTGTCCAGTGGCCAAGGACACCATGATCGGCCTTTCGCCTCCCGACAAAATTAACAACCATAGTACAGCGAGTTGTCGTTAATGTCATGAGCATGCAGTATTACCAACCCATGGTGCAGCCAACGCGACTGAAGGGAAGCAACAAGTAGCCGAAATTCTTGTTCATCAATTGCGTATATTTCTAGTCGTCCTAGCTTACAATTTGTCCTCCTATCCACTTCCCACACACATACCAACCTCGCCTCGACCTCGACCTCGACCTCGACCCCCCCTCCTCCTTATCTACAGCTTCTCCTTCCACCCCCAAACCGCCTCATCCGCCAACCAGCCCCAAATCTCCTTTGTCCCATTCGCGCTATTACTCGCACACAGCCCCTTCCTCGGATCCCTATCCGGCCCCGGATCATCAAACACGCCCACGACCCTCGTATTCTCCTTGCCGACCTCCAAGACCGACCCGCCCACCAGCGCCGGGTCCTCGACGCACTTGAGCATGGCGTGCGCCACCTCCTCTGGCGTCGCCCAGCCGTCGCGGGCGTCGTCGACGAAGGCCAGCTTCTCCGGGTGCTCGGTCCACAGCGGCGTCTTGATGAGGCCCGGGGCGACGGCGTTGACGCGGACGCCGGCCGTGGGCTCGAGCGGCGCCATGCTGCGGACGAAGCCCGAGACGGCGAACTTGCTGGCGGCGTAGAGGGGCGCGTTGAAGTTGGGCACCTGCCCCGCGACGCTGCTGATGTGCACGACGCGCTTGGGGTTGAGCGGGCTGGCTTTGACCGGCGTCTTCTGCAGATCCGCCGCGGAGCCGTTGGCGTCGTCGTCGGACGCCGAGGGAGACGGCGGCGGAGGCGGATGCAGCCACAGGCTCAGGGCCAGCTGCGTGGCGCGGATGGGGTGCGTGACGTTGATGTCGAGCAGCTTGTAGCGGCCGGCGTCGGCGTCGTCGCGCGACGCGGGCGAGCAGCCGGGCGGGTGCCAGAAGTTGGACCAGAGCGGCTCGTAGACGCCCGCGCCGGGGCAGAGGACGTCGAAGTCGCCAAAGGCCGCGAGCGTGGCGGCGAAGAGCTGGCGCAGCTCCGGCCACGCCGTCACGTCCGTCTTGACGAAGAGGGCGCGCGCGGCGGCGGGCGGGTCGGCCGACGAGTGCTCGTCGACGAGCGCCTGCGCCTCCGGCCGCAGCGCGAGGTCGGCGAAGACGACGTTGCAGTTGCGCGAGAGCAGGAGGCGCGCGAATTCGAGGTTGATGCCTGGAAGGGGGGCGTGGGGCGTCAGTTCTTGACTGTACGTCGTGCCAATGGTGGAGGGATTCAGTGGCAGCTGTGATTTGGGGCGGGGGACCCACCAGAACCAGCACCAGTCACGATTGCGGTCTTGCCGTCGACGGAGAAAGGAAGTGGAGCTGAGGCTGGAGCGGCTGCCATCTTTGTTTGCTAGTTAGTTGGATGGAAACAAATGGTAACGGCAGGTGGAGGCAGGGAGAGACGGACGTTGAGATAGGAATTATCGAGCGTCATATGCGTTGGCCCGGCCTTTTGTGCCCCGCGAACAAGGCGTTGCGCATCGAAGCGCCGGTTACGGACCGTTTACACGTTGTAGCTGACATAGCTGCGTGGGGAGTAGTGGGGTTCGTCAGAGCTGCGGGGAGGGGCAGCCCCAGCTCCAGCACGTCGGCAAAGTTTCCGTCCGTTTGAGGCAAATCCAAGCGCCAACAGCCCGCCCTTTCCGGAACGCCTTCACCGAGCTCGGTGCGAGACGGCCGTGTACCAGTCAGCATCCGGCGATCACATCCACACATCCACACATCCGCACATCCACACCGTAAAACCTTTACCGACGGAAGGCGGGCCGAGGGGTGAAAGCCAGAAAATCATCTATTGCCTCGATCAGTGCTACCTGCAAGGCTATGAATGCTACCTATTTTATGTCCCCCCCCAAATGCTGTACAGAATCCGCCCAATCATTATACGGATTGATGTTCGTTTCGTCCGTTCAACCAACGGCTTGCGCTGGGCTGCGCTTTTGTCCTCCATTACCCCCGAATGCTGGGGTCGCGAATGGATGCCAAACGCCTTGCCATGCAAAATGGGTATCTTTGCAATTACGCCAACCTACTTCGCTGCTCGTCATGAGCATCTTTCATCCACTCTTTGCCTTCGACCCCGTGTTTTTTTCTGCTTCTCATCTTTTTCTTTTCTTTTTTTTCGCTTCTTTTTCCACTTAGCCGGACAGACATTTCTGGTAAGCCTGCCAAGGGGGAAAGGGATGGGGGTAGGACTGGAGTGTAGGAATGGGAAAGAAGATCCGAACTGGCAACATCACGGCAGATCCCAGAACCGATAGCTCAGGATAGGAAAATCCCAGATACCCAACTAAGGGTCTGCGTCACCTGAGGAGCCCTACATCCACAGCACGAGTCTCAAATGTTGAGCACTCTGCTGGGATCCTGAAGGAACTCTCGGCGGTACTGGGTAATTGCGGCGGCCACGGACTCGGCGTCCCTGACGTTCTGTTCACGTAGACCTTTCAGCACTTGCTTCAGGCCCACTCTCCACTTCTCCTGTTCCTCAGGAGTCCGTCCGGGATTCACAATTCCGAGTTGGACAAGGACCTTGTCCTCTGTTGACGTCGTGTTCCTGTGTCAGCTTGGGGTCTTGGGAACGGCTATGGGGACGGCATGGGGAAGATCGTGTTGATTGGCCTTTTAACGCACCACTGATGCCCATGGTGCGGAAGTGCTGTCCATCGCATGCACTGTCGTTGCATACACCCCCGGCCGCTTCAAACGGACAGAGCGGCGTCTTGGGGTCAATATCGTGGCTGTAAGTAAGTGACCTATATCCACCTGAGACTTCTTGTGAGTAATTCGGGTGGTAGCGATACGCCTTGAACTGTTTGAGCGGGCTTTCGTAGGGTGTATAAAACGAGTGCTTCTTCGGGTCACTGGGTGCAGACGCCTGGGTACGTATCAGTCACGGAACTCGCCAATACGGTGGACATACACTTGGGCCGCTCGTTTCCGGTCCAGGTTCTCGCCCTTGAAGCTCGGGCGCTACTTCATCCGCAATGATGGATATTTGCGGCGTTCGCGACGCTGAACTGCTCGATCCAGACCCCGAGTCTCCTGAAACTTGGCTTCCAGTGACTGACTGAGGTGCCATGTGCGTGGCCATGGCGTCGGTAGATGAGGTTTGAGGTGTTGGGTAGTCGCTTGCTGCAACCGAAGGAGACGGATGAGGGAGCATGTCCGAAGGATCATACTCATCCTCATCTTCATCCATGGCTTCTGACGAGGCGTCACCGGTCTGCAATCCATCCGTCGCTCCTTGGCTTGTGGATCCAGACTGCGGAATATCCGTTGTGGACTCAAAAAGCTCCATGCAAGCGTCGCCCTCACTTTCAAGGGCCACATCACTTAGCTGTCCCGATTCGTGCTCCTGGCTTGGTGCTTGAGGTTCCGCCTGAGATGCCTCCGGCGAAGCAGATGAAATGGACCCGGACTCAGAAGCTTGGTGTTCCACGTTGCCTGGTGGCACATAATTATCCACATCTTCTGTGGCGCCATCGTCATTTGCCTGAAGGCTCGGGTCGTTGCTCTTTGCCGATGAGTGATCCATTTGGGCAATCTCTGGCCCGAGGCTTGAGTTGAAATGCTTGGGCTTAGGCTCAGGAGAATAAAAATCCTCTGTGTCTTCTTGCTCAGATGTCTCAACAGGGTATGGGGCTGACGGCCGAGTTTCTTCCGCAGTTGCAGGCTCTGGCAGAGCCTTCGGTGCTTGGCCCATCTCCGTGTTGGATGCCGTTTGAATCCGGACAGGCTCATCCCTTTCGGCATCACTATCAGACATGTCCATCTCTGCTTCTGTGGTGTCTGATTCGTTGTCTATTTCGCCATCAGACATGGACATTCTTTCGCCGGAGCTTTCCGAAGGGGCTTTCCCCTCAGATGCAACAGCCTTCGGGTGCACCTCGTCAGCAGAGGCCGGCTGTGGTGCACTTGCTGCCTCGGCCATAGAGATGGCGACAGGTTGTTCGGCCGATGCTGCAGCTTTAGTCAGCCCAATGTGGAACAGTCGAACAAAGGATGACGCTTACCTTCGGCAGCAGCAGCAATGGCTTCTTGTTGCTGATGCATGATCTCATCCTTCTTAGCCTGAAGTTCCTCATGTGGCATGCCTTCAGTATCGATGCCAAGTCCCTCAAGCTCGTTGATCAGAGACTCCTTCTCTTGCTGCCGTCGCTTGTTCTCTGCTTCAATCTGCTCCATCTCCCTGCGCAGTTGCTCTAGCCTGCTCATGTTGGTATTGAGATCGGCGTCAAACGCGGAGATGCCGGACTGGATTTCCGCCCTTCTTCGAAGTTTCCAGCCAGGCTCTGCTGGAGATTGCGGAGTACTTCTCAGAGCTGCAGAAGGTGTCCCTCCTCTGCTTGCCGACTCAGAAAAAACATCCGGCTGCACGCGTGTTACTTCTTTGTTGACAGGTGCGTTTACTGCGGGGCTAGAGACCGGTTGTGGAGTCTGAGAGGGTTGGTACGTGGGAGTTGCCGGAGTCTGCGCACGGCTATTTTGCGCCTTAGCCAGTCGCTGACGCTCCTTCTCGGCAATAAGCCTCTTCAAGGCGGCAAGCTCCTCTTCTTTGCGCTTGAGGTCGGCGACCCTCGCGGCCGGTATGGGCGGCTGAGAAGCGGGGGGAGTTGAATGCGCCGACCCTTGTCTGCTCAAGTTTGGTCGGGAGGGGAAGTTTGTCAGAGGGGGCAGATTACGGTTAGCACCTCCTTTGAGAGGTTGAACGGATGGCTGAGCAGAAGACTGCTGCAGTTCGTCAGCTTCATCAATATCCATGATGCTGCCTGCTGTCTCATCGTCACTAACTTCGATGATCACCTGCTCGTGATCATTTTGGCTCTGACCGAAGGGACGCTTGAAAGCTGTCGGCACCCGAGGCTGTTGCAGATCATCAAAGTCTGATGCCACTGGGCGCTTGCGGCCCTTGTTCGCTGACACGCCCGAGGAATCTTGGGTAGGTTGGGGGACACCTTGGGAAGCGGCCGAAGTCATAAAGAGACCCGGTATGCCACCAGGGGATTGTAGGGGCAGTGATGGTGAAGGTTGAGCATCTTTGCGAGGTGTTGAGACCGCCGTTGCTACTTCCTGCTGAATGGGCCGGACAGGAATCTCAGACTTGGGCATGGCTGTCGCACTTGCACCAGAACTTGATGGCGTTCGGCTGGCACTCAGCGATGCCGCTACAGCCTGGGCTTTGGCACGCGCTTCCTCCTCGGCCTTTTTCTTGGGAATCTTGAGAGCCTCAATCTTTCTGCGCAACAATTCATTTTGCGCCTCTTTCTTCTGCGCTGCCAGCACAGCAGGATCTGTAGCAGAGGTGTTCTCCTGATTCGAAGGCTCTTGCGCTTTCACAGACGGCATTGAATCGAGTTCAGGTGGAGCCTGTACAACAGCGGCGGATGCAGGCGCTGGAGATGGAGTAGCCGATGACGATGCGACCGTCGTCGACTTTGTAGAAGCCTTGCTGTTTTTCGCGGCCATGAGACGGGCGATGTATGCTGCCCGATCAATTGGTGAAGACACTGTTGCGCTCGCACTTTGTTTGTTAATGCCCGCAGTACCTACAGTAGGTTGAGGCCTAGATGGAAGTTGAATGGGCGGTGGCGCTTGCGGCGCTGGCAAGACTGAAGTAGATGCTGGACTAGGCTTCGGCTGCGAGGGTGGTGCTTGCGTAGCCCGTGACTCCGCAGCAGAGCTACGCCTACCGTCAAGAGATGGCTGATCGAGAGGAAGTCCAAGCGACGTCCAAGTCTCCTTCACAAGCTTTGGATCGAGGCCGTACTTCTGCAAATCCGTATATCCATACCCACAGTTGTGTAGGACGGTAAGAAACGTCTCGGCTTCTCGTCTCCGACTTTCGAACTCTTTCCGGTCTAAACGAGAGTGCTCAACGGAAGTCTCGAAATGTTGCGACCTCGTGAGGCCTGTAGTCTCGTTATTTATGGGGTGATGTGGCGTCTCAGCCGGAATCTCGCCGTATGGACGATCTCTCGATTGGAGGGAGGCGCGGTTGCGACGTTGGTCCGGCCATTGAGAAGACCTCGGCCTCCCACTGTCTGCAGGCATGCCGTTACTGTGCTTCTCGTTTCCTGCGGTTCCTTTAAAGTCAGTGCGGCTAAGTTCATTAGACCGGTCGCCGTTTCTCGAGCGCCCTTCGAGACTACTCGGCACAGCTGCGGAATGTCTAGGATGATGGAGATTCACCTTTTCCAACGCGCTGGTTGCCCTCTCGCGGCCATGAGCGCCCCGGCTCGTCCTGAGAGCCGGGCTCATCACTAAGCTCCCCTTCCTCTTTGTCCCCATGGACGATCTCCATTATTCTGTTGGAAGCAGGTGGTGCCGCTGAAGCCGCCGGCAGCGGTGGCACTGGGGTGAGTCCAGGGAGTGCCTGCCGAGGTGGAAGAGGGAAGGAAGGTACGGCTGGAGGCTGAAAGCCAGGTGGAAAGGGGATCGGCGGGGGCGGCGGAGGGGCAAAGCCAGACTGCGGGGTGAACGGAGGCGGAAAAGGTAGCGGGGGTGGAGGAGCGCCGCTCTGAACATGCTGCCAAAGCGCCGCGAGTTGGCTGGGGCTCAGCCCAAGTGCCTGGAAGTCCGGGGTAGGGAGGGACGCGTTCTGCTGAAAGCCAGACGCCCCATGTGCCTGCTGCTGGGATGGCTGCTGCGGCGGTAATTGCGGAGCATTCTGGAAGACAGGACCGCCGCTCGGAGGCGGCGGTGGCGGCGCGCTCTGCGAGGGAAAAGGTTGGGTGAATGGCGGCATGCCAAAGAAAGGCGCTGATGGCGGGTAGTTCGCCATAGCAGGGTCGCGGTGAAGCGGATCTGGGCGTTAGCAGCAACAGAGGTCACGTAAGCAAGTGTCTACGAGAGTCGAGGATGCGAGGTGACAGCGATGCATGGGTGCCGGAATCACAACCGCATGAGCCGCCAAGCCAGCAGGAATGGACAGTGGACGGGCGATGCGGCGAGGCGATGGATGCGTGCGACGGCACTCAAAGACTCGACGCAGAATGGCGGACGAAGGAGCGGACCAGCAAGCAGCGCGACTCCGAGCGGATAGGAGCACGTGCGCGATGCGCTCGAGGATGCTGGCGTTGGGCGGCGATGAACGGAAGGAGGAAGGCGTCGCGAAGACTGTGTTGGCTGGTCTTGAAATCGGCGGGAGGAGATTCTGGAGAGCGGCGCTTCGGCGGCGAGTGCCCGATCGCCGCTGCCACCGGCAGGTGCCAGGCGCTGGCTCCACGGTTGGGCTGCACACCGCCTTGCAAAAGGACGTCATGGTCCGTGCGCGTCACGCGTCATGGGTGCCCGGCGTCGCTGCCAACGCGTTGGCGTTGCCCGAGCACCGGTAAACACAAGCAAGCGGCTGATCGTCCGCCTCTCCACCCGCGCGTCGCTCCCCCGACACCGATGCACCCACGCCTGCCCACGACCATGCAGCCCTGTACATACTGCATTTGACCGTCTGCGTCTTTCTGCTTCTTCGTTTGTCCGGCGCGCAGGCCGCGGAATGCGATTTCGTCTTAATACCCTCTTCCGGTCAACAACCTCTCGTCCCCGTGCCTCACCATGAGCGCCCCACCGCCGAACGGCTCTCGATGGAGGGCCAGTCCTTTCAACAGAGGATCAGCATCCCCCTCGCCGACCCCGGTGCCCGGCTCGAGTCGCCCACAGTCCATGGATCTGTCGATTCCCAAGTCCCAAGTCCACGCCCGGGCTCAGTCCATCAACTCGTTAATACCCGCCCGCGATGCCGCGACACGCGTGGGTTCGAATTCGCACCGTAACAGCATGCTTGCTGGAGGCACCTTTGCTCCCAAGTTCATCAAATCGGAGGAGATGCAGAATGCACCACAGCTAGTCCGCGGCATCGAAGGCGAAAACGACTTCTCGGGCAAGCGCTACGTCTGGCTGCGCCACCCAGAGAAGGCCTTTATGCGCGGATGGGTTGTCGAGGAGCTCGAAGGAAACAATCTGCTCGTACAGTGTGATGATGGCGATGTGGGTGTTGTATCTTATGGGCCCGAGGCGAAGGCTGACTTTGCGCACAGCAACAAACCGTAGACGCAGACACGGTCGACAAAGTCAACCCGGCGAAGTTCGACAAGGCTGATGACATGGCAATGCTCACACACTTGAACGAGGCATCAGTAGTGCACAACCTCCACCAGAGGTATCAGGCCGATCTGATTTACGTAAGTCGTAGCACAAGACCACGCTCCAGCATTCTCTGACGCTCTGGCAGACTTATTCGGGGCTCTTCTTGGTTACTGTGAATCCCTATTGCCCCCTGCCAATCTACACGCGTGACTACATCAACATGTACAAGGGCCGGAGCCGAGAGGATACCAAGCCGCATATCTACGCCATTGCCGATGAGGCTTTCAGAAACCTGGTCGACGAGGGTGAAAATCAGAGCATTCTGGTGACGGGCGAGTCCGGTGCGGGTAAAACTGAAAACACGAAGAAGGTTATCCAGTATTTGGCAGCTGTGGCAACCGGCGACGCCAACACACCAGGACGGAGAAAAGCTAGTGGTCGGCAAATGTCGAACTTGTCTGAGCAGATTCTCCGAGCCAATCCCATCCTGGAAGCCTTTGGTAACGCACAGACGGTCCGAAACAACAACTCTTCAAGATTCGGAAAGTTCATCAGAATCGAATTCTCCCGCACTGGCCAAATTGCTGGTGCCTACATTGACTGGTACCTGCTGGAGAAGTCGAGAGTTGTGCGAGTCAACTCAAGCGAGCGCAACTACCACGTCTTTTACCAACTTCTCCAGGGTGCACCCGCCCAGATGAAACAGGATTTCCTCCTTGATGGCAAGGATCTGGAGGACTTCGAGTACACCAAGCACGGCAATGACACTATCAGTGGGGTCTCTGACTCGGATGAATGGAATTCTTTGGTCGAGGCGTTCGTCATCATGGGATTCTCTGAGAGGGAGCAACATGACATTCTCAGGACAATAGGCGCGGTCCTCCATCTCGGAAATATAACTGTGATTAAGGAGAGTATCCGTGCTGACCAAGCTGCTTTCGATCCCGACGCAGAAGCACAAGCCGACAAAGTTGCTCGTCTCCTCGGCATCCCTGTTGAACCGTTCATCCGAGCGCTTTTGCATCCAAGGGTGAAAGCTGGCCGCGAATGGGTCGAAAAGGTCCAAACACCGGAGCAGGTTCGCTTGGCAGTTGATGCACTCTCGAAAGGTATCTACGAGCGCGGCTTTGGTGATCTGGTTGATCGAATCAATCGACAACTTGATCGCTCGAATGCCGGGTCTGACGACTCGCACTTTATCGGAGTCCTGGATATCGCTGGTTTCGAAATTTTCGAAGAGAACAGCTTTGAGCAGTTGTGCATCAACTACACCAACGAGAAGCTACAGCAGTTCTTCAATCACCACATGTTCGTTTTGGAGCAGGAGGAATACGCGAGAGAACAAATTGAGTGGAAGTTCATCGACTTCGGCCGGGACTTGCAGCCTACCATTGATCTCATCGAAGTGTCGAATCCCATTGGTATTTTCTCCTGTCTTGACGAAGACTCGGTCATGCCCAAGGCTACCGACCGAACCTTCACGGAAAAGCTCCACCAGCTTTGGGACCGGAAGACGCCAAAATACAGACGCTCAATGCTTCGGCAGGGCTTCATGCTTACTCACTACGCAGCCGAAGTTGAATATTCGACAGAGGGTTGGCTCGAAAAGAACAAGGATCCCCTCAATGATAATGTCACCCGGTTGCTTGCCTGCTCTACCGAGAAGCACATCGCCAAACTCTTCGCCGACTGCGCCGACACAGAGGAGGAGGCGGGCGCGACCCGCAACAGAGTCAAGAGGGGTCTTTTCCGCACTGTTGCTCAGAGACATAAGGAGAACCTTTCGAAGCTCATGGGTCAGCTGCACTCTACTCACCCTCACTTTGTGCGCTGCATTCTGCCCAATCACAAGAAGCGACCGAAGCAGTTCAGCGCACCGCTCGTCCTTGACCAATTGCGATGCAATGGTGTGCTTGAGGGCATTCGCATTGCACGCACTGGATTCCCTAACAGACTGCCTTTCGCTGAGTTCCGTCAGCGATATGAGATCCTATGCAGAGATATCCCAAGAGGTTACCTGGAAGGACAGGTCGCGGCCAGGATGATCCTAGAGAATCTCGATTTGGACAAGTCTTTCTACCGCGTCGGTCTTACCAAGGTCTTCTTTAGGGCGGGCGTCTTGGCCGAGTTGGAAGAGCAGCGCGATGTTGTGATCAGCAAGATAATGGCACGATTCCAATCAGTTGCGCGTGGCTATATGCAAAGGCGTATTGCACACAAGCGACTTTACAGGGCCGAAGCAACCCGGGTCATTCAGCGCAACTTCCAAGTCTATCTGGACCTTCAGGCGAACCCATGGTGGCAGCTTTTCGTCCGCATGCGCCCTCTTCTTGGTGCCACCAGGCAAGCCCAAGAAGTCAAGAAGCGTGACGAGATGATCCAGAAACTCGAAGAGCAACGTCAGGCTGAGCTCGCCGAGCGCGAAAGGGTCGAGGATGAACGTCGGCGTGCTGAGGGCGAGATTCAACGGATCCAAGAGACTTTGGAGAGTGAACGTGCCCTGGCCCTCGACAAGGAGGAGATTTTCAAGCGTCTTCAAGCACGCGAGGCTGAGCTTGTCGAGAAGCTCTCTGAGGCGGAGGCCGACTCAGAAAATCTCGAAGAGCAGCTGAGCGAGTTGATGATCGCCAAGAAGAAGACCGAAGAGCAAGCCGATGAGTGGAGAAAAGAGTTGGAACAAGCTGGGGAAATCATCAGCGGTCTTGAGGCAGAAAAACAGGAGCTTGTCAACCAGATTACGGAGCTGGAGCTGCAAGTCTCTGAATTGGAGAATTCCCGGGCCCAAAGGACTGCGGCAGAGGAAAAGCTTCAACAGGAACTCAATATGCTCAACAGCCACCTCTCCCTCAAGGACAAGAAGCTCAAGGATCTGGAGGACAAAATGCTCAAGAACGACCAAGAACTGGATATCAAGCTGGCGAATGCAACCAAGGACCTGACCTCGGCTAAGAAACAAGTTAAGGAGCTCATTGACGAGAACCGCGAGGTAAGGAAGCAGATGACAGACTTGTCCAACAGCGCCACCAGTTATGAGGACCTCGTCCGACGAAAGGATAGCGAGCTTGCTATACTCAAGTCGGAGAACAGACAATACGAGTCCGACCGCCAAAAGTTTGATACCGAGAAGAAGTCCTTGACGACCCGTCATGAGACTGTACAAGCTCAGCTTCGTGATGTCAAGGCGGAGATGGAGGCTCTTCTGTCTGCCAAAGCTCAGCTTGAGCGTGAGGCTGCTGATGCGAAAAAGCTTCTTGACGCAAAGCTGTCCGAAGATGCCGAGTTCGTGGAGGATCGCCGAATTCTTGAGCAGCAGCTCCAGGATCTCAAGGCCGAACTCTTCCAAGTGCAAACCGAGCTCAGCCGGGAGAGGCAATCGAGGGATGATGTGGAAATGCTTGGTGAACACAAGTTCACTGAGCTCAAGCAAAACTTCGACACCTTGAAGGAAGCTAAGGTCACCATCGAGAAGGAGATGTATGTCCAGCAAGACGTTCTCCGCCGTGCCAATGAAGGCAGGGTGGCAGCTGAAAAGGAACGGAAGGAATACCAGGATGAGCTCCGGCAGATCAGACAACAGTACCTCCAGCTTCAAGAGGAGAAGTTGGAAGCCGATGCGAGCGCCGAGAAAAATCTGGTGAAGCTGGCAACCGAGCGCCAGGAGGCCCTGCGCCAACAGCTGCAAGAGAAGGACGCTGAAATGGAGGAACTTGAAGCTGAGCGCGCCCGTTTGCACAATGAGGTCCAGGGTCTCACTCAAATGATTGCGGAATCGGACACATATCGAGCCTACAACGATCAGCACAAGGAGCGCCTTGAGCGTGAGCTGGTTACTTTCAAGGGACGCCTTGCTGCGTCTGAGAATGACAACCGCGCCCTGCTCAACAAGATTCAGCAGAAGAACCTGGACATCGCCAGATCAAATTCCAGGGCTGGCGATAGCCAACGTACAAGAATCTCTCAGCTCACGAATGAGAAGGCCAAACTCGAGGACGAGAACAAGAAGCTCCAGCGCCAGGTTGAGGACTCCCAGCTCATGTTGACATCCCTTGAAAAGCAGAAGGAGAAGCTTGCCCTCGGCATGGAGGATCTGAACCACGAGATGACTCGCGAGCAGATGGCAAGCCGGAACGCTGAAAAGTCGGCCTCTACCGCTAATCTTCAACTGGCTGATGCGAACCGCAAGCTTGAGACGGAAAGGCAATTGAGGACGCAGGCTCAGGCTAACAATAGGACCATCCAGTCATCCCTTGAGAACGCGGAGAACGAGCTTGCGGAGTGCCGCAATCAACTCATGCTCCTCCGTAAGGTCTTCGAACCTGATGCGCCTGAGGACGAGGAGGGTACCTATGAGTCTGCTAAGGGTGACATCCACAAAGCTGTCGACCTGGCGAAGAAGCTCGAGGCTGCTCAGATTGCTCTGCGACAGGCCAACGAAAGGGCAATCAACGCTGAGATTCTGGTTGAGGAACTCCGGGAGCGCTACGACGGAGAGATCAATGATCTTGACACCAGGCACTCCAACTCGAAGCGTGCTTTGCTTGAGGAACTGAACCAGAACCAACTGAACCAGGCACCCACCCGACACGCTCCGAGTGCCTGGAAATGGGACTCTGAGAACAAGCGCCCATTCACCCCCCCTAACGGCACCCCGTTCGCCCAGCGACAGCTCAGCAATGCCACGCACGACTCTGCTCGGTCGGAGAAGAGCGTCGACACCGTCACCTTCAACAACAAGATGGATCTTGCCGCCGAGCTTGAGTTGGTACAAAACCAGCTCCAGATGTCGGAGATGCGCTCTCACCATCTGCAGAGCCAGCTGGACCGCTCCCCCACTAAAAATTGGGAGGAGGAGAGCCCTAGTATGCGAAGGATCCAGAAGCTTGAGCGCGAGAACTTCCGCCTCCACGACATGCTCGACGATTCGGCGAAGAAGGTCTCGTCTTTGGAGCATGACCTCCGCAACGGCCAGCTGTCGCTTACCGAAGTCCAGACAAAGTCGTACGAGGAGCTCTATGATCTTCTCAATTCTCAAGAGCATGCAAGGAAGTCGATTCTGCAGTCGCACAATTCTCTTGTGAACGAATTGGCCAGCGCGAAGACCGCCTTCGATGAGCTCAAGCAGACTAGGCGGGAGATGGAGGTGGAGCTTCGCGACTCGCGGTCCGAGCTTGCTGATGTGAACTATGAGCGCGAGCAGGAAGCTGCCAACCACTCTCAGCTTCTGCAAGAATTTTCTGACCTTCAGATCAGGCTGGACAACGAGCAGTCCAAACTTCTCGATGTCACTTCCAGCCTCAACCTTTACAAGAGCAGAGCAGACGAGTACTTCAGCAAGCTCGAACAAGCTGAGATTGCCGTGCTCAAGGCATCCCGCGCAGAACAGTTCGCCAAGACGCAATCCCGCGAAGCGGAAGATCAATGCGCCAGTATCATGGCCGAGCGCCAGCAGATGGACAACATGATTGAGGATCTGCAGAGACAGACGCAACAGTACGAGGAGCGTATCGAGGACCTCTCCGCTGACCTTGAGGCTGCCCTTCAGGCCAAGAAGCGTCTTCAGAACGAGCTTGAGGACTACCGCAGCCAGCGCGCCATCGATATCGAGGACACGGATGCGTCGATGGAGCAAACCCGCAAGAAGTACCAGGCTGAATTGTCGAGCCTCTCCGAAGAACTCGAGCAAGAACGCCACAACATTATCCGCGTGCGCGAAGAGAATGGCCGCTTGCACGAAGAGATCGAGAACTGGCGCGCCAAGTGGGACGACGAAATCCTCAACAGTTCGACTTGGGCCAAGGAGAAGGGCCGCTTGGAGATGACCCTGCAGGACCTCAGCAATTCTCGCGATGAGGCTGTCAACGCACACAACGAAGCCCAGGGCAAGATCGTCAACCTTCTCTCTCAAGTTAGAAGTCTCCGGACCTCTGTCGACGACGCATCCGCAGAGCGCGACTCGCTTCTCAAGGAGAAGAAGGGACTTGAGTCCCGCCTTGCCGAGGCTGCTGATCGCTTGGACGAGCTCGCCCACAGCGAGAGCCCCAGCCTCAGGAATGCTGCTGAGGTCGATCGTGAGCTGCTTGAACTCAAGTCTGGCCTCGCCCAGCAAGAGGATATCGCATCGGCTGCTGTTGGTAAGATGAGGCGCGCGGAGGCTTTGGGTCAGGAGCTTCAAAAGGACCTCGTGGCTGAGCGTGAGGCAAACGTGAGGCTTCACACGGAGAAGGCCAGCATCGAGAAGAAGGTCAAGGATTTGCAACTCCGTCTCATCGACTTGGAGACCAAGAGCTTCTCTTCGGCCAGCCAGGACGTCAAGTACCTGCACGGCCGCATCCAGGAGCTCGAGAAGTCCCTCGAGGAGGCCCACACGACGCGCAACACCGAGTCCCGCGCCAACCGCAACATCGACCGCACCGTCAAGGACCTGCAGCAGCAGATCGAGCGCCGCGAGCGGGCCAACGCGAGCATCAGCGAGGACCTCGCCAAGTCGCGCGAGAAGATCTCCTCCCTCCTGTCCGCCATCGACGAGCTACAGTCGTCCGACTCGACGCACCAGCTCGCGGCCAAGCGCGCGGAGCGCGAACTCCGCGAGGAACGCGAGACGCGGCTGCGCGTGGAGCGCGAGCTCGAGGGCTGGAAGGGCCTGCGCATCGAGCGCCGCAGCGCGCTCGGCGTGCCCGGCGGCGGCGGGTACGGCGGCGGGAGCGATTACGGCGGCGGTGGCGGCGGCGGCGGCTCCAGGCGCGACAGCTACGCCGAGCTGCTGAGCGAGCTGCAGCCGCCGAGGGCGCTGGGCGGGCCCAGCGGCAGCATGAGGAGCAGCATGAGGCGCGCGAGCAACGGCACAAGGAACAGTTTTTTGTAGATGGGTCCGCCCTTAGCGGGGAGATGACAGCTCGGCAGAGCGTCCGGCGTGCGGTTGATGATGGCGCGCGGATCGATAGCGTTGTTATGGACGATGAGGCGTTGGAGGGGTCGGTAGGCGCTAAGGGCGGAGGGGATCGTGGTAATGAGGGTGGGGATCATGATGGATACGACGATGACGATGATGGGCATGATGATGGAAACAACCGGAGGCCAGGCGTCACTGTTGGGCGAAGGGGCACTATAAAGGTTATCATTCGGTCCATGGCGTTTTTGTGATGGGAGGATCTAGTTTCTTTTGTAGTATGAGGATTCCTTGGAGGGCGGTTTGGGATCCGATTAAACGCGAGGTAAAGGGTGTGTGTACTAGTTTTTTTTTTTTTACTTTTTACGCTAATTCTATTTCTTCTACTGAGTATCATTCTTTCGATTGGGATGTTTCAAGTTTCGTGGGTGAGTGTTTACCCTTGAGTTTGACACCATCGGCGAGCAAGAGGTGAAGTTATTGGCGCTCTACTACGGACCAGTTCGTGACATGTTCAAAGGTGATTCTGTAGGTGATAGTATCATGCTCCAAGAGAGGCTTCACGCTGGGATCATCCACGATCCAATCGAGCTTGATTAGGTCTGATATGCGAGTTGATAGTGACTGGTTGCGAGACGACACTTTCCAGAATCATCCGGATGACTACTCCTCCTGCCTACAGGTGGAAGGAACCTACCCTTAGTAATCGGCTCTCATAGGTTGACGCACGGGTGGTTAGGGATTCATTCACACGCCATCTGCGCCGTTAAATTCTTCCACTGTCCTGTCTCCCCCAAAACTTCATCCTCTCCACCCAAGACAGCTCCAAGCGTGAGCACCGAATACCGCACGTCAACGACGCTCACCACATTCAAGGTCTCACACAGAACACGCGCCGCTATGGGTCCACGTTCTTCATCGGCCTCGCCGCCGCGAAATGCTTTCCCAACCTTTGCCAACGGAGACGTCGAGGTCGTCCTTACACCCGTCCAGAGGCTTCGTCTACACTCTGACGTTCTCCGCGGCGCATCTTCCAAGCTTTCGGAGCTGCTCCCCGTCAACAAGGCCGCCGTGCTGAGCAAGAAAGCGCTCAGTGAGGGTGTCAACATCAGATACCGTCTCGAGCTCGTAGATGTCTCGACCACTCTCGGCGAAAACGTAGGCCGGCTGACCATGATCGTAAGCATCGCAATCACCCGCAAACGACTCGTACATTCCTTTTTCTAATATTCCCGATCGTAGAAGCTCGACACTCACGGTCGCCCCAACCCCGCGCCCGGCACCCCGCGCGCGACCATGGCGCTCTCCTCCTACGGCGTCGACCCGGCCTCGCGCGCCATCCTCGCTGCTTGGTTCTCGGCCCTCGGCGCGCTGTACGGACGCGAGATGCACCTACTCACCCAGCCCACGCGGGCGGCGGCTCGCAAAAACAAAAACAACAACAACAACAACAACACGGACACGTACGACGAGGGATACAGTGACGACGACGACGATGACGACGACGTCATCGAGAACACTGCAGCCGGGGGGCTCGGGCTCGGGCTTCACACCACCTGCACGACCCCCGACCTCGGCGACATGATCGCCGCGGCGGCCACGATGCTCGACGTCATGGACTACCTCGAGCTCCCCGGCAGCATGCTGGCGCCGGTGGAGCTGGCGCTGCTGGGCGCGGAGCAGACGCTGTGGCAGAGCGTGTGCGCGGCGCCGCTGGCGTGGGTCGAGCTGGGCGCGCGCCTGCGCAGCTTCGCCATCTGGCGCGAGGCGGCGCTGCACGTCGTCGGCGGGTGGGGATGCGGCGAGTGGACCGAGGATGAGCGCCGCGGGCTCGGCGGCGAGGTGAGGGCGCTGTGCGAGCGGAAGGCGGAGAAGTTCGAGGCGTGGAAGGAGGGGTTGGAGGGGAGGTTGCTGGCGTACAGGCACGAGAGGCTGCGGTGGGAGGACGGCGGCTGGGAGAGGGCGCGTGGCAAGAAGGAGCATGAGCCGGATGTGTTTTACTGGCAGGCGCAGTGCTTGTGGGGGCAATGGCTGGCGGCGAGGTTCAGGGAGGGCGAGGGCAGGAGGGCGCCGGACGGTGGGTTGGCGCTGTATCGGATGATCTGGGAGGGGAGGTTCTGCGACGCCGTCACGGAGCAGGCGAAGCTGGCGCCGTTGACGCCGAGCGGCAGGAAGGTGGTGAGCGAGATTGTGGACGAGATGAAGAAGGATCTGAAGAAGATGGTGGAGGGCGCCATGATCTCCAAGCTCAAACTCGACCAGAGCAAGATGCCGTCGAACAGGATGACCCCGTTTACCATCGAGTTGCGAAACGCGCCTTGGAACAAGCAGGATGTCGGCGAGCGGGGCTTCAGTCACCGCAGAAAGCGCCCGCGGCTGGCGTCTGAGAGCAGGTATGTGGCCGACGAGGACGACGAGCTTGAGGATCACATTGCTTGATCCTGGCGCTTGGATTCGCGGTGGTCTGGGAGAAACGGTTTGAGCTTTGGTTTTGGTCATTGTTTGGGACTGTAGCAGCCCAATTCCCGAGAGCCCGGACTGATGACCATTTGCTACTGCAACGTGAAAGGAAAACAAATCAAGGATCGAGCAGTCAAGTCGAATATGCTGTAGGAAGGGATCATGCAGGAACAGAAAAGAAAAAACTGATAGCGATAATAGCACTGCCCATGACAGTTTGGAATTTGGTATTGTTGTACGAAAACATACAGACCGCACGCAACGTGCTCACGGCCAATCTCGATCTCAGCAAAGCTGAGTTCTGCCAGACGCGTGGCATATTCTTCCGCGTCTATTCACACTCTCAGCTGCGGCGATGGCTTGCGCCTGGGCACTGTGTCCCGATTTTCACTCTTGATTTCAGGATTATCCCATCCATTTCTCAGTTGACTTAGTCATCGTACCCCTCAGGGATCTGCCTAGGACCCTTGGGGACTGCAGATTGACAGACATGTTAGCGAGGATCCTGACTTGAGCCTTGACCTCCTCTTCCAATGCCGGTGTATGCTCCCCGCGCTTCTACACATGTTCCCTCGCACATGGGTTCCAGACCCGTGTTCTGCGGGCACACTTACTCGGGTAGGTGAATGGGATGGGCGGACGGCCAACCTGGTCGCCGAGAAGGTTGCGGATGGGGGGCACGGCGACAATAGTAGCAGGACCGGAGAGGCCGATGATGATGGAGTAGAAGATGGCGGGCTTCTCGTGGGAGCACCAGCGCAGGTAGCGGATGGGCTGGGACCAGAAGCGCGGGGTCGACATGGCGGCGGGTGGCGGACGAGTCGCGGGCTTTGGGGCGGCGGGGCGCAGGCGGAATTGGGGGGCTGCGGGGGGCGCAATGCGGGATTGGAGGCGGGCGGCGGTGGTGGTGAGGTCGGAGTTGTCGGTCGCTGCTGACTACGCGGGCGGTGATTGGCGATTGGGGCGCGGCGGAGGGTGGGATTCTCCGGGGGCGTCAGAGCTCCCCGGTCTTGGCGCTGCGTGTACGTCTGTCCGCATACGTTGCCCCTACAAGCTCACGACACGCAGCGCGCCAATTCCCTCATCCGCCCACTCCATTGCCAGCACAATGAAGTGGCTGACCTCGCTCCTGCTGCTCGCCCTCGTTGGCATTGCCAGCGCCCTCAGCGCCGCCGGTTCGCGGACGCTGGTCGTGCTCGAGGACGAAGCCGACAAGGACAAGTATTCGCAATTCTGGTCCGATCTCACTGGTACCGCGCTCAATTGCCCCTCCCTCAGCACTGAAGCTCGGGCATGGCTGACTCCGCTTCTCTGCAGGTCGTGGCTTCTCTCTGACCTTCAAATCGCCCAAGGACGACTCGCTTTCGCTGCTCAGGCTCGGCGAGCGCGCTTACGACCATGTCGTGCTCCTCCCCACCAAGTCCAAGGGTCTCGGCCCCAACCTCGCGCCCCAGCTCCTTGTCGATTTCATCAACAAGGACGGAAACATCCTGCTGGCTCTGTCCGGTGAATCATCCATTCCCAGCCAGGTCGTCAGCGTGTTGCTCGAGTTCGACATCCACCTGCCCACCGACCGCAACGCCCTGACCGTCGACCACTTCAACTACGACAAGATCTCCGCCGCTGAGAAGCATGATGTCCTCGTCATTGACCGCACCCAGAGCCAGAAAACCGGCATCAAGAACTACTTCTCTGGCGAAGGTGTTCTGGCCGTGCCCCACGCCGTTGGCCATACTCTGGGCAACGACAGCCCGCAGCTGGTCCCCATTCTGCGCGCCCCGAGCACGGCATACGTCTACAACCCCAAGGAGGATTCCGACGGTGTTGAAGACCCGTTCGCCGTTGGACAGCAGCTGGCCCTCGTCAGCGCTTTCCAGGGCCGCAACTCGGCTCGCCTGACGGTCCTCGGCTCGGCTGAGATGCTCCAGGACGCCTGGTTCGACGCCAAGGTCGACCGCAACAGCGTCAAGGGGAAGACTGCCAACAGGGAGTTTGCGAAGCAGCTCACTTCCTGGGCTTTCAAGGAGGTTGGCGTCCTCAAGGTCGGCCGCCTGCAACACTTCCTCAACGAGGGTGCGGCTCCCGCCGGCATCAACGGCTCTGACTTGAATGTTGTGGAGCACAACCCCAAGATCTACCGCATCAAGAACGACGTTGTACGTACAATTGCACAAGCGCCACGAACTCCGGGCTTTTCCGCTAACGCGTAATGCAGACCTACCAGATCGAGATCTCTGAATACGTCGAGGACCACCTCGAGCCTTTCCTCCCTCCAGCGGGTGACGCCGTTCAGCTCGAATTCTCGATGCTCTCCCCCTTCCACCGCCTTGAGCTGACGCCTCTGCCGCCGTCGCCGACGCACCCCAACTCGACCATCTTCACCACCGACTTCCGCCTGCCCGACCAGCACGGCATCTTCAACTTCCGCGTCAACTACAAGCGTCCCTTCCTCACCAGCCTCGACGAGAAGCGCGAGGTTACCGTGCGCCACTTCGCTCACGACGAGTACACGCGCTCGTACGGCATCAGTGGCGCCTGGACTTGGGTCGCCGGCATCTGGGTGACGGTCGCTGGCTGGTTGGGCTTTGTGGCCCTTTGGCTATACTCTGCGCCCAGGCAGGCCGGTGGCGCGAAGAAGACCCAGTAAATGGCTTGTGGAAGGCTGGTTGAAAAATAAAGGTGGCATATAGTTGGATTTAGTTGACTTTCTTGTGTTAGAGGAAAGAAAAATGGTGTTGTTGTTTTTTTGTCACGGCCTCTCCCTGCTTCCTATGAGTGCTTCTGTGTGCAGTGTGGGATCATGGTTTGTCAGGCGAGGATATCCAATATGTATATGTTCTGAGAGATGAGGAAGTGAATGGGCTCTGAGAGAGAGACGTCGCGAATGCAGCTTGTGTGTCTACTAGCGAGCTCTACAACTTAGGGTGTCTGGTTGTCTGGGTGAATAAGAATTTCTTCAAATACAAGTGACTTCGTTCATGATCGTCTGATCCAGGCACCTGGGCGCAGGAATTCGATAAAGTCCCACCCATCTTTACAGCAACGTCCGCATCTCGAACGCCTGTCTGCCCACACACGTCAGCAGCCATGCGGAAGTGGAGAAGACTTTTTTCCATTGCTACAGGGGCGCCGGCGGAGAGGATGGTAGCTAGCAAAAAAAGGATAGAAGCAGCAGATACGTGCACATGCGGTGCACATGCGGTGCAAAGTACTACCCTACATCAACCCACCCAGCTACTTCGGGCTAGCTTTTTTTTTCGAAGTGGGGGAGGGGAGGGGTCGGTCATGAGAGCAGCTCGCTTGCTGACTACTTGCGCAGTTTAAAGTGACCTGCCTCCTCAATCCCCGGTCGATCTTTTCTTTGGCTGTGAGGATATATACGAGAGTGTTCTTTGGCCGCATGGCTTCGTGGCGATTGAAACGGCTGGCACTTGGCTCTGGCTACGCCCTTTCTCGTTGCTTGACGGGGAAGTCCATCAAAAGACTTTTGCCGAGTATCAATTCAATGGATGGCGGGATTAAGTGGACATTGAGCAGATGAGATGGGCAATGATGGCAAGTTGGACGAAGTGACGGTGACGCGGTGTAGCATGGGAATTCGGTGGTGGGCGGCATCATCGCGCCGTAATTCTGGGGGAATCTAAGTGTAGTTGGTGCTGGAGAAGGCAGTGGGCCAGATGTGTTGCTGGCGATGCAGGAGGACGGCGGAAGGGTAAGTGCGATGAGAGGATTTCTCTCACAAGTGGATCAGGTTCGGACTCGGATGACCAACGACTCTCAAGCAACTTTGACCGAGTGTTCCGTGGAGAAGAAGCGGACGAGCACATAGGTGAATGTATTTAAAACCGCTCTGCACCAGCGGGGAGTTGGTCAGGCGTGTGTTGACCCGCAGCCCTTGCACTTCCTCCGACCTGCGTGACGGTGAGGTCACTCGCTCTCATGACTCTTTCCGTCATCGCAGCACCTCGTGCAAGTGAGCAACTTGCCTGCTGATATTCGCAGACTTGACCGTCGCGGATAACATCATCTGAACGATATCTAGCCCCTCGCTCAGACCATGTCTATATATAGTATTGCCCAAAGTCCCTCCTCCCCGCTCAACAGCAACGCCCAGCTTCTTTATCTCCCCTCGCGAAATTATCTCGAACAATACCTATGGCGCACTGTGTATGGTCATGAAGACGACAAACTTATGCTGGTTTTGTTGGCTTCTGTGTCAGCATGGAGTGGTCCGCAAGAAGGGCTGCTCACTCTGGAGAATTGTGGCTGAAGGGGATGGCAGTTCCTCGCCTGTGGGGTTTCCGCTTAGGCGGCGTCATTTGAATGAACCTTTAGCAGCATTTTCCTCACATGATGCGGTGAGCTATGGTTCAGTGATGGTGAACAGTAGCGGTGGCTTGACTTGGTAGATACTGGCATTTCGGTGAAGTGACAGATTTCATAGTCTCGTTTCCATAGGCGCGTATTTCACCGGGAATGAAGTCGCGAGCATGGTGTGCAACGGCATCACTACGCAAACAATTTATTGCTCTCTTCAGGGTCTCGCTCCGGAGGTCCGACGCCCACCTGGAAACATGCCACTTTCCACTGATAATGTTGATTATTTATAGAAATTGGGGAGTGACTCAAGGAAAGCCTCCAAAACTAAATCCATATTTCATTACCTGAAGTGGATTCAACATGGAGTGAGTAGAGACAAGACCCCAGCGATATATCTCGTAGTCAACAATTTCGGAGAACTTCGCGCAATTCCGTGGCAGCATGGCGACGCATATCGTGCCGGTCAGAGGCCGGAGATAGCAAGTTTCTGAGATTGGTTTTGACATTCTCAAGATATGCTGAGCACTTGCAAAAGTCCACGTGTATGCAAATGGTCAAGAACAAAGACAAGTCTGGGAAACTACTACGCTGGATGTCACTGATTAGGCTCCGGCCCCTCCGCTCCCGCTCCTTTCTTAAAAAGCAGTAGCAAGGGAGCCACCAGCAATACAAACAGGGACAGAAGACGGTTCAGGGTGGTGAAGAACGATGAGCCGCACATAGTATCTACCCAGAATAGAGAGCCCGTTTGAGCTTAGTCCCATCTCGCATGTATGTTAGTCTCTGCAGCTGTGAAACTTCTTAGAGGGTCAATTCATTAAGGTTCCAACACAGGGCTGGCTTCTCAATCTGCTTCGGTTCCCGAGGAAGCCATTGACCAGCGGTAAAGCACAAATAATGCACATACAAAAAACGTACGTGTTTAGCTTCCTTTATCTCCACGAGCTATGGTAGCGCTGTGAGCTGCGAGACGCCAAGCCAAAGTCAATTGCCTTCAATCAAAGGAAGCAAGGGAGAGCAGATCTAGAACAAAGAGGGCTTTGCAGAGGCATTTTGCAACTTCTACCAGAAAAATGAATCGACAGCTCGTGATTGCTTACATTTTGCGATTCAGAAAGTCTTGGGTGCCACCATCTAGGGCTGAAGTCTAAACCTCGAGTTTTCCCTTGACTTATCACAGTACCTCGATAGCCCGGGGTTTTACCATTTTTTCGTTGGTGGAACCTGAGCCCTACCAGGTACATAATGCCGGTGCACGTTTCATGAGCATCTCGAATCTTCTTTCGGGCCATCTCATGATCGACGTGAAGCCGGTGACTTTGACAAGTCCCTGCATGAAAAAAAAGAAAAACAAAGACGATGGCAGATAGCCGAAGCTGCACCAGGATCGTCGACAAGGGCGGTCAAGAGTGGTACCTGCGCAGAAAACGGTCAGGCCGCGTCAACAACATCGGGCGTCAAGCGGCAAGTGTTTGAGAATT